TATTGATATTATCTCGAAAGTCGATTAATGAATATAGAAGAGAATATTTTAGAAATTTCTTTAATTTCAGTTTTAATAAATTATAAATAGATTGAAAATTAAACAAAAAAATAATTATCAAAGAGTAGTTACATACTATAAAAATTTGAATCTATAAACTTTAATTATATATTTAATTTATCATTTAAAGACTTAATTATTTATATAAGATATTTGAAATTATTACATTAGGATATAGATCTCTTATAGAATAGTATTCCAATATTACTATTTTGATTGTCTTCTAAAATTTAATGAATTCAATTATAAACTTATAAGAATAAAATTACTATAATATAAATAATTAATTTATAATATGAAATTAGGAACTCTTTTGAGACTTTTCAATCAATAGGATGAATAATAAGTAGGATTTATATAATTAGAACAAATAGATAAAATTTTGTTTAAAATTTATGAATGCAACAAGGATTGTAAATAAATTTTAATTTTTGGATAAAATTTATTTCGATAACCTTTTGCTTAAAGAATGCAAAGGATTTACAATTGAAGATATTATAATGCTTATAACAGAAATAGATTATTAAGAAGAATTAAGACAATCTGTAATATAATAATAACAGGAATTAGGTTTAAATTAAATATAAAGTGAAATGCTGATATCTTAAATAGAAGGAAATCAAAGAGATAGAAGGAGAATAGATTATTTAAATAATCCTTAAATAAATAATTTAATTACTATGCTTAAAGATTATTATAAAGTGTGTTGTAAAAATGGGGATGTAAAAGAAATGCATAGAATAGAGAATAGAATATAGGAAATAAAAATAAAGTAGCAAAGAAGATGGAAAAACTATATTAAACAATTACAAAAATATTAAGAAAATTTGATCTAAAAAAGTGCTTTTGAACATTAATATAATTAATAAAAAAAGTGGAATGAATTTGTAATTGATTTTCAAAATAGTAGATTTTATAAATTTAATATGATGATAGTATTAAAATTTATTTAAATTATTATAGGAATAATAAAAAAAAACTATTTAAGAGATGAGCAAATAGTTTTAAGAAGAACTTTAACCAAAAGTTTGTAAAGTTTCCAAAAAGGTTCTAGATATGAGAATGAAACAAAAATAACTATTAAAATTAAAGGAATTTTAGTAAGCAGAAAAAGTTAAGGAAGAAACAGATTTAATTGAATATTTGGAAAAGAAATAATAAGAAATGATTGTATTATAACGGTGATTCTTATATAGTTAAAATCCAAAGTAAAAAATAAGTTAAAAGTTTTAAAAAAAAGATAATCATGTCAGATATCAGCATTTATGTAAAAAGTAGCAAGTTAATAAACTACTCATCTATTATAAAAATAAGCAAATGAAAATAGATGGGTTAATATAAATAGACATTGTGTTTAAGATATTAATGAGAGATTCAATAAAGATAGGAACATAACATTAGCTTCAAGAAGATCCTTTAATGTTTACAGACTTAGAACAAAAAGTGCTAATCCATAACCTGCTAAAAGTACTAACATATCTCATTAATTGACTTAATTATATGAATGAAAATAATTGATTGATCTACTTTTTTTTGTAAATTATAATAGAATATTTTATTATTTATATTCTTTGACTTATTTTATATAAATATAACTAGAAATGAATTAAAAATTCATTTTTATGATTTTGTTTGTCTTTCTACTCTAATTCTTGAAACTTCTAAATATTTTGGCTAAGCAAATTTCTTTCTTACTGCTTAAAGATTAGATTTATCTGATGATTAAAGTACCAAACACATTTCTTTAGCACAAAATCTTAGTTCTTATTCATTATATCCTGTTGTATTTTACATCTCTTCATTCCAAGATTAAGATGTCTTTCTATGAAAATATAAGTTTGATACCTTATTTTATGAACTAAATAGATAGCTGCAGAAGTCAAGAAAGATGGTTTATAATTCATGAATTTGATATCGATTATTGAAAGTTCCAATAAATATTGGGCTAAAAATAAATTTTTTGTATCTAATCCAGCTATTCTTCCAAATCTTTATAAAAAACAATAACTAGATGGTTGTGTAATTGAGAAACCTAAAGTTTACAAAATTTGACCTTCCATATCTAAGACATCTTATTTTGTATATGCATTATCAGTAATATATACAAAATCTTTTAGATCTGGTGGGTATATTTCTTCATATTTACAAGCTATAAATAATGAAGCTACTCCTACTAATTATAATTATTATCTAGTTGTTTTTTGAATATTCAAAAATCTATCAATTAAATATGATGTTATATATAAGGTTTCATCCCTTAATTTAAATTTAAGATGAACATCTACTAACCAATCAACTAAAATAGATCTCATTCTTGCATTTAAGTCTGGTTATTGTTGTTCATTCATATAATTATTACTAACTAGATATTTCTATTCTTAACTTAATAAATATTAAAATATTTCTTAATTGTATATTGGTGTAAATTATGGATCCTTTATTATTTATTAATCAAATTGACATAATTAGTTAATATTAGGCTCTTCTTCCATTTAATTTTCCTTTTCTCCACACCATAAATTAAGTTTTAAATATCTAGGTACTACTGTTAAATGTTTTGATTTATTTCTGTCAATGTTTTCTTTATAAAATTCACCAGATGAATTGACTATCTCTTTACCAAAGAATCTATACTGTTCTTGAAGCATTTTAATTATACGTTAAAAATTATAATAATCTGTTAAAATAGTAAAAATCAAATAAATTACATAATGCTATTCATTTCATTTTGATTCTACTATGTTATTATTAATGAACTAAATAATAATCTAGTTCATTATTATATCATATAATAAACAAAAACTATATTTAAAGTTTTTGAATATCTTATGTTAATTTTCTATAAAAATCTCGATCTATTAAATTAGATCAAATTTTTATAGATGATTTGTAATAATAATATTTATAAATCTATAATTATACTTAAATATTTCTATTATCAAATCAAATCAAAAAGATAAGGTTTGTAATAGATTAAATATTTTATAGTTATTACATTTATATTATTAATATATCCTTCTATTCTTAGTTCTATTTCATTATTGATGTGTGTATTTTCCTTATAATTATAAATATTCTAATAACAAATATAAACTAAAATTTGCTAATTTATTTTTGAATCTCTTAATACTTTACCTTTTGAAGTAAAATATTACTATAAATAATATACATAATTACTAGTAATAAATACACTTTAATTTCCTCTAACATAGCCTAAAGTTTATAAAATGTTTATTTTTAACAGTGCTATATTAAAATAGAGAGATTTTATTTTTATTTTTGGTTATTAGATTAAATAATTAAAATCTTAAAATAATGAACGCAAAGGGAGCAGGATTGACATATGTTAGTGAATATAAGTCTGATGAATTTAGAACTTTTAGAGGAGGTCTGAGACATTTACCAGAAAGAGCAGAATATATGGCACATAATAGCAAGAATAATTTATCAAATTATCATGATAAATTCAATTATGAAAGAGTAAATAAGTTAATAAAACAATTAAGGGTTTTATTTAGCATTCAAGATCATTATCTAATCAACATCACAATTTTCATTATATGTTTGGAGGTCCTAAGGAATATTTATTCAAAAGACTCTTTTATGGTGCATGGTACAGAAAGAATATTAGAAATTTCTGGTTCCCTGCAGTATTTAGCTATGGACGTAATCATTTTATTAAAGAATAGTTGGATGTTTTTGTATGAGATTATATGATAATGCAGCTCATGATTTCTTTTATTTCACAGATTGAATTATTTCATATAAATAATAATCCATAAATATGTATATCCTTGATAAGAATATATTTATACATTTATGTATATTGTTATATTAAAAATTCTTAAGCAAACTAATTTTAATTATAACTCTACTTTACTATAAAGAGTTTATATAATAATAATTTGAGGAAGTAAATAATATATGAGTAAATTAAAGATCAAATTTGTAAATATATAATATTAATATATATATATAAATTAATTTTGTGAAGATGAGTGAAGCATAAGCAGACCGTATCTTATCAATTGCAAATCAAGAGACAGTTAATAGACTATTTAGAGTTTGCTATAAATAAATAACAGGTTTACAAATATTTAAATGATTGAATAGGTTAAAGACCTATTGGAAAATTTTAAGATAGCGATCATTAAGCTGTATTGAATTGCCACAGAAGATTAGTAGAAGTATTAAAAATTGTAGCACCAGCAATTGTACCATTAAGAGAATGATTCAATTGTTAAAATATAATATAATAAAAACCATAATATATATTAATAAGTAATATTTAGATTTCTTCTACAATTTTCAATATTTTTATATTATTTCATATTAATTATTGTGTAATATTTATATGTAAATTTTTATATTATAAAACACTCATCTTCTCATACCCATAGGTGGTCTTCCTGGTTATCCTTTTGGTTTCATTTTGGTATCCTAATCAGATTTAGGATTTTTAACAGTCTCATCAATTGATAAAATTGCACAAGCAGCCTAAATTAAAATTGAAAAAATACTTCAGTTGCAGAACATAGTGCATTTCTTTTGACTAAGGTTGGTTCCCATACAAATGATTAATGAGTATCACAAACTCCAGATGCACCATTAATATCAACACCATACCATCTACCTTCTTCACCACCTTATGCATGTTTTTATCTTAATTTATTCATAATTTCAATAGAATTCAAACCAGCATTTTCAGCAATAGTTCTAGGAATAACTTCAAGTGCTTTTGCAAAAGAATTGACTATATATTATGTTTTTCCTGTAACTGATCTTGCATAATGTCTTAAGAATCTTGAAATTTCTAATTCAATTGCACCACCTCCAGCTACAATTTTATTTGCTTTGAAACATCTTCTAACAATCATAATTGCATCATTTAAAGATCTTTCTGCTTCTTAAATAAATTATTCTGCTCCACCTCTTAAAACTATAGTTGCAGTTCTTGACTATTTTTATAATTTTAATAAATTACTTAAGGACAATTTTTAAATAAATTATATCTTTCAGCACCAACTTAAACTTCTTCAAATAAACCACATGTACCAAAAGTCTCTGGATTTAATCCATTAACAGTTGTTTATACTTAACCACCAGTTGCCTTAATTAATAAATATAAAATATACTTTTTATACTCTTAATAAATCTTCTTGAGCAACTCTACCAGCACAAAAGATGTTTCTATCTGCAAAATATTATGTAGCCAAATCTCCAATGGGTAATTTAGATAATACAATTTATGCACCTGCTTTAACTATAATTTCTAATTTCTCATATATTAAAGCCCATTCAGCATCCACTATTGATTAATATTCTTCAGGTTTCTCAATTCTTATTTCAGCATTTTCTTTCTCACTCTTCAATTCTAATTCTAGATTCAATAAACAGATTTTTGGATTCTCAAATCTCTTAGGTTATTATTCAAATCCAGCATAAGAGAATGTTTTCTTAAATGCTACTCCATCAACTAAAAATGAGTCTGTTATATTTCCACCTGTTACATTTTTTATTCCTATCAAATCTCTATCTAAAATATTAGGATCTAATTTTTCAACAGCTGAAACAACTAATTCACTAAAAAATTGCTTTGTGTTCGCTAACTAAAATTTTAAATATTATAATACCAATTTTGAATTCAAAGCTGTTTAAGCACATTTTATTAATGTATCCCTTTTACTTTCAATAGAATCCTTGCTAATATTAATTGAAAATCCCTCTAATTTTTCTAATGCCAACTCCAAAGCCTTTCTATAACCTTAAATAACAATTTATGGATGAATTCCCTCTTCTATGAATGGCTTAGCCTCTTTAAGTAACTCAGCTGCCAAAAGAGTAGTAGATGTTGTACCATCACCAACCTCATCATCTTAAGATTTGGCAATATCTACTAAAACTCTTGCAGCAGGATGTACAACTTCTAATAAATTCAAAATAGTTGCTCCATCATTTGAAATAGTAACTTTAGGGCCTGTCTATATCATTTTATCCATTCCTCTAGGTCCTAAGGTGCTCTTTACAACATCCGCCACAGCTTAAACTGCATTAATATTAGAAACAATTTATGCTCTTCCTTAAGATGTATCTGTGCCTTCTCTTAATAATAAGATTGTGGGTTATAAGAATTGGGACATTTAATACGCAATTATATTTATTTAAATTTAGTGGCATTTTCTTTTATAAGTTAATTTTTTTTAATGTAATATTTTATACGAAAAAATATTAAATAAATATTTCATCTAAATCAAAATTATCTATTATGAAATCTATTCTTGTTTTATTTTAAATGGTTATAACTTAAATTATTAAATTTATATAATAATAATATATATAAATGGTATTATTTTTTAATCATTTTTGTATTATAAGAACTTATTTCTAATAAATCTATAAATTTTACAATCTAAAATAATCTTTTTTATTAAATCATATAATATTTAACAAAAATGAATATATTTAGATAATAATTTTATAATTAGAAAATTGTGATGAATTAGATATAATATTTAGTTGTTAAATTTTGACTAATATTTCTAAATTTATATTATATATTTTATTCTAGAAAATATATATAAATTAAATGTTAAATTATGATATCATTATTTAGTAGTTATAAATTATGGGATGGTAGAGTAAACTATGAAGTAGATAAAAGAAGAATGAAAATATTTATTATTGAGTTATTATAATAATCTATTTTTAATAATGAATAATATTACGTTGACATTTCATTCTAAATAATTAGAAGATAACTATTAAATGAATCGATTATGGGCACGGAAAGTAATTTACTTAGGAATTATATTTATTGTGCTAATAAATAATATACTTAAGTTAATAGTTGATTCAGTTGATTAAAAAAATACTTCCTGGCCTATAGAACTAATAATAGTAATTTTATGTCTTATTGGATTGATACTTTTTACAAAACTAAAACCTTATCTTCATATTTGTTTAATACTTATAAACTATATTTGTGCTATAGAGTACTTTTAATTAGACACATCATATTCATTATATTAAGCATATGCAAAAGGATGTAATATTATGGTTATCTAGATGATAATTTTATTTGGAACAGAATTTAAACATTGTTTACATTAGATAATATTCATATCATCTATCAGAATTTTATTTTCATTTATACTTAATAATGAATATATGGCATACTAATATTTTTTAAACTTCTCTTTAATCATAGCTTAGATAATCACATATTATAACTTAAATTTAGCTTTAAGGAAACAATATTTACTAAAATTAAAAGAAGATTAATAATGTAATTATCATTTATATAAAAAGAGTAGTTTATACCAATTGTAATTAAATAACCATTTTATTTTTTTGAATATAAAAGTTATTAATTTCATTTGATAAAAACAAATGCACATTAATCAAATCTTAATTAAGTGGATCTCTTGTTAGATTATTGTTAAGGATGTCATTTAAGATAAATGTTAAGAAATTATAAATTAAAAGGTTAAACTTTAGAATAATTTATTATTGAAAGAATGAAATAAAGAAATGCTGAATAATATTCTGAATAAGAATTAGAAATATAAACTAATTTTAAAAATAAATAAGTTATATCTTATTCAGAATTATTCTCTGATAAAACATAATTCTTAATTGTTTTTAAATAAAATGTAACTGAATTAAATTAATATCTACAAATCAAAGATTATTATGATAAATTTTAATAATTTATTACTAATCATATTAGTAACACATACAAAATTCTTAAATTACCAAAATAAAAAATAATTAGAAATTTGATTAGATTAAATTTAAGTTGTATATCTACATTCACATTTAAATAATCAACTATAAAATCTTTTGATGCAATCAAAGTGTTAAAAGTATTAAAAACTATTGTACATTAAGATGTAAAAATTGATGCAAATGAAGTAGAATTAGTTGTACATACTTATAAAATTTTGTTCATAATTTCATTTTATCATATATTTGAAATTTTTAATTAGATGAATGTAAATGTACATAAAAAAATAAAATTGACTAGCTTATCAAATTTAGACAATAATTATTTATAAATTTCTATAAATTTTAGTTAATCAAATAATTTTATATAAAGATGGAATGAAAATAAAGTCTTAAAGAAGATGGAAATCAATTTTTTCTTTGAAATAATTCCAAATGAAACATTCATCATAACAATTCGTGATTTAAGTTTGAGTGTTCCATATTCAAAACCATATCAAAGAAAAAATCACTATTATTAAAATTTTGATGACGAAACAAATCGAATAAAATGATCTTTGTGTATATTCATGATTGTTTCTATTTTAATTTAATAAGTATCAATTATTCAATTAGATTATTCAGATATTTTATCTACTATTTAAAAAGATATACTAATATTATAAAATAGTATATCTCTATGTATGAAAAATTACTATTTTAATATCAAATTAAATCTAAATTTCCTTAAGAAATATCAATATTTATCTTCTTCAAATTTAAGGTGGTATTATGAATTAACTTTTTACATCTTGATTTTAATACATCAAATTAGATTTATATATATATTTATATTAAATCTTTAAGTAAGGTGATTAATTATATTCCTAATGATAGTATTCAATCTTTTTGTTCTGCTATTATAAGCTACTAATGCTAATAAAACAAAAGGAAGTATTAAATATTAAAAAAATTATAATGATTATAAATTTTTTAACAATTAAATACCAGAGTGAAATTAGAACAATTTCAATAAAAAAAATAAGTATCTTGGTTAATATAGTTTTATGAATATTATATAACTAAATATGCAAAAAAGAATCTTAAATAATCTCTTACAAGATAAAAGATATATAAAAAAACAATAGACTTTTCGAGAATCTAAGTAAATAGATAGTTTTCCAATTTTGATAAGAAATAAAAGTTGTGAATGTTAAGAATGTGGAGGAGGAATTAAAAAATAATTAGAAGAGTATTAATTAGGATAAGTAAATGAATCAAAGTTTGTACCTAAGTTAATTGCTTAACATGAAAATATTAAGTATTGTGATATTTCATAATCACATGAATTAAAAATAACAAAGTACATTTGAAAATTATTGGTTCTTAGAAATTTATTTTATTTAATTACACCAAAGAAAATAGTACTACAACAAAATACTAGCCTAACAGAATAACCATTAATTAGTCCTACATTAGAATAACCTAAAAGGAATATACAAAAATTGCATAGACTCATTGAAAAATATGACTACAAGGTTGAATCAAATGTATAATAAATTTGTAAAACTATGCCAGATACCATATCTATTCCAATATAAAAAGTTAAAATTTAAAGATAGAAAACAAAATAATATTCATTTATAAGACTTTTACCTCTAGAAGATGAAGACGATAACTAAAATATTAATAATGCAAATTCTTCAAATTCATAATAAAAAACTCCACTTAGAGTTTAAGTATATAAAGAATTAAAAGGAAGTTCTATTTTATAATAACTATAAACTCCTATATTTAGAAAGTCTAAGTTTAATAAAAATTAAATAATAGATTTTGAAGATGGGATGAGAAAAGCAATGGAGAAAATTAAAGAAATGGATGAAGTATCAAATACTAGTAAAATGATAAGTACTTAAATAAATGATGAAAATAAGACTAAAAGCAGAGGATCATTATTATTAAAGTCTTTTTTAGATTGCACAAGATAAATAGATAAGGATCCAAATATCATTAAATAGTTAGATGTATTTTTGAGGCCTGAATCTAGACAATAAAAATAAATGCTGCAATCTAAAACATTTTCATATTAAAAAATTTATTTACCAAAATTAAATAAAAAATGATAAATTTATTATTAATTTGTTTTTATTATAATGCTACAATTTATACAATAATAAATTTCATAACATACTTAAGCTAAAGAAAAACAGATTGGTATAAATGTTTCTTATTTTATATATAGTTTAATATTTAGAATAAAGTTAATTTTCATTATATGAGGATATGTTGATTTTAGAAAAAATGTTAATTGATAAACTAACCTATCAAAATTTTGAGTAATTATCAGAAAAATGTTATAAAAAGACTCCTGATGAATTAAAACTTAGATATATTAATTGTATTAAGAAATTAACAGAAGATGATTTAAAATAAATTATAGAATTTATTAAAAATAATGGTTTGGAGGGAATATTATTTTATGACAAAAAAGAATTATAAATTTGTAAAATCAATGAGGAAATCAAAAAGAAAAAGGATGCAAAATAAACCAAAAAGGAAATAATATAATTAGGGGAACCTTTATTGAAGAAAAAGATACGAATTCAACCAGATTTCTAACCTTAAATCTAAAACTATTATTAACTTACTGATTTATAAAAATAAATTTTATATTGTAGTACTCCTACTTATTAAGAATAGAGGTTTCCTACTAATCCTAACTATTAATAATTAGAAAGATTGAAATAGGAATAATTTTAAAATGCTTTACATGATTTAAGCTTATGGTATGATATACCATTTTAGAAAATGATCTTACTTTTGAAAGCTTGTTCAGGAAACTTTCAAAATTTGAAATAATTTCTTGAAAACAAAAACTACTTTATTTATTGGATGGCAGAAGAGGATCAAAAGTTATAATCAAAAGAAGAAATCAAATCATTATATTTAACAAAGGGAGCAATAGAAGTGGAGAAAAGAAAAAAGTGGCTACATAATGAATGATTTTATTTGAGTTTAACTTCAAATATAAAGTTGAAATTCTGTTCAAGAAAGCTATAATAAAATGTTTTTTTATAATCAACATATTCTAAATTTATCTCCACAATTGTAACATTCAAAAAATTTAGTTGTTGGTTCATCTGATGCACGTGTTTATTTTTCATCTACAAGATATACTTTTTTTTGTCCACATCCTTTACAAGTCTTTCCTTCTATTCCTTCCATTTCTCTTTTACTTAAATCCTTATAAAAACCAATTTATTCTGCTTCCATTTTCTCCTTAATAATTCTTGCTTATTCTTATTTTGTTTCATCATCAACCCAATCAGCTGCTCTATATTTTTTATTTTATTTATACCTTAATTATGCTGCAGAAATAGGATCAAAAGCTTTTTTAAAAATTCTATAAGTAAGAGAACCATTTTTATCTTTCTTTAAAAAACCCGCTAAAATTCTCAAATCTTATTCATATGCTTTTCTAGAACTATGTTCTTATCCTCTTTTATAATATATAGTTTTTTCCATAATTTCTACACATTCTTTGATAATCTAATAATCAGATTCATTTAAATCATTCTCTTTCTTGAAGTTCAAAATGTTTGCAATAAACATTTTACTTATTCCATTTAAATATTTGAGCCTATCTGCATAAGCTGGAGATGGTACTCGATAATTAGCAAAAAGATCAATATCAGGTAATGATCTACTACTCTAAGTGCTCTATACACTATTTTACTTTTAGATCTTTATTTCTTCAATTGCCTATTATTATTATTCTTTTGAAGATCTTTAAATAGCCTTAGCTTAAGAAAGTCTTTTGAAACGATCTTATAATGCTGAAGCTTTGGCTTTGATCGTTGTAACTAAAGGATCATTTTTATCATCTATGATTGTAAGAGTATGCAGTGTTTTTTATATTTTAGATTTATTAACATTTTCCCATTCAAGTGGAGATTATTCTAATGATTTCAAAATACAAAGAGTTTCTGTAGGAAACTTTTTCCAATCTAAAAGTTTTTTTCTCAAATCGTACAATTCTTAATAATCCATAAATAATTGAATTTATTTTAAAACATAATTCTTTTTTAATTGATAAAAACCATCAAAAACTAATAATAAAATAACAGAATTTATATAATTATAGTAGAAATAAATGAATTAAAAAAAATATAAATAATTAATGATTCATCGATTTTTTCCTTTGATAGTATTCCAAATAGAACCTAAATTATCTTTGATATCTCCTAAATTCTTGGTGATGTTTGAAAATCCATTCATAACTTATTCTCCTTTTTATTTAAAATCTTGCTAGAAATATTTAGTTTAAATACAATCTTTTCTTTCATAGATTCTTCAAATTCTCTTTATCTAACAAATTATTAATATGCTTCTTTCTCTTCTTATGAATAAAAGGTTTTTCTTTTATTTTCATTATGATATGATTTTGCAAACTCCTTATATTATTAATCTCTTGCTCTTGCATACATTTCTTCCTATTTGATTCTATCTTCATACTCCTACTTAGCTCTCATCCTCTCATATTGTCTATACTATTATTATTAATTTAGATGCTCTTATGCTCTTCTTATTGCTTCATCAAATTGATTTCTAGTGTTTTGATTTTGACTTATAAATAAAACATATAATTTTACTAATAATCCTAACCTTATCTATATTGAGAATGAGATTAATATTTTCTAGAGTCATAATATTATTGCTATTATTAGTTTTAATTATTTTAGGATTAGGGTGTTCTTGCAGTATCATATTCCTTTTTTGTATTTTCATCAGACAACACCTAAGAATATACAAATGATTACTTCATAAGCTTCATTAACTTCTTTAAATTTATCTTCTTTGCCTTGGTTAACATCTGGGTGAAATTTCTTGGCTAATGCATAGTATGCTTTCTTGATGGTAGGTTGATCATTAGTTTTTGATATATTAAGAATAGCATAATAGTCTTTGAGTTGATTGAATTTAGCAATTCCATATAAAGATTTATAGGATAGCATATGAAAAATTAAAAAATTAAATTAAAATTGTCACTATTAATTATAAACACTTCTAACAATAAGTTCATTATACATCTCTGGTAGTAAATCTTAATTTTTATAGACATAATCATAGAGTAAATCTCTTTCATAAAGTTAGCATTCAGCTTTTGTGACATGATTATATAAAAATGTTTTATCTCCTTCTCTTCTGAATTTCATTATAAAATACAATTAAATATTAGCCTTACCAACTTCATTAGCATTAACACCATAATAATGTCCAGTTATTTCTTCACCCATTTAAAATCCAATTTATCCATATTAATCTTTAAAGTCAATTTCTGTTGAAACAACACCAAATTATGGAAATTGTTTAATGGAAGCCAAGAAATCTTACATATTGCAAGGATCCTCTTTTTTTTTCATCAATTTCTTTTTTTATTCAAAAGCTGATATTTTAATTAGTCTTTTAGATATAGGAGGACAAGCAATATCAGTTGATCTTTAAGATTCCATTTTGATAGATGATTTTTCTAATTTCTTATTTCTCTTATTTTATTTATTCAATTAAACACCACGTTCTCCTTTTAAAGGATATATATATTCTTGTTATTTTATTTCCTAAAATACTTCATCCCTTCTTTACATATAATCTAATATAAATAAAGCTCCCAAATGTTCAAAGATATTATCTTTCATTTTATCATTGATATTAGATACAACAAGTGATCTCTCATCTTCATTTAAAGATTGAATAAGTCTTCTAACTTAATTGAAATAAGCAGGAGATTTAATCTATTCAATTGATTTTTAATTCCTTAAATTTCTCAATCTTGTCTATACTTTTTATTATTCTTTAGGAGATTAAGATTTTTCACTTAAATTGTCTTCATTTTGTTTTTCCTAATTTTGAAGTTATTATATTTCTTAAGATTTTTGTTAAACAGGATTAATTTCATCAGTTTCTACTTATTCATTCTTTACAAACTAAGATTTCTTAGGTTAAGTTTGATTAGATTTTTCTCCTGTTGATGTTGGAGATTTCTTTCTTGATTATGAAGATTTGGCTTTAGATCTAGATTTTTTGCTTCTTTTACCAAAATCAGAATCTTTAGAATCTGAATGAGATTCGTATTCTTGTTTTGGTTAAATTTATTTTCTACTAGATCGATTTGTCCTTTTTGTAATTTCCTTAGGTGTAGAGATTGATTTGATATTCTCTTTATTTATTGTATCCTTGAGTGTAGTGTTAAGTTTGTCTGTATTAGCTTAGTCTATTTGTTCTTCTTCTTCTTAAGGATCTGGTATGACTTTAATTTTTTCAAGTGTATTTTATTTTTAATGTACTCTATATCCTTCTACTTAACCCTCATTTATAAACTAATAAAATAGAAAATAATCTGCATGTCGCTAGTATCTACGAACAGAGGATATGTTGTGTACTCCAAGATTCTCAATTGGCTCCCAGGTTCTTTGTGATTTGGGATAATTTTTCCATTTGACACAGTATTGCATTTTGTTATTCAGTATTTGAGAGCCGAATATATATTGTATATCATATAGCTCAGAATTATCCATTAATATTATTAATGAATAGCTTTAGTAATATTTGAAAGGATTGTCAAATAATGGCTTGTTTTTTTTTGATTATTTTTATGTGATATACATTCATTTAAACTATATCAAATAACTAATAGAACTCTTCGAAACTAACAATTTAGACATTCTATCTAACTCTTATAGATGAGAGAATACTTAAAAAATATAAAAGAATTTTTTATTGTACCAAATGAAACAATGATTATTTTTATTATTAAATTTAATACCTAAATTATTTATCAATTAAATTAAATATTAAATGATTGGGAGATGACAGAATTTAATATATTTTAGATCTTCTCTTAATCTATTGTTATTAAACTCACAAGAATTAAAATATAAAGATAATATGAATATCACATTATTTAATTGATTTTATTATTGTAGTTTATGGTAATAAAAATTTGATATACCTAAAATAATTTAGATATAAGTATTCCATTTTTATTTAATATCAAAACACTAATTTATTTCTAAATATAATTAAAGAACCCAAATATTTAATGTTGAATTAATAGAGTATTACATAAAATTGTATTCTAATTCAACTATTATTTTATCATTCTTACATTCTGACTTCTTTCTTATGCTTTTATGACTTCCTGTAATTTTTAACCGTTCCTTTGACTCATTATTTCTTTGTATTTTGTTATTCATATGACTATGTCTATTTTAGTGTATTGTACCCATCTAAACAAATCTAACTAATATGCTTTGAGTTAAGTATATTTTCTTAAATAGACTCCTTATTCTTCACTAAATACTTCAAATTCAAAGGAATACAATTGATTTACACATTCTTATTAATTAGATGAATATGCTAAAACAATTTTGAGCTTAATAATATATTTATTATTTAAATCATTATTCAATCTAATCTCTAAATCGCCAAGTTGCTGCAGTACCAGCACTAAAGCCTCTTAATGTCTTAGCTTTGAATAAGGCAAATCCTACTCCATAACCAATAACTGCAAACAATGCCCCTTAAATGAAGCCTTTTGTTATCTTTTAATCTTTTTCAATAAATTCCTTTGTTGTTTTGAATGGTGACCATAAAACACTGCCCTCTTTAGACATTGTAATATAAAATTAAATATTAATTTAATATTATATAATATAAAATCATCTAAAATTATATAAGATTATTTCATGTGGCTGGATGTGAATCTAATTATTAATAAGGAATATATATTTAGAAGAAAAATAAAAGTTAGTTAATCTTCTCAAAAGTATATCTAAATATTAATATACTTAACTACCCTCAAAGATTCCTCTCTATAAATAATAGTAAAATGATTATCAATGATTCTCGCTTATTTTATTAACCAAAATATCAATATACTTTTATTTTTAATCAATATAAATAATTAAATAATCTCTTTATTCATCTTTATTTAATGAAGTATACTTTAAAATATAATCTACTTTTAGTTTGATTATCTACTTTCAAAATGATCATATTGATATAGAAGAATTGTTATAATAAAGAAAGGCATAATATTAATTAATTAAATATTTCTCCAATATAAATATCTATATATAAGTCAATTATATCATCCTTTCTTTGCTAATTCTTATACTTTCTATTTAACATATGAATCTATCTTGTAATCTAATTTTTATTCCATAATTTCCAATCTCTCAATAATAGACAAGACATATCCTTTAGTCTTAAAAACTTAAATGTCTAACTAATCGATTTCTTTTTGCTTTGTTTTAAAGTCATTCAATTTCATTTTGCTCACTCCATGATTGTTAATTTATACATTAACTATTTAATTCGATAAATTTCTGATATCAATTATTTGACTAAAAATATTTCGTTGTTTTTTAACAATAATTTCTTGTTGTTTATCAAATTTTTCCTTTATTTACTCAATAATTTATTATAATGGACCAGTCTCTTTTAATCAATATAGATTTTACCTAATTAATGCTAATTAATTTCTGGATTGGTTAATAAACTATTTTATATTTCAACTCTATTCAAAATTTCCACAACTGGATCTACTTCTTCTTATTCTTTTTATATTGGTTGATCTCTAACAATAACAATGGATTCACTTGGACCCTATTACAATTGATCAATATCCTAATGCACTTCTTATGCATTGCTTTATGCCTCATTAAGTATTTGTTCATTGTCAAAATTAGCATTGATACTAGCTAATAAAGCTTAGACATCAATATCATTATTTTCTTCTTCTTAACTCATATTATATTTTAGATTATAAAAATATCATTTTTGTTTTGCATCACTATTTGTATTGCTTCCATTCTTTGATTAAGTACCTCCAAAAAAGGACATTAATCCTCCCAATAGACCATTGTTTTTAGGACTTTATGCTTGATTATGTTACTAATTTATTTAATATTGTTAAGCTTTTAATAGAAAGTTTCTATAATAGAATGTATTTATACTTAATTGATTTACAAATCTTCTTTAAATCCTAATTTGGTTAAATAATGAAGACTTCTTCTCTACTTCTTGATTTAACAGACAAAAAGAATGAGGATTCATCCTTAATTTTCAAATCTGTAATATCACTTGCCTTATATTAGAATTTTTAAGCTGCTGTTTCTAATTCAAATATGTAATCATTAAATAGATTTTGTCTTAAGATAAATAGACAATCAATATCCAAAAATTAATTATGCAAAATGAGTTTATATTAAATAAATTTGCCTCTAGTTTCTTCAAGTTCTCCTTATAATTAAGCCACTTTAAATCTAGAATCATCCAATTCTTTATGTAATACTCTTAATTCTTCATCTTTCTATTACATTTCTTTATCTAAAGTCTTAAATTTCAATTAAATTTCCATCTTCTCAGCTTTTAAATCTTTAATTTTATTATATAAATCTCTCTCTATATCTTCAATATTCTTTTTGAGTTGATTATTTAATTCTGTCTTTTCTTCTACATCCTTTATCAATTTTTAATGAGATATCTCTTTATTTTTCAAATCTCTTTCCATCTCCTTATAGGCAGTCTATAAAATAGCAAATCTAGCTTCATAATTAGTAATAGTTGAGTCTAATTCTCTTGCAATATGTAAAATCTTTACTGTTTGAGTTTAGTTACTTATTTAGATTAATCACTACTATTATTATTTGGTTCTTTTAAATAAGAAGATTATGTTAAATTGGATTAATTCTAAAATAAAATAGTTCATGATTACCATAGTTAATTAACCTTATAAATCTCTCATCATTGAATTATGTTTTTCTTCCTAATATTATTAAATTGAATCATACTATATCTTCTCTTTCTTTAATTAATTAATTATTTTTAAGAGTTAATTCTGCAATCTATTTTATTAATTGAGATTTCTCTTCTCTTAAATCTATTACTGCCTTTTTTAAAGTGTTTATCTTTTATTTGTCACTGATTTTATTAACACTACCATTATCAGATGCACTATCAGTCTAACTTTTAGGTGGTTTTAAATTCATCATTTTTATAAAAAATAATTTATTTTATCATTATTAATATACATATTATCTATAATAATAATATTTATATTAATCCATGATAATTATATTATTCATATTGATTACCATCACATATTCACAATTAACTACTATAATTGAATAGCCAATTATACAACCAAATAGCTATTTGTAATTAGGATAAGTTATTGGAGATTATCAGAAATAAAACTTTAAAGTAGGTAATCTTATAGTCAATTAAACTTTAATGTCATCTAATAATAAGACTTTTTAAGTAATTTTATTGCCATACGACGATCCTAAGTATCCTTGTCTTATTCAATAATTCTAATTCCCCAATAAAACCTAGAATACTTAAAGATGTGGATTCTAATAAACAGATAGTTAATGTCTTAATAAAACACTTTATGTAAATTAACTTAACAATTCATATGTTTTCTATGAAGGATGTTACTCTATTTCAGTTAATTATTTTGATGATGAAATCAATAAGTATTAATAAACTTTATGGATCCTCATTTTGATTAATTAGGATGATGAGAGTATTATTCAATTAACATCTACATATAATATAGTTATTGATAACACTATATCATTTTATTAAATATCCCTTGTTCTATGTATTTTGCTAGGTATATTTATTGTGATATCTATTTCTGTGCTTTGTATTCTCAATCATAAATATTAGAAGATTAAATAATAAAATATCACATTAAAATTAGTAAACAGAACAGATGATTACCAAAAAACAAAATTATTATGATTCATTACATTATTACTATTAATAATAATAAATTATTTATATTTATGAATTATTATACTACATTAGATGGAGGATCAAAACTCTAAGATATTATAGAACAGATTAGATAAATGGATATCAATACTTCAGAAACACTTAAACAAAGAAATGTTAAATTATAAAACAATGAGTCTATAATTATGGTAATTTCAAATTACATTTTCTTAGATAGATAAACAATTAACAATATCAATTGACGGCATTAATGATTCTATTAAATAAGCTAGAATTTTATTAAATAAATCATCAAATCTGTATTCTATGTAAATCAACTAGTTCTCAAAATGATATCTTGAGATTCAAAAACTTAATAGATGAATTTTAAAATAATTCTGAAAAAATTAGAAAAGCTTTAGAAATCAAATAAGTTTTCAAAATTGTATACATTCAATTATTATTTATTATAGGATATTCCTGAAACTAAAATTGATTTTACTTCCAAATCTAATGTTGAAATGGTTTAAATGCAAAAATAGTTAGTTTCAAAATAAAATGAAACCATAGATAAAATGATTGATACCACAGGGAGAATGTAAAATAATGGCAAACAGATTAATTTGGCTTTAGATGAGGATAAAGTTATTTTAAGGAGATTGAATGACAATGTAAAATTAATTATTCTTATTTTAGGTTGAACAAACTACTCATGAAATCAAAGTTACTGATTCTAATCTTAAAAGTTTATTATCATATGCTAATGATTGTTGTTTATGGACAACCATAATAATACAATTTATGATTTTTGTTTTTCTTGTTATATATTGATGATTTATCATAAATTTTACAATAAATCAAATATACAACTTTTATTAAATTTCAATTATCCAAAATTTTATATAAATATTTTTATCAATCAAATTCCTTAAATCTCCATATTGATAAGTTCTATCAATCTTATAATCATTTATATAATAATCTAAATTCTTTACTCTACATTCTCATTAAGTTTCAAAATCTTTATTGTTAAATAAGAAAAAATCTAACATAAATATCATTATATAATTAACTGGATGAATTTAAATTATCTAAATTTTATATCCAAAAAATATAATCATTAATTCTAACAATATAATTTTGATTTCTATACTCCACTAACTATTTTACTTACAATGATTAATCATATCTAAAATCATTTTATTTACTATATTAAAATTATTTGAATTCAATACTACCAATATTGTAATTACTTAAGATTAAATTATACCTTTTTCAATTTCCATTTCTTGAAATAATTTTAGTTACATTAGATTAATGTTAAATTGATTTAAATATAACTTTATTTTTTGCTGAGTGATAGATCTAGATAATCAATATCAATCATTGCTGCTTTTGACTTGATAAATAGAATCAATTAATTTTTATGTTTATAAATCAGATTGAATATTAAATTATCTGGCTAAATTCTTTTTCTTTTAATGATATTTTGATCAACCAAAAATATCAATGAATTTAGTGATCAGTTATTTCTTTGTATCAGTTTATCTAATTTATATTTAAAAGGATATTGTTGCATATAATAAAAGGTTGTAAATAAATTCATAATGTATTATTATTCTTATTAATACTACCAATAATATTTCTATTTTTTTTACAGAATTAGTTGTTAAGAGGATTATAAAAATTAATGAGATAATTATTTTCTAATACATATAGATTTATTAATATCATAGCTTTATCTAATAATTAAAAAAAAATCCTTGTATTGTTAATCAAGTCATATAACAAATATGAACAGAGTGATTTATTTAATTGTGAATAAATTTAAATATATTTAAATCTTTTTATTATGGGCAAGAATTACAGAAATAGATCAAAGACTTCAGATACACCAAGAAAGCCTTTCGAAAAGGAACGTCTTGACAATGAGTAATTTTAATATTTATTCAATTTTAGATTGCAAATTATTGGTAAGTATGGATTAAAGAACAAAAGAGAGGTGTGGAGAGTTTAACTTACTTTGGCTAGAATTAGAAAGGCTGCAAGAGAATTGTTGACTCTTGACCCAAAGGATCCAAGAAGATTATTTGAAGGAGAAGCATTAATCAGAAGAATGGTTAGATTTGGTTTGTTATCTGAATAAGAGAGAAAGTTGGATTATGTCCTTGGTTTAACAACATAAAAAATGATGGAAAGAAGACTTTAAACCTTTGTATTCAAAAGTAATCAAGCATCATCAATTCATCATGCCAGAACTTTAATTAGATAGCGACACTTTAGGTATTTAATACAATTTATTTATTATTAGAGTAGGAAAGAGATTAGTCAATTCTCCATCCTTTTTAGTAAGAGTAGAATCAGAAAAATTGGTTGATTTTGCTGTCACATCACCATTTGGTTAAGGTAGAGAAGGAAGAAGAAAGAGAAAGAATGCTAAGAGAGTAAAGCCAAACAAAGAAGAATGAAAATAATATTTTAGCATAAAGTACAATATTATAAATCTACTCAGTTTGTATTAAATCATAGGACATAGAACAAAAAATCTTTATTTTTTTAAACATGTTATCAATTTTGTATTCTGTTCTTACTTAAACATGTAAAATAATTAAAAAATTATTTAAAGTAATGAGACTTTAAATATCTCTTAATTATTTATGATATATAGAATTAATATTAGTTATGATATCATAATACAATATTAATTCAAATTGTTTTCATGATATTTATAAAAATTATTATTCTTAATTTGAAGTCTTTATTATAGAAAATCTCTTATAACGATTGATTGTTTTCATTTTCATATAATTTTGATAATTAATATACAATTTATATTTAGATGATAAATTTTTTATAAAATAATTCATTTTCTTAAAGGAATTTTTTTATAATTATCGTTAAATGTATTTGTAAACTCTTTCTTTTTTACTAGTCTTTCTTAATTTGCTTATTATGCATCTGGAATTACATGTTGAACTTTATCTGTCACTTCAACCTTTTTTTATTGTGCTGAAAATTGAGTTTTATTAGGTTCATATTTTGAATATATTTATATTTAAGGTTTGACTTGCTAATTATGTGAGAGATCATAAGTTGATGTTAATTATCGTGTTTCAAACTATTTTTTAATTTTATTTTTATACATAAGATTGTTAACCATGACCAATTAATAAATGATTCTGTAACCCACCATGACTGAAAGTTGTTTATTTATAATATTCTTTCTCTGCTTCTGTTTCTTATTATCTAGGCATATTAAGTAATGTATTTTATAGGCCAAAAGTATCTTTCATTGTACTGTTGGGTATTTTATGTACATTCTAATAATATATATTATAATTGAATCTACTTATTTCATATCCATTCCAAAAGTTTCCTCATTATAGTTACCTATTTTCACTCCATAACGATATTTATTGACATTGTCTTATATTTTAGTGTAGTCTAGATTCATATTTAATATTAATTTTTATAAATAAGAATTAATTCATTCATATATGAAATTTAACATTGATTTGTTTTTTGATAAAAATAAATTCTAATCATATTCTAAGTTAAATGAGAATCTAAATATTTAAAATATTTTTAATAGTCCTAAATTTTATAATAAATTTATTCAAACATATAAAGTAAGATTTATGGGTATCTATAAACTAAATAAATACATAGAAGAGAATAATGAGAAAACAAATTTATTTATGTTTATAATTTAATTAACATGGAAATACTTTAAGTGAATCAAAAAATTTAATTAGTTAATTTTTTAAAGTTGTGTATCTTAATTTCAATTATGATAGGGAAATCAAAATCTAGGAAATTGAAGATAGTTCATATAGAATATTGATTATCCAAGTAATTCTTTGGTAAACATTTGAAATCTAATTTAATTAAAAAGTATGATTAGGAAGGACATTTATACTATTGGTAATACATTATGAATGAAAAAATGTTTTAGATTCTATATTATTTCAAAAAAAAAGATATTTAGATTCGAATTAAATTCTAAAATAAAGATATTTAGAATTTCCTGTTATTTATTTGTAAATTAGGATGCAAATTTTTTGGATATAATTTAAATATATAATGTATTAATAAGGGGAGGGATATAAAGATGAAATATTTCTTGATGATGATGAAGTTTTTAAATAAGATGAAGAACCATCAATATTTGATATTGTATATCAAGAAGTGGGGTGTATTTTACTCAAATATACCAACCTAAATCTTATAACATGTCCAAATACTCTTCATTATATTACCTTAAATTTTAATAATAATGAACCAATCTCATTTCTCTTTCAACCTAACTATATTTTAGTAGAACAATTAGCAGTTAATCCAGCTCTGAAAGAAATAGCTGATTAATTATAAATAGAGGATCTTATTAATCATAATTAGAATGATCATGAATATTTTTCAGACTACTATTAGCATTTAATAAAAGAAACATTCAAATCTCATATAAATTAAGCTTAAGAAATATTTTAAAAATAAGTAGAATTACTTTAAGAATAAAGAAATATGCCTTAAGTTAATTAAGAACTTTAATCAATATTTTTAGATAAACAGTTTTAATTTCCATTAAAATTAGATTATAAAAATTCTGAAATACTTGAAAATGAAATCAAATATAAACTCTTTGAATCAATTTAATTATTGTAATCTAATTATTTAAATAATTATCCTATAGGAAATAAATCTACTAAATTAGAATGTTCAGATACTGCATAACATTTATCAGGTTATAAAACTTAATCAGAATGTTTTGATATAACTCCATAAGTTTAGCCATAGGTTATAAGTTCTTTAAATAAAGAGAAGATTAAGATGATTGTTAATTGGTTAATTTAAGAGAATATTGCAATTCCTGAGATCATACTCTGTGCTGAATTAAAAAATAGAGGAAATGGAATGAACTTAACTTTTAATCCTAATTAATAAATTTTGAATATATGTGCATTTTATTATCACTCATTTTATGACGCATAACAAAATTAAACAGAAACTAAAAACATAAAAGAAGAAAATACAGATGAATTAAAAATAAATTAACAATTCAATGATAAAAAATAAAATACTAAAATAACCGAATATCTATTATTAATAAGAATGATAGATTTGGTAGTTAAATAATAAGAATCTCTTAAATCTAAAATAATTTAATTGATAAAATACCCTTAGTTAAAAAATTAAATAAAAAGATTATCAAGGATTTAAGAAGTTGATGCTCATTTTAAAATAGTTAAATAATTTATTGAAAAATTGGAGACAATACTTCTTATCTATGATGAAACTAAATAGATAGAAATAAAAAATGAAATTGAAAAGAAGAATTAAACATATTCAAATAGTTTGAGTGAAATCGATGATGAAAGCAAACCTATAAAATGTTAAAAAAAATATTATAAATTGCTTAAACTAATTTTAAAATTAATATTAATTGAATCCATAGAATAAGAAATACCAATCCCACAAATTTTGACTTGTTTATGGTTTAAGAAACATAAGGAGAAAATATTAGAAGGTTAAATAATTATTTAAAATTCTGTCTAAATATTACCTTCAAAATAAAGATTGATACCCTATCTATAATAAGAAAATCAGTTGAAACTTAAACTAGAATAAGTTTAATTATAATCTTTTTTAGAACTACCTGATACGTCTACATAAGAGTTAGAAGATTTTGAAAATTTTTTATAATAATTTAAATTTGACAATAAATATGGTAGAGATGTAGTTCTAATTGAAAAAATATTAATTATCATTCATAAAAAAAAAGATAGTATTAAAGATCAATTAACTTAAGTGATGTAAGATTATTAAAAAATTGAAAAAGCTAAAGAATAATTTAAAGATAGATTAGTATTACTTCCTAAATTAAGAACTAACAAGACTTAAATAAATGATGAACCTATTTTAGAAAATATTATAAAATTAATAGAGAATCTATAATTATACATCTGTTAAAGTAAAAATGATAATCTTATGATTAATGAAAAGTAAGTAAGTCATATTTCTAAAAAATAAATATCTACTATATAAAAATAGTAAATTATAGAATCTAAAAAATTAGATAAAGAAGGTTTGAAAGTATTTATACTATCTGGATTAATTACTTTAATTGATAATGAAGTGCCTTTACCAGACTTAATCACATACTTAGGAATTAAAAATAAATCTCAGAAATTCAGTCTTTAAATTAATAAGAATTATAGATTATAGGAATATTTAACTACATAAATGTAATTGAATAAAGTGGAAATAACTGATTAAGTAGAGAGTAAATTACTTATTAAAAAAATAAAGATTTAAGATGGGGAAAATATTACAATCATCCCTAACAAAGAATAGATATCAGAACCGTAATTGATTATAAGAGCTTTGAAATTAATTACAAATTGTGAAATGACAAAATAATTATCAGACATTTGGTAAAGACCTTCTGTGTTAAATTTAAAGAATTAAGTATATAAAAATAGTTTAAAAAAAACTAAAAATGATACTACAATAGGATAAATAAAAAAATAATTTAATAAAATTGATAATAAATATTATATATTTAATAATAATTAATAATGATCATTCAAAATATGAATGGAATTATCTTAAATTTGGCTATTTAACAATACTCTTGCCATAATTTACCATATTTTTCTCTGCAACGCTTATCATCTCTTGTAGCCCTGTGAGTCAGTAAACAAAATAAACTTAAAGGCAATATATAATTATTAAAAGCTTTGAATTCTCCACACATTGCAATAGAAAGATAAACTAAAATTTCTCCTGTGTAATTTAAATGTCTCCCTATACCCCACCATCCACTAATTAATAATTTATTTTATAATGTCTATGGTTTTTTATTCCATATTATTGCTTTATCTCCTAATCTTCTATATCTATCCTTTTACCAATTAGAATCTCTATACATATATAACGAAGTCACATGTAACAATGTTATAAATATCAGATAAATTGTTGGGCTATTCTGTACAAAATCACCTAAGTACCATCCTCCAATACAATATAGATAAGGTAAATATACAATATCTCCCCAAACTAACATAAACCCAAAGTTTTCTGCTATAATATCCCAAGTTGATAACATAAAATCTTCTCTTATATAATGTGTAATAAGCCACATAAACCAAAAAACTTGAAATAGAATCATGTTTATTGATAATGTTGAATAAGTATTGTATTAATATTCAGCAAATGATAATAAGAATATTTGTAATCCGATCAATGATGGTTCATAAAAATACATTTTTAAGTCTACATTCAAAATTCTAGGATTTTATTCTGATCCAAACCACCAATCATTTAATAATTAAGGTGTCCATGTTTGAATATGTGGCTTATAATGTAGACTCAATTTTCCTTTTATTAATAAAATAAAAGAAAACACAAAAGCCAAAATATTTGAGGCTATAAAAAATGACCAAAAATGTTCTATCAATGGTATTAATGTAAAATTAAAAAATACTTTACCCAATATTATTAATGTGAGTGTTAATATGTATGTATTTAATCCATTTATCTTATACATTAACACTTTTCCTTTTGGATCAGGAAATCCTTTGAATTGTGTTCCTGGTAATATCTTTGTGGATGCAAACATATATATGAAGTAGCCTATCTGACATTTGAGGGCAAAACACACAGAATTCCAATTTGATTCTTAAATGATTCCGAATGTACTATTATCTTACATTAAAATGATATTTTTTGAGAATATTATTAAATTCTCAAAGTTTAAGAAATCTATAGTCATAATTAATTTTTTTTAGAAAAAAGAAGGCCTTTAATAATAGTGTTCAGAAGAGTTGCATAAACATAGAGAAACTAAAAAGCATATATTAGTGATTGTTAGATCAAGAAATAAATAATATATATATATATATTATATATAAAATTTAAAATGGCGGAAGCTACACCAGAAATAACTCTTTAAGTGTATGTATAAGCATTAGAAAATCTATAAAATGCATATGAAATCCTTCATACTCCTTATCCCAATTTTATGGTTGAGAGTACTAAAATGATGGTGTCTCCTGAATATCCAGTTGAAATAAGATTGAAAATTGGTATATTATTGAAAGGGGTTTTGATTGAATAATGGGAATCAATATAGCCATCACGAAAAGTAATACGCGAACTCTTGTTGAATGGGTTGGTTATGAATGTTTCAAATATGCCTATTATTGAGTTAATTGTAATTTAATTAAAATATATATGTTAGTCATCCATTATAGTATAAATAATTTGCCTTGACCCAAGTCATATTTGGCCAAATCCATTAATTGAATTGTTAAATTGGATGGATGACTTTAATGCCATAGAATCAAGTTTAGAACTATTTTTGCAATTATTTGGAAGACTTAGTGAAACTAATGGTGAATAGTAGGCCTTATGTAAAGAGATTGTGCCATCAGTACTTGAGAAAGGATTCAGTATATTTGCTTAGCCAGAATTGAATGAGAAACTAAGAGAGAAAATCCTCTTATTAGTTTATTTAGTGTTCAGATCAATTTCCTTTGCAGATGGAACTGATAACTCTTTTGTAAATAAATGTCTAGATTCAACATTTTAAATATGGATGGTAAGATCTTATATGCATTATTTAGTCTTTATTTTTATCTGCATTATAAACATCTCCAAAATCACATATATTCATCAAGAAATTAGTGTTAAAGATATTGATTGTTGTGTTCAGAGACTTTGGAGTGTATAGTAGAAAATCATTGTCATTATCATTGATTCCAGTCTGGAAATTTTTTAATTCAATAACATAATTATATGTTGGTCACATAGTATACCAAATTGACATTGAACATATTGATAATTTATTTTAAGAAGAATCTAAAGAATTACCTTATACTAATTAAAGAATTATAAATTTGTAAAATGGTATTTATAAAATATAGAATTTAGATATTGAATATAAATATTTAAATGAAGATGATGATTATGATAATCATATTGAAGGACTTTGTGCTTATTCAATTGAATTGATTACTATTTTAGTTACTAAACCTGCTTTATATAATCTAATTAAATTTGGTACATTCCCATTATTGAATACATTGGCAACATTTTTAATTGCTACCAAAGATTAAGAAAGATAATGGGTTAAAGATCCTAGTTATTTCATTCTAAATGATGAAGAGGAATTGTTATAGAAAAGTGTTAGAACACTTGCTTTGAGATTAATTAATGATATAATTGAGAAATATGGAGACACATTTGTTTAGTAAATATTGATGGTAGGTGAGAAATTGATATTGAATCGTGATGAAAAAGAATTTATTGAATAGGCTTAATAAATAATTTCTAAATTGAATTTCCAAGAATTGAAAGGATAATAATCTAAAGAATTTGATTAAGATAGTGTAATGTAATTTATGAAGACTTCTGCTATTTATATAAGTAATTAATTCTATTTAAAATCTTTTATTTAAAAACGAAAAGAAACTGGATATTTATTATTAGGTAGTTTCTCAGAAGATATTATTGTTTTTCAATAAAAACATGAGAGTACCTTTGATATTAAAAAATGTATGTAGAATATATTAATTGAATTGGAAAGATAAAGTATTAAATATTATTTATATCATTTTAGATTCAAATAGTTTATAAGCTAGAGCTATATGGAGTACAACAAAATATTCTGAATTGATTAGTCATTAATTTAAAGAATTATTAGTACCTTTTTTTGAATCAGTACTTAATTACATAAAATCTTAATATCCAATTACATTAAAAATAGTATCAGTAAAAGCATTAGGAAAGTAAATATTTTACTTAATTTTAGTTATGCCACAAAAATTAATAAGTATAACATTCCATTTCAATATAAGGCTGAAATCATGGATTTAATATTATAAGTGTTACAAGAAGCTAGTCAAGATTAAATTATTTATATCTTAGAATCAACTATTAATTTAGTTAGATTTTCATCTATTCTAGCTACTACTTTAGCTAAAAATGGATCAAAGATATTATTATCTTTCTTTAGTATATTCCATTCTGAATCAATTGTTATTAAATAATTTAATGAATTAATTATGAGGATTTGTCAATGTAAAGATGCTTATCCACATATTTTTGATGTATATAATATTAATATCTTAATAGGTTTTCTGTCCATTTATTATGGATTGTTTTTAAGTGTTTTATGAAGATATGAATAAAATTTAAGATAAAAGTAAAATGAAATCAACAGATATTGGATTAATGAGTGCAATAATGCATCTTACATCCATTTTTATTAAATATTGTTCAGACAACAAAGCTTAAGAAGCATTCATTAATTTATTACCTTCTATGGTTAATCTAATTTTAATTAATGAAGATCCTTAATTATAAGTTCACACAAGTTAGTGTTTAAAAAACTTTATTATTATAGAAACTGGATAAATACTTAAAATGTAATTGTATAATTTAATTTAAGGAATCTTGTTTAAGATGTGATGAAGGTAAATCTTAAATTATTGGAAGTACCTTAGAATTCTGCTAATGAATCAGCATCATTATTTGCTGGAAATTTAGTGATGATTACAATTAATAATTTATTAGATGGAAATCCAGACATTAATTTATTAAAATCTGTTGTCTTCAAAATATATAGATCTAGAATGCCATCTACTGTTTAATCTTTAGTTTTGGTCTATGCCAGAATGATTATTGAAAAACCAAAAGAATCAATTAATTTCTTAACATCATGGAGTATAGATAACAGAATGGCTTTAAAAGTACTTATAGATAAATGGTTATTGTAATAACCTTTATTTAGAGGAAAAGGAACAAAAAATGCTACATTCTCTGCTCTAATGAAATTGTTCTTATTAAAAGATAAAACCTTAGAAAATCTATTAGTTATAGGTTATAATCCAAGTCATCAAAATATTAATAGTGGTATATAATAATTTAATTATATTATTTATTTAGATGTTTATGCTCCATTCAAAATATTATCATTATTAATTAGATGTTTAGATAATGAAATTACACCTCAAACTTAAAATAATAATGATATTAAATAAGAAGATGAAAGATTAGAAGTTGAAGATGATGATGATGAAGTGATAAAAAAGGATTAATTTTAAGATTAAGTTGATGTTGAAATTGAAAAAATTAAAGATGATGAAGAATAAGATATAGCAGAAAGATTTGCTGTATTATATATTTAATATTCAAAGTCATTGGATCCTAAAGAAAAGAAGGATAAAGGATTAGCAGATCTTGAAACTGGGTCAACATTGTATATGAGTGAATTCTTAGATTTTAATTAAGAAGTAGGAGAAGAATGTGATGAAACTACTGAAGAAGATTTAACTTATCTTAAAGATCCATGTTTAAATATTAATTTAGTGGTATTTATAATAATAAATTTATTTTTAGGATACCCTTAAAGAATTTTTCTAAAATTTAATTAAGAATGACCCAGATTATTTAAAATTCTGTTTTAAAAATTTGCTTAAAGAAGATATTAATCTATTATAGAAACATATCAAGCTTAATTTCTGATTAATTTGAATATTAATAAAAAATTGTTTATATTTATATACATCATTATTCTTCTGATAGAATTCTTTCAATAAACTACTTTGATGTAGATTATTTTATTTTTTCACTCAATAAATCAGATTGTTTTTCTACTTTGTCAATTAAATAAGTCACAAATTTCTTTTTAAATAATCTTTGTCTTTTAAACTTCTCAAAATCTTAATTAGGTTCTCTCTCAAATTAAGGTTTATCCATTGATAAATATTGACTAGCTTTTTCCATTATATTATCAAGAGAACTAAACTTCTATTTTAATAAATGTTTTTCTTTTTTAAAATTATTCTCAACCACATCACATTACTTTAAGAATTTATTAAATTCTATTTCTGTTTTTACACTTGTCTAAGTTTTTAGTGTTCTACTAACACTAGTCTATGGTCTTGTAGTTCTTGAGACTTTACTTAAATTCTCCATAAAATGGCTTTTTGTAGTTTAATATTATTGATTTTTTCTTCTAAAATCTTCTGGAGTTAAACCATTAGCTTAAGTTTCAGTAGAAACAAAAAACTTATGATATTATGAATCTTATGCTTAATTAACTCTTTTCATTGTTGTCATTTTAACTTTACTTTTAAAAAAGTCTGGATCAAATTAATCTATCCTAGTTTCTTTGAAAATTTTGACTAGCTATTTATTTTGTTTTAATTCTTCTTCACGCATTATTTCTAATAATTATTCTTATGTAATTCTTTTTTATACTATGTTTCTCCATCTTTCCATTTCATCCCATTAATCTTCTTTAAATGTTAATTCATCTAAAATTACAATTAAACTTCAAATTTACTATTTTAAATATCTAAAACTGTGCAAGCATTCATATTTTAATCTTCACAAAGTTTTTTCATAAAAAAATTAACTTATTCTTAATCTTCTAATTCAATATTCTAATATCCTTTATGTTTTCCAATATTTTTATTTGTATCTTTTGTGTTTTTCATTTATGTCTTTACTTCTTTAAGCTAAATTTCATTTAAATAAATACATTTTGTTTTAGATTTTATCTTTTATAACATTTATAAAGATCATCTAATTAAGCTTATTCTATTTTATCATTCATCATCATAGCTAATTTTTATTAAACAGATATAGGTTTTTTCTTCCAATTTTTTGATCTTTTAGGAACCACCTAAAAATTTAATAAATTTTCTAATTATTCTTTATCAAGAACTCTTTACATAATTTCTACAACTTCAGGTTATAATTCATAATTTGTTTGATAATCCTTATTGCCTTCTTAAGCTTTTAATTTCACTTATAATTAAGTATTAGCAAAGGTTTGTTTTGGTAAAATTTTAACTCCAGTTCGTTCTACAGGAAATTAAAACTTTACTTTTTAGATCTGCATATTTTTTCTAAATATACATAATCATGTTTTTATCTCTATAATCATTAAAATTAGCATCATAATATCTCAAAGGATTCTATTAAATAGTTTTTGTAACTATAAATCCTGCCACTGCTTCATTACTCATATATGTTATTAATCACTTTTATATATAATTTAATATGTTATCCTTTATTAATAGGATAAAAATTCATTTAATTGCCTTAAATTCATAAGATATATAAAAATATTAGCATCTAAAACCAATATCATTTTTGGTATATGAAGAATTGATATTTTACAGATAATTTTTTATATTTTTTAGATGTTACATAATATTATTTGATTTAAATAATAAGTAATCAAAAATGGATAATAATTTATTGTTAAAAATACTTATAAAAAAATAAATCTTTGATAAAATTTATTTGATATATTTCACTTTAATGCTTGTAATGTAAATTCTTTGTCTCCTTAAACTGCTAAAATAAATTATCCATGTATTTTAGATTGATAAGTTGTTGGCATAATATAATAACCATTCTTAGTTGGTTAGAGATCAAATTCTTCTTGAATTTCATTAATTGGTAAGAAATTAGGAACTCTCACAATCTATTAGGTAGTAATTTTATTCTCTGATTTTTCAATTAAATAAACTCCAATCATACCTCCAACAGTATTCTTTGTTTTTGACTTCCAATTCTTTTCTGCTATACAAAGAGTAATTGTTATATGAATAGGCTCAAAAAACTATAAAGAATATTTAGGATTCATTGTCCATGTTCTTTTACTAGTATCTTTTTCATAAGGATCTTCATACAAATGACAACCTCCATCAGAAATATCTTATTCCCATTTTCCTATATGAACCTAATTCTTGGTTTCATCCAATCTTGTTAATTCTACTTCTTAATTAGAGTAAACTAGAAAGTTTAAATAATATAATTACTAGTTAATTTATAATTGGCAGAACGATCTTCTTAATCTAATGATGGAATTATAATGAAAGGACCTTCTGTTGGATTAAAATGGAAATATAAGGCTGCCACATCTTCATTAAAGTATGTAGATTATTTAAATTTTTCATTAGATCCAATTAAAAGTTTTCTTTGAATTCCAACCATTTTTGGAGCTTCTAATTGTTATTAAGTCTACTTTAAAAGCCTTACTAAATCTAATAAGAATAAATAAAATGAAATTACTTGTTCCTCCTCCTTTTTATTATTTGATGATATTTAATGAATTTGAAGGTGCCTTATCAAATCTACAAATTGTCATTCCAATCTTAGTACCTTTAGCTCTTTTAACTTATCCTTGTCTTCTTAATATAATCTTTAAATGAGTGCTAACAGATAAATTCAAGAAATATTGAGGATTCTTACACCAATTAGGATTTTCTTTACCATTATCATATTTCCTTTTACCACCAGCAGAAGTTTCATTCCAACTACCTTCTTATTGTATTTCTAATGTTTCTGCCATTTCAGCTACATCAATTTTATCAGAACTAAATATTCTTAAGATGAAATTTCTTTTCTCTTCTTTTCTTGTTTCATTTACAATCATATTAGGAACAACCATATAATTACCAAAGGTTTTACCTTCAAAGTTTTTGAGAATCAAATATTAAGTAATTTCTCTTTAAGCTTATATATCTCCTTTAGGATTCATATCAATAACTATATCTTAATTTGGTGGTCTTTCCCAAATTCTACTCAATCTTGCTTTATTAGCTATGACCATTAAATTACAAGCTACATAAGGTTATTATGTTATTTTTTCATCTTCTAACATTAATGATAAATATAATTTAGTCTCTTTATGTACTTTAATTTTATATTAAGGATTATTAAACCATTTTTCATCAGTATCTACTTATACATAATCTGGTAAGCCTTCAGATGGCATTTTTAAAGGACATACTCCTCCTAATGTTTTTCCAAACCAATTTCCTTGAATTGCATATTATTACCAACTTTCTGGGAATACTTTACAAATATAAAATTTATTAAAATGTTAATGCCAATCTTAATATGACATCCACCATGTTCCATCACTTTTTTTTGATTTAAATACTAATTTTAATTCTTCTCTTAAATTTCTATGTTTATCCCATTCTTCAGAATCATCAGAAAATGCTCCATTCCATCCACCTTCTGGTCCCCAAACATTTCTTATTCTCATTAATCTTAATTTTTCTTTTGGAAATTCTCTTACATCTACAATACCATAATGATGATTTTCTAATATTCCATGAGTACCTGTATCAGCATTTTTTGTTCCTTTAGTTTCATTATGATTCATACATCCCATAAAAAATTATAATTTATGTGTTTACAATAATACTTACCATAATTAATCATTTTCTATCATTTTACTTAATTATGGATCTCTTAATGAATTAATTTCAGCTATACCTCCTGTTAAATCAACCAATCCTTCTCCAATATGTCCATCACATATAGTTTCATAATTTCCATGTAATTTACAATATGCTTTTTCCATTAATGGTAACCAAAATTCTGATGGATTTGCACATTAAGTAAATAATATTTATTTACTATCTTAATCAAAAGGTAAAAGTGTATCAACAATAACTTATTTCCATTCTCCATTTTTAAAGAATTGAAATGCTACAAAACCACAATCATCAAATTAATCATAATCTAAAATTAATTTTTCAAGTTAAGATATTTATTGTTAAGATAACTATTAAGTTTATTTATTTTATTTCTCATTGTATTTTTTCATTTATCCTACTATGACAACTGCTCCTACAAACCAGGATTCTCCAAAAGCTCCTTATTTATAGTCTCCTTCAAAATCAATAACGAATTTAGCATCTTTAGAAATTTCATGTGGTCTCACCCATTTAACAGATTTAATATCCTTTGCAAATTCTGGAGGTTTTTAAGGATCCTTATATAGACTACTATTATTGATTGGGAAATCTGGATCAGTGTATAGATTTTTGTTTTTTTAGCAATTTTATATGATTTCCATTTTCTTAGATTCGAATATTTATAGTGGATTCAATTCAATGGGTTAAATTTCTTATTCTTATTCTTCATCATTTTATTGCAACATTGGATCAATCTATTTGTTTTATGAACTTAATCATAAATGATAACTTACTGAGTTTCAGATTATTCAAATGCTTAAGGATCTTCCTCTTATGTTTATTTCTACTTTAGAAAAGAGTCTTCATTCATAAGTCTTTGTTCTGAATAATTCATATAGCTTTGAATAGATTCATTCTTCTCAATATTGTCAGCCATTTTTATTTTATTTATTAATATATTTCATATAATTCAAAAACTAATAAAATTACAACATGAGACTTTTCTCCAATTAAAAAATAAGCATAATCTAATCATTAAACCATAGCCTTCTTTAATTAAAACATACCTGTTAGAAAAGTCAAGAAAATAATTAGATTTTACAAAATAATTCATTCACTAATTCGATATGAATTTAAGTAGTGTTGAATATAAAACTATAATCTAAGATAATTGAAAAAGTATTTAATAATAATATTATCAAAAATCACAAAAGAAAATCAAATAAATTAGTAGATTCATATCTAAAATCCACTTATGATAATATATGATTGATAATGTTTGAATTTGAAGTTCTAATTATATTTTTAATATATAAATATATTAATAATATAAATGAGAAGGCCAAATGAAGTTGAATTTAGTAAAACTGCTTTAATGGGTATTATGTAAAGATAATTTAGCTAATTGGTATGAAGACAGATTGGCCCCATAATAATTATAGAGAGATCCTAATGCTACAAAATCAGTAATAGATTATAATATATTTTCAGTTACGAGGAGTTGAAGAAGGTATTTCGATTCCAGGTGATAATGGATGTTTACTTCCTTTACCAAGAGTGAATCGTAATCCACCATATATTACTAAAGAAATTATAGTACCAGATGATGGATATGTATTATTATATAAATTATTAAATAGAGAGAATTTAGAACTGAATTTTAAACAAAGTTTGATGCTAAAAATATTCAGAACATGTAATTAGGAGATTGTAGATCTTTGATTAAAACTAATGGTGATAAAGTCAATTTCCCAGAATGTAATTCAACAGTTGCATAAACTGCAGGAGCTAAATCAATTAAATAATTAGACTAAACAAATATGCATTAAATATTGGTAGATCGAGCAGTACATTAAAATTATACAGATTTTGGTTCAACCTTTAGAAATCATCCTGAATAACATAATAAATTTTATGCTATTACTACATACTAATAATCCTTTTAATAACCTGAAAATAATGTTGCAGAAATTCTGACAGATAAAAAGAAGAAGCCTTAGGCATCTGGTTGTAGAGAGAGAGATCCTTTTGATTAAGGTTTAAAAATGACTTCTGTTATAACAGGTGAAAAATACAGAGACTGTATGAATCCTTTATCTAAGTTTAGCCATCGATCCAAAAGAAAATACTCAAGTACAAAGATAATGGATTCATTGTGGAGATGCAGGATTGAAAACTGCCTAAAATAATTTAAGATAAAGCAGTATGGACAATTATAAAAAAAATGCTAGTTAAGTACATCCATATGATATTGCAACTAGTTTGCCTTTAGCAGGTAATTCTAATATATTATATAATCTAGATGGAGTTTATACATTACATCCTAAATACACTGATCCTGGTTAATTTAGACATATCAGAAGTGATGTCACAAGAATTATGAATAAACCAATTACAAGAAAATGAATATTAAGTTTAATAGCTATTATTTATTTAATGCTTAAAATTTATGATTATATAATTATAAATATAAATTTCATTTGTTTAGTGAAATAAATCATAAAAAATTAAAAGAATACTATTAATTTAATTGTGATTAAGAAAAGCAATAATATGCAAAAATCATTTGAAAATAGTATGTATACACATTTTGAATTCATCAAAAGGTGTATATGAATCATCAAAGAAAAATATTATATTTAAGTATCTCTACATTTTTAAATAAAAAAAATTAACCTTTATTAATCAAATTAATCTAGTATTATAAGGTTGAAATAAACTAATCATTTAAATCTTAAAGTCAACCTTCAAAAGAAAAAAATAATAAAAATTATATAAACTTAAACAAGTATAATCATAAAGTTATTTACATAATGATATGAAGATTTTAAGAAGACTCAAAATAGAAAAATGAGCTATACATTTTGATATTATATATATATAAAATGGTTCATTTGAATAATTCTTTATTTTTCTTTTATTGTATTGATTTTTATTTTTATAAGTATCTAAAGTTAATATATAATAAAATTTAAACATAATAAAAATGTTAGAATTTTAAATTATATATGAATGAATAAGAATAACTAAAATAATAATTGAAGGATTTTGAAGAAAAATGTATATATTAAGATACATAAATTGCTCGGTTAATGAATGATAATAAAGATACCTATTAAGCTAATCAATAATTGACATAATAAATTTTAAGTTTAGATAATATTGTGAATTAACTAATTATGGAAAATTAGTTTCTTAGAAATGAAAATGATTAAATAAAATAGAATTCATATAAAGCTTAATCAAACTTTTATTCAACTTATTCAGATTAGGAATTCTTTGAACCAAATTAAGAAATTAGTGATATGATTAGCTAGAAATAAAAAAAGCTAAAAGAGCTCAAATTAATTTAATAAAAAGAAGAATCTAAACCTAATCAATCAAATAAAATTGTATAAAGCTTATTAGATGAAGTTATTTAAGATAAAATAATGAATTTATAAATGGACATCACTGCATTATAATAATTATTATAATAATGATAATAAATATAAAAATTTATAAAAATAATAAATTATGAAAGAATTATTTTTCACTATAAAGCCCACTTTTTTTTCTAAAACAAATCCATTAAAATTTAAATGGATTAGACTAATATGAATCTATACAAAATACCTTTCCTAGAAGAAATAACTAAGAATGAAAAAAATACAGTTAATAAAGGAGATTTAACAATTATTGGAATAATTGATGCTTCAGGATCAATGAGTAATTGTTGGGGATGGTTGGCTAATTTCTGGAATAAAAGTATTCCTAAGGATAATTTGATTGCCATAACATTTTCAAATTATCCAACTGTATTGAAAGATAATAAAGAATTATATACTGATATTGGAAAACATGGAGGAGGAGGTACTGAAATAGTACCTGCTTTTGTTGAATTTGAAAAATAATTAGCTAATGTTCCTATCGATAATATTGTTACTGTGATATTCATTAGTGATGGATAAGATAACTCAGTTAAAACCTTGGATACTAGAATGAAAACTTAACTTAAAGGTAATATTTTGAATCATCGAATCAACTTCATTTGTTTAGGAGTTGAAAAAGGTTTCCCCACTAATTTATCAATGAATTTAAGAGAATTATATCATAGAGGAGATCCTCAAATACCTGCCATATATTTAATTGAATATTCTAGTGAGTAGGCTTTTTTCAACAAATTTGAAACCATGAAATCATATTTCTATCCTGCTAGAGTGTTTTAATTAAATTAATATGTCAATTTATATCCTTATGATGAATAAATTACAAAAGAAGTCTTTGAAGGTTAATGGTGTATATGTTATAAGAATGACCTTCGAATAATTAGTGATAATTTGAATATTTAATTAGAAAGCATAAAAGAAGATTAATTAGAGATTGAAAATGTTATAGATATATTCAGATCATGGGTTTAAAATTTATAAATCAAAATCATTCAATAAAAGTAACAATTAACTAATTAATGTGAAAAATGTTTAGAAATTATGAAGAGAATTATTGGACATCTTAATGCAAAATTTGGATTTGATATTTTAAACATCTCTTAAAATGAAATCTTGAATTAAAATAAACCATTCCATTTAAGAGTTAAGGTGAGTTTTGTTTATAAATATTGTACAAAAATATTATTTTTTGTCAATGAAATTGAAGCATTAATTAAAGGAGTAGATCCAAAATAATTAAGTGAATTTGAATAAGCAAAAAGATTAATGATTGGTACAATTACAGGAAAACATTTATAAAAGGCATTAGCTCTAAAAGGAATTACTATAGAAGAATTTTAAAATATTAAATAGGAATTTATTAATATTCTTAAAAATTCATAATTTAACAAATAAAATGAGTAAGGATAGGAAAGATCAGTTATTACTCTTGAAAATTAAAGAGATATATTAATAAATACTGCATAAATGGAAGAGTCAATGAAATATATTAAATCTTAATATGACTTTGCAGAAACCTTCCCTTTAATTGGACAAGGTATAAAAGTTAAAAGATATGAAGGATCTCAAGTAAATCCATGGCTTGTAAATGTTATATAGTTTGCAAAATAAAATAAAATTATAGACTCTGGTTACTTAATTAAGAATAATTTTTAGATTCAGTTAAATGTAGGAGGAATACAATAGGAAGAAATAAATTGTATTCTTCCTTTATTTAATGAAGCAGATTAAGATTTATAACCAGTTTTGAGATCAAGAATTATTAAATTACTTATGACCTTTATGGTATAATAAAATGTAGACACACTTTATGAAGAATCATATTTGGCATTATTGGCTAACTCTTTAATATACATTTTATAACAACCAGATAGTTAATGGAAATTTGAACATTTAGAATTAATTTATAGCACTACTAAAATTGTTTATGGTGGAACCAAATAATTTGAAGATTACTTAAATAAAATAATTAATAATCCTATTAAGGCTTTTTTCGAGAAAGATTAAGAATATGAATAATTTATTGCTTTACCAAAAGCTGTGATCTATATATTTTATGCAATTAGAAGCGAATTGATATAAATATAAGACTTTGAGAAATATATTGCTTTTTTAATACTTTATAGTTTATCTATACTTTAATCAAGAAATCCTAACTTCAAAAATGATTGCTTTAAGACCTAATTAAGCTAAGAAGATGAACTCGAATTAAAAATACACTTTGAACCATAATTCTAAGAATGTTTATATTTAAAAGATTTTAGAAATTCTTTCTAATAAAACTTGAAGATCCTCTTATAGAAGTAACTCCCAAAATTAAAAGTCAGTATTAATCTAAATAAGGATATACTTTATAATTCTGATTAAAAATTCAATTTCAAATCAATTGAAGGTCTATATTAATTAGTTTTAAAATAATAGTTTGACGTTAACTAGTATAAATATTATTTAAATCATATTCTAACTAATAATAATTAACAAGAAATATTTACTAAACCAGTAGATTTTACAGCTGATGATTAAATCAGAAATTTAATGGTTCTTAATGAATAGCAATATCAATAATTTGATTTTATAAGAGATTAATTGGAAAATCTATACTTAAAAAATTTTTTTGATACTCACATAATTGTTGCTCCATTGACAAAATAAGAGTTAATTTAGGAATGTGAAAAAAAAGGAGTGGATGTCAATTAGATTGTCTTTAATGAATAACTTGGTCTAGCAAAAAATTGTTGCATGTCCAAACAATGCCCATTCTATTTAAAACCTATGGAGATTTAAATTTTTAGAAAACATTTACATAATTGGTAAGATCTCTATCCAGGAGGATTTCATGCTCATGTTTTACACAGGATTGCATAAGGAAAAACAAATGATGAAATTTTTAACAATGCAAAATTGTTATACCCTGGATTTCCTGAGAAATTTCATGGTACTTAAGAATAATCATATTAATATATTTAAATCATTAGAGAGTTTTAGAAAAAATATATAGAATAATGATTTTATAATACAAATAATTAATTTACATTTAAAATATTTTTTAAGAGTAGAGAATTGAAAGATATCTCTATGATTTTATAAATGACTTTTGTGTTAGTGTTGAATCTTTAGATAGACTACCTAAATAATTTAGAACTATTAAGAGTTTTTTAAGTCTAAATAATGTTTCTATTTAGATTTGAATGATCCAACTAATCATGTAAAAAAAAGTGATTAGATTTATATTTTGGAAGCAAAAAGAAATAGTAAATAAAGAATTGGAAATTTAAACAACTTTCTAAATTTTTAAACATCAAAAGTACTTTAACCTAATTAAATTAATATATTTGTTTTTTTAATAAAAAATATTCTATTTCCTTTAATGTTATATTTTATAATAGATTTATTAATTTACTTATACTCTATTTCATATTAAATATACTATAATGAACATAAAAAGCAATTCTAATTTTGTTGAGTAAAGTTAAGGAAAACATTATTATAGTTATCTTTTACAATAACTATGAGTAAATGGAGAAACAGGAAATCCATACTTGTTCATTCTATCTTCCATATCACTTAATCTTTAGGTAAATTTCCAAAATTATTCTTACTTTTTAATTTCTGGATTCCATAAACTATTTATATTAATTTTATTTACGTATCACTTAAAATTGATGATCTTAAAAATAATTTTTAAAAGTGAGTATTTTAATTGTTAGTTTCACCCCAAAGTAGGGTTTCACCTCCTAAAATATTTCCTTAAAAATTATGTGGAATTTTTGGGTTCCATTTATAGACATCCTTCCATGCTTAATATTTATCATATCTATCCCCAAAAGCATTTCCAACACCAATATCAAGATATAAAGGATGAAAATCGCTTAAGATAAATGAATTAGGCCTATTTTTTACTTCATTAAGCTAAGAAGATAGACCCCACCATTATATAATATCATCTTAATCTGCAGGAAGTTAATCTTTTTTATTATACCAATAAATGATTTTCTTTTGTGATTTAATTTAATTATTCCAAATATCTTTTTATCTTTTTCTATAGAGAAATAAATGTTTAATTAAAATAAAATTTTATTTTATTAATTAGTTAATTTCTTAAATAATTTAGATATTCCAATATAATAAACTTAAAGATCAAAATAGTTAGCTATTCCATGTTAATCCATAAATTCTTTAATGGATGGTTTTTATTCAAAACATTAAATACTAGCTTCATCACCACCAAAATGAATAAATTATACTTTAGCAAACATATCATTCAAATCTTANGTTAGTGTTGAATCTTTAGATAGACTACCTAAATAATTTAGAACTATTAAGAGTTTTTTAAGTCTAAATAATGTTTCTATTTAGATTTGAATGATCCAACTAATCATGTAAAAAAAAGTGATTAGATTTATATTTTGGAAGCAAAAAGAAATAGTAAATAAAGAATTGGAAATTTAAACAACTTTCTAAATTTTTAAACATCAAAAGTACTTTAACCTAATTAAATTAATATATTTGTTTTTTTAATAAAAAATATTCTATTTCCTTTAATGTTATATTTTATAATAGATTTATTAATTTACTTATACTCTATTTCATATTAAATATACTATAATGAACATAAAAAGCAATTCTAATTTTGTTGAGTAAAGTTAAGGAAAACATTATTATAGTTATCTTTTACAATAACTATGAGTAAATGGAGAAACAGGAAATCCATACTTGTTCATTCTATCTTCCATATCACTTAATCTTTAGGTAAATTTCCAAAATTATTCTTACTTTTTAATTTCTGGATTCCATAAACTATTTATATTAATTTTATTTACGTATCACTTAAAATTGATGATCTTAAAAATAATTTTTAAAAGTGAGTATTTTAATTGTTAGTTTCACCCCAAAGTAGGGTTTCACCTCCTAAAATATTTCCTTAAAAATTATGTGGAATTTTTGGGTTCCATTTATAGACATCCTTCCATGCTTAATATTTATCATATCTATCCCCAAAAGCATTTCCAACACCAATATCAAGATATAAAGGATGAAAATCGCTTAAGATAAATGAATTAGGCCTATTTTTTACTTCATTAAGCTAAGAAGATAGACCCCACCATTATATAATATCATCTTAATCTGCAGGAAGTTAATCTTTTTTATTATACCAATAAATGATTTTCTTTTGTGATTTAATTTAATTATTCCAAATATCTTTTTATCTTTTTCTATAGAGAAATAAATGTTTAATTAAAATAAAATTTTATTTTATTAATTAGTTAATTTCTTAAATAATTTAGATATTCCAATATAATAAACTTAAAGATCAAAATAGTTAGCTATTCCATGTTAATCCATAAATTCTTTAATGGATGGTTTTTATTCAAAACATTAAATACTAGCTTCATCACCACCAAAATGAATAAATTATACTTTAGCAAACATATCATTCAAATCTTACATTACAGACTTTAAGACTTCATATGTAAATTCTAAAGTTGGATCTAATTATCCATATTATTTTATATTAGTATCACATGTAATTATAATTTCTGATAATTCAGATGATCTACCCCAAGAATGAACATGTGCTGGTGTGTCTATTTCAGGTATTATTTATACTGCTCTTATTGAAGCATATTATATAATATCTTAAACATCTTCCTTTGTAAAATATCCATCTTTCTAATATTTTGAATTATTTGTTATTTAACTATAATTACTTAATAAGAGTGGAAAACTTTCATCATCTGTAATATGCCAATGTAAAACATTCAATTTATTTATTACTAAAGCATCAATAGTTCTCTTTATTAATTTTACAGGTAAAAAATTCCTGGCTGTGTCTATCATTACTCCTCTATGAATATATTAAGGCTCATCACTTATATAAATAGGTAACTATTATAATATTTATATAGATTACATTCTCTATTTCATTATTTATGGCTAATTGATTTACAGTATCAAGAGCTCTTGCTAAACCCCAATGATTTTATGCTTATATCTTTATATTTAAATTTTCATCTATTTCTAATTCATAAGCTTCTTCTTTTGTATTTTTAACCCAATATAATTGTTCATTACTTTCTAAACTAATCTCAAATTTCAATGCTCCATCAACTTTTAAATTTACATTCTAAATGGATTCTTCAAAATCGCAATCCTCATCATATGTTATTAATTAATGATAATGAAATAGTAGTTATATTATGTGATCTGGAAATACATCAAAAGTTGTAAATTTTATGGAACATATTTTTGTTATTTCCACAGTTTTATCACCTCTTTCAATCTATTTAGGTGATGGCATCATTCCTAGAGTAAAGGCCATTAATAGTTAAAAGTATATAATCATTAATATTTAAAATTATGATGAATTCTTAAAAATAAATTCTTAATCAATTATCTTTAGAAATATTTATTACTTATACGAATATAATTAAAAATCAAAATTATTAAGAATATGGAAAAAATTGTTAAGAAAAATATTTCTATAGTTTCTTTTAAGACTTCAAAAGCATCCTTAGTTTTTGTTGTTTATATTTTGCTAAAAATCTTCATTTTTTTCTTCAAAACTACTGAAAGTTCTTTCATATTTCTAACATGAAGATTACCAATAATAAATTAGATAGTATGTTGGTTAGTTAAATTTTTTAGGTGAATCCTTTTTAATTCACTTTTACTATACAAAATCAAGAAAAGGGTTCCTTGCAATTATTCAATAAAGCAAAATTATAAAGTTGAGAAGAAAATCAAATAAAATTTATATTTAAAAATATAAGCGAGTTTCAAAAAAAATAAGAGAAAGACAGCTTTTATAGTATTTGAAACTAGACAAATTTTTATACTCATATTATTACTGTTTTTTTTAAGAACAAAGATATGCAGAAATTCAGAGTTTAAAAGAAAAACTTTCTTTTAAATATAAAAATGTTTATTCGAAAAATGGATCAAAATTTTTCACAATTCTTAAAATACTATATTATTATAAGTATTAACAATACCAAGCCAACATCCTTATAATATTTGGATAGTTTTTCATAAGAAAAATCTAATAAACGATCCAAATTCGTAACAAATAGTTGTTATAGAAAGTGATATGAATTTAGATTTTAAAGAATTAATAGACTTATTGTAATAAGGACTCAATAGAATTATTTAAAAATACAATAAATATTTCAAAATAATTAAATCACTATATATTGAAAAATAAAAACAAAAAGGGAATGAATTAGAATATTTCTATTTAAAGGCAGATTATATATAGTAGTTTATTTGAAATAATTGGAGAAATTTAGTATTAAAAAAGTGGACTTATATTATGATTCAGAATAAAGTGGAATAAAATCAAAGTGATTTTAATTTCCAATCATTTTAGATAAATGTTCATCAGATTTGTCAAAATGATAAAAAGGAAAAACCTTTAATGATCACTCTTAAGCATAAAAATGAAGAATAAGTTAATAATAAACAATAATTATTAGTAATCTCCTTCATTATCACAGGAGAATAGTTTACAAATATTGAATTTGTATTAAAAATAGATTTTTAATTGTGTCAATGCCTAAATTTTAAAAATACATTTAAATCAGATATATTAATGCTTTTTTGCATTTTCTTTTATTAATTAGCATCTTTATTACTAACAAATCGAACTTTAGAGGGAGTTCGTTCGTCATCAGTATTTTAGTGTGTTCTTTATTTTTCAAGGTTTATTTTAGCTTAATGTATAAAGTTCCAATCATCTTAGGAATCTTCATCATTAAATTGATTTTAATATTTATCTTCTGTATGTTATCTTTTATTTTCTTTTTTCTTTAGAGCACTTTTTAATGGAGGTTCCTTAATTTAACTATCTCTAAAGTTGCTATTATATTAACCTATTGAGAATTATAATTATTTTATTATTTCTTATCTCCTTATAAGATATTCTAATATATATTAATATAATTTACATTAATCAAGTTCCTCTAATTTTTAATTTGTATCAAATCTAATTTTTTGTAATTTTTTATTTAAAATTTCTTATTCTTCAAGAATAATTTATTCCTGTTTGATTATTCTCTAAATTTTAATTGTTTCTTCTTCATTTTCTTTTTATGTACTTAATTATCGAGATACATTATTATATTTTCGAGATACATCTTTAACAGAAAAATCAAAGTTGTCTGATAAAAGTGAAAAGCAACTTTTTTATTAATTTTCGATAGGTGATAGTTAGGATTAGATTGGTGTATTACAACGAAAGACATCCCCTAAAATTGCTGGTGATGAACATTTATATTTTTGGAACATATAGTAATCTATCAATTATTATATAAACTAACAAACCATCATTAATTGTATGTTTTGTGCTACTTATAGGAATTGCCACATTAAAGTCAGTACTCTATATTAGCCTTTTCATTTCTAAATTGATGATATACTTATATATTATTATAATTATTACTAAATTATATTATCTATTTTCAATTCATAAAATATTAATAAAAAATCACATTTAATCACCATCTCAAAATATTTTCATACAGAGCTTTTTTGAGAAGGCTCTTGTGTTTTTTGAAACTATTTACTAAATCCATTCATTATTGGTTCATTTAAATGATATACTCTTTAGTTTCTACTATTATATAAAATCAATAAAGCTTAATCGTGAACATTATTTTAATCAATTTTTTTGACATGATCCTCTAATCTTACTATAATATTTCTTTTAGATTCTTATTTTTTAGATAAACATAATCCCATTATCTTTATTAATTTTACAAATAAATAATAATTTATATTAATTATTTTATTAGACTATAATAATTTGATTCCTGATTAACTTTTTCTTATTATCCTAATATTTTAATATGATTTAATTATTTATCTATTATTAAACTTAAAATGTTTAATATTATTATTAAAATAGAATAATAGAAATACTTAAATTAAAATAATTTATATAAAGATATTTCTAGATTCTTTTTTTTGTCCATAAATAATATTGAATGAATTCTTTAAAACATTCTTTCAAATCCTAAATTCAATAATAATATTCTTTTCAAGTAAAGTTTATATTAAATAAAATATATCAGAGAGATATAATTTTTAAATTGTAATTTGCCCATAATAAACTTTTTATTTTGAATTATTTTCATTGCATTTAAAGAGTATTTTGAGATAATAGGGCTATTTAAATAATAAATAATAGTTTTTATATAAAATAGTCTTATTTCTTTTAATTGACTTCTATGACTATGAATAGTGAAAATTAGAATTGTCTAATAAAATAAATTTTAATGATTTGAATAATTAACCTCCATTTAATTTACTGATGAGCAGTAACAACTAACTTCATAAAACTGGTACACAAATCTAATTAATTTTTGTTGTTGTTATAATTTAAGTAAATCTAAAATTAATGCACTTTTGTTAATGTAAATAAATAAAATATAATTTTTATATACAATCTAAGATGCCATAAAATTAGGTTAAAAATTACACTCAATCAAAAAACTTTCACATTCATCAGAGCTTTATCTCAGCTGGTTTTATCAAACACTTTTAATGCTCCATCATTTTTAGTTTAGAAAAGTATGTAAGCTCAATTAATTAGAATAAATCAGTAGATTTTTAAAGCCTTGTTAAATTAATTAAAATTTTTGATAAAATAAAGATATATATAATAAAATGACCTCTCAGAATAACTAAAAAATAAATAAACTCACATTTTATCTATTTTCCATAATTTCACACCGTTCTAAACTTAATTTTATTGAGCACATATGGATTCTGATAAAATAAAATGTGAAAACTAGAGAATGCTTTCTAAAAAATAGGTTAATTAACAATTTCCATCAAGAATTATGTAGAGTTTCTGGAGTTTACTTGAAAAATTGATACTATATCAATTAAAGAGCTTATATGGAGGTTGGAAGAATTCTTCATGATTTAAATTTTATATAATAATTACATAGCTTAATAAAATATATTCGTATTTCTTTTTTCATTAAGTTTCAGTAATTTAATAAATTGACATGTTTTATAATCAGAAAATAAACATTTATGTAATATTAATATTAAAATTATATTAATTTGATTTTAAAGAGTAATTATTCGAACTATCACATTAAAAAAAATTAAAAGAAAAAATCAATTATTAATTAAAAATGAATTAATTTACTAAAATGGATTACAATATTTATTGAATAAAGGCTTGCAAAATATTCTAAGTTATAATATTATAATAAATAAGTAATTTTCTTCAAGATTTATTAGATAAAACTCTTTTATTGATTCTATTAGATATGATATTAATAAAAGAGAAATTTAGTTAAAAGATAAAAATAGTAAAATTATAACCTAAATTCAGCTTTAAAGGATTTTATTTTAAAATAAATTATAAATATGTGACTATTTAAATTTGATAAAATATGACTAAAAGGATATAAGGCTGATTCAATCATATATCTAATCATTTAATTTAATAATTTTATTAATTATTTTTCAATCTAAAAATAGACAAGAAACTAATATGTAAATAAGTAAATAATTCTTGAAGAATTTAAATTCGATTTATTATTTTATAATAATGGCAGCTCTAAATTAATTATATTTCTCAATAAAAGAAATGATTTTAATAAAGTTATAATTTAAAATTATGAAAATCTGTGGAAAATATTATGTTCACCTTTTATCTTTAAATATCCTTATTAACTTAAATTTATATAATTAATTAAAATGTAGTTAATAAAATAATAGAGTTTAAGTTGAATTTAAAATAAAGGTGATTATATATGGTTTTAAAAAGAATTAAAAATTAAGTATTATATTATTATCTTATTATTTATAAAATTATGATTTCTAGCCATAGAACTCATGATGGATTGTTAAACAATTCAATTATTGGTCCATTTAATTAATTAGCATCAAATAACATAGATAACTATGTTAAAAGATAATCTTCTAATGAATCTAGTTTATCAGAGGAACCTGAAAAAATAGAAAAATAGGTTAAATGATTTAAATATTATAGTAAAACTAGTATAATGTGTAATAAAAAAGCTATAATTCACCAAGATAACTATAATTACCTAATTTAGAAAATATTTAATGCAAGCCCAAAGATTAGAAAATAATTAATATGTCAGTAAACCTATTGAAAACAATGAAAAAATCATAAAATGTTGAAAGATTCAAAAGTAATTTATTTTCAAGTGCTTATATACTAAAAAATAGTTAGAAATAATTATAAATATTTCAAGATGATTGTTTACTTAAAAGAAAAGAGGATTGCAAGCAATAAATTTAAAAATAGAAAGGTTTATCTATTTTATGTATTTGTAAAGCTATATCTAATTATATAAACATTAGAATTTTATAAAATAATTATGAAGAGTGTCTTAAATGGTTTAACAACTTTTAAAAAAAATTTTAATTATTATTTACAATTTGGGAGGTTTACTCATTTTTTTCTCAATTATTATAATTATGGTATTGTCCATTCATAATATCATTTGGTCGTTATGATCATTTTTTAAAAGGAATTGAAATTTCCTTTATAATCTCAATTTTAGTTGATACTTTAATTACAAATTTAATTTAATTGTCTCAGACAAAAGATTAGATATCAATTGATCCTAATATCAATTATTAAAATAAATCTTTTTTAAATGTCATCATTTAAGGTTTATTATGGATTTTAGTATATTTGGAATTATTTTAAATACCTTTTGCTAGAGAAATTATAGGTATATTATTAATAATAATAATTTGTAAATCCATACATGCTAAATATGAATCTTAATTAGAATAATTATACTTAAAAGGAATAAATTTGAATCTACTAGATTTAATATCTCTATTTGTTACACTAGCTTATTTTGTTCATTTTATTGCATGCTTTTGGCATTATATTGGAGATATTACTCATCATATTTATGGATCATGGCTAGAATAAGAGGAAATAATAGGTTAAAATATTTGGGTTAAATATAATTATTCATTTTATTGGTCAACCACTACTGTTGCAACAGTAGGATATGGTGATATTACACCTAAAAATTAAATTGAAATTATATTTTCAATTATTGTTATGTTACTATCTAGTTGCATGTTTGCTTATTCGATTAATGAAATAGGAATGACAGTTAAAAGTATAAATGAATAAAAAACAAAATATAAGTATATAAAATCCATATATATTAAGAAGGAATCTAATATTGCTAAATTCTTATATGGAAAAACAATTTGTAGATTAATCCCTATAACATAGGGTTAGAAATTATTTTAAATATAATAAAGAAAAAGAAGCTTAGGATAATAATATAGAAACATCAACTATATTAAAAGAATTACCTATTAGTTTATAAAATGAATTAAATTTAAATATAAGAAATAAAATATCAAAGAAAATCTAGATTTTTTAAAATAACTTCTCTGATATTTCAAATGGATTTATATCTAAGTAATTAATTTAAATGAAAGTCACTCCTAAAGATATTATATATCATCGAAATGATAGATCTGATAAATATTTGTAATTAATTATTGTAAAATATTAGGTATTACATTGTTGAAGGAGAAGTAAATATTGTAGAAGAAAAGAGTTAAAAAATTGTAAAGATTTTGAAACCCGGAGATACTTTTGGAGAATTTTAATTTTTTACTGGATAAAATACTATTGAATCAGCCATAAGTAATTCATTTACTGAATTATTTAAAATTGATAGAGATTCTGTTCTAAAAATAATACAATAAAATTTTAGAGATTTTTAAAGATTTCATAAAATAAAAGATACCTTATTATTCAGATAAGATTATACACTTTTAAAACAAAATTGTTAAATATGTAATTAAAAAAATCACCCATCAATCAAGTGTCCACTTATACAATACAATCCTAATTCTTATATGAAAATTCTAAAAAATAATTATAGTCTCAAAAATAATCGATCTTATTTTTAAAGAAAGATATATAAATTTCATACTTTATTAGAGAATGATGAAGTTTAAAATGCAGCTTTAGAATTCTAAGATGATAAAGACTTTACATAATTATATGCTCAATCAGAGATAGGAAGTATTAAAGAAAAAAATTCTGAAAACAATTCAGTTAAGTTTGAAGATGATCAAATGCATTATCAATTATTAAAATCAAATTTATCAATAAAAAAACATATGAAAAATTCATAAGTTCGGAGTTCATAAAGTTAAGCTTAATCCACCACATAAATAAACTCAAAAAAGCACTCAATTATTTAAAATTAACGTAAATCTATTTATAAAGCCTAATAAAACTCAGAAAAATATTTATAATTATAATTACTTAGAGAAAGTTACTTTTCTTATACTTTAGATGATATAGATAAAGTTTAAAATTACACTGAATATTTTCCACATAATAATGTCTAATTCATTATAAAATAACTAATTCTTAAATAACTTAATTAAAATTTTCCTTAGAAAGCATCAAAAATTAGAAAAGGAAGATCATATTGTAATTAATGAATGATTTATATCAATAAATTATTTATTCTATGATCTTAAATATGTTTTAAAAAGTATATAATTCAATTTGAGATAATTTTTGATCCAAAACTTAAATTTTACATTTAAAAATTATTAGAATTTATATATAAATAAATAATTAATGTTAATATTAATAGTGTTATCATTAGCTTATGCTCAAATATAAGATGAACAATAATTGAAAAATGCTGCTTGTGTTATCTTTTCTAAATACTATTTGCAGTCAAATTAGGAATTAGCTGGTAGAACTGTAGCAGAAATGGTTCAATAATAAGGTTTAACACAAGAAGATGCAATTTTATTTGCTGTTGCTTCTTTAGTTGAATCATGTTTAGATAGCATTTCTACTTAGTAAACAATGGATGTAAGAATATTTATAATAGATAGATTATATAATCATTGCAATAATAAAAAATAAATTTAGAAGCACATAAGCATTTAGTTGAAAAAGCTGATTTAAAAAAATATGGATCAAAAAAAAAGAGTGCAAAAAAAAATGAAATTCTTAAAATCATTAAATCAATTGATGATTTGGTTAAACAATAACAAAAAGAATATGAAGGAGGTGATGGAAATGATCAATAAGATGGAGGTAGAAAGAGATAGCGTAATTAAAGTAAATAATAAGACTTATCTGATTTTTCTATTTTTGAATTAAAGGAATGGCTTGTTCTATCATCTTTTTTTTTAGTAGGTGTTTTACTATCATATATAAGTAAATAATTTCTTTATTTTTTTAGTTTGTTGTGTTCCTGAGAGAAATAAAAAATAAAAAAAATAAAAAAATAAAGTTAAATCATAAGAGTAGGATGATGATAGATCTGAATCAAAAAAATAGGTTGAAAACTAATAGGAAGATGAAGACTCTCCAAAAAAAGTAGTAGAAGGTGATGAAAAACAAAAAGTTGAATGAATGTATATTTATATTAAGTAAAACATAATTTATTAGTTAATATCATTATTTCTTAGATAAATCGAATCTAACCTTCTTTTTTATTTGAATTTGTTATTATTATACATTAGAAACATAATGTAATTAATGCTTTAAAATTGTTTTTTTAGTGTTTGTATCGTCTGGACGTGATTCAGAAGATGAACTATCCAGTGATCGAGATGAAAGTATAAATATTTCTTCTTCATCTTTATCTCCATCTAATTTTTGGATGGATTTACATTCACAACTGATTTTCAATACTTAACATGAATAACAAATCCCCATTTATACCTATATTTTATCCTTACTATCATATAATTCCTTTGAAATAGTAGCTGTTCCATTACCATTTAACTAATTATTATTATCTAACTTAAATATTTTTGTATTTAATTCTCCTCTAATCTCAAATTATTCTGTACAACATACAGCACCCATAGGTTATATTATTATATTTATATATTCATAATATTAATTAACTTTTTACTCAAAACTGAATAATTATATATCTTATCATTTTTATGGCATTAATGCAGTTGGTTTTATACAAATATTTTACTATCTTCTTTATCAAACAATTATTTTTGTTTAATTCTTAAACTGTTTTATAATTATAATCAAATTAAAAGATGTCTTTTTCTAATTAATATTTCAAATAAAGACTATCTTGATTCTGTTAATTGGCTCTTCTTTTATTTATAATGTAATCAAAAATTTCATTACTTTCTAAATATTATAAGAGATTTTACATTTAAAAATCCTTTTAAAATTGATTAATATAAAGTTTAATTATAATATATGAATTTAGAATATGTTCTCTTTATTCTTCATATAAATTAAGCTATATTATTTTTTAATTAGTTTTTTTAGCATGCATCACTCTAATGATATTAACATTCCATTATTCCTTATAAAAACTTAAAGGAAATTATTTCCTCTTTTAGATATCAGAGATTTCAAAGTTACTATGATATTTTCTATAATTAATAAAAAATATATATATTTTTCTTTAAAAAATATTATAATAATACTACTATGTTACTCTGATGATTGAATGAAATAAAATACAAAAGAAAAAACTGGATCTTATGATTCAATCCTGTTAAAAACAAAATAAGAATAATTTTCCTTCTGTTATATGTATGTTTTTGATTATAACTCATTTTTTTAAATGGGCTTGTAGACCAGTTACAATGTATGTGATGCAACTAATCAAATTTTTTGTGAAAGGGATATGCAAGAATTCATTTGGTCCATGTGCATTTGAATTTGGTCCCAAAACTCCTGTTACTATAAATTAAGCCTTTGGATATTATTCTTTAAGAGTATTCATAAGAGGAATAGAACCTCCTTCACCTAAAGTTTGTGCATCCTTTTTAAAATATTATTAGGAGGCACTTTAGATAAGTTAATCTAAATATGGTTAACTTGATGGAGCATTGAATCCTGAACCAGATCCTAATCCAGTAATTTTGACAGTGGCATTATATGGAACATTTGTGGTTAACTATAATGATTTATAAAATAATAAATATTACAAGTTTGACAAATGCAGCTTCTGCTTCCTTTGGATCCTTAGTTGGTGGTAATCTTAATGAATATTTCAATGTAGTTTCAGGTCTAAGTACATTTCCAGCTGTCTTAGCAGATGGTAAACCATCAGCTCCTACAACTGAGAGCTATGCCTTCCAGATTCTATTCAAATATGCTTTGAAATAATCCTAAGTAGTTGGTTAGGTAGAACCATGGAATGGGAATTTGGTTAATGTAGTTTTACCTAATACTTCAGCTGCTTTTTAAGCTTGTAAATATCTTTCTCCTGGAATATTGACTTGAAAATCTTCAACAACCTCTCCTGTATTTGGATTATCAATTCTATCTAAAAGAAGTCTTTATATTCTAAATGATGATGGTACAACACCTGATGCATCACCTGAATGAACTCCTTCATCTAAGACTTAAACAGTAACACATGCCCCTACCATACCTCTTAAAGTTGTAGTAATCCATAATTATTCATAGTTACCACATCCTGAATCTAAACATACAACTAAATCAACAGCTCCTATTTTTTCTTTTAATTTTGCCAAGTAATGATCTATGTGTGCTGATCCACTTTCTTCATCTGCTTCAAATGTCATTACAATTCTTGGATGTTTCAAACCTAATTCTTATATTGTTCTAATTGCTATAACAGCTCCTAAGATTGAATAATGATCATCTGCTCCTCCTCTACAATATAATTTATCATCCACTATTTTTGGTTCATAAGCACTTAATCCTTCTTTCCAGCCATTAAATGGTGGTTATTTATCCATATGACCATAGAATAATACTGTTCCATCTGTTTGACCTTCAGATCCATCTACTTCAACAAATAAGAATGGAGAATATCCCTCATCTGATAAAAGTTCTACTTTGGCATCTAATTATTATTAATATATAGTTAATACTCTTTAAATTTGATGCTAAAATATAATCTCTGAATTCTTATGCTGTTTTCATCAATAATCCATTAGTTAAGTATTCTGGATCAAACATCCTTGATTGACTAGGAATCTTGAGTATCTCTATGAATTTTGGCAATGCATCCTCGAAATGCTTATTTACTAATTAGTTGATTTAGTCAGCAGGAATTCCCTATTATTAATCCATATCTATATTTATTTATGATTTAATAACACCTTCAAAATTTCTTATTAATTACACATTTTATAATATGAATCTTAATCTGATGAATTCAATCAAGAAATAGATGCAATAGCAAAAACATTGATAATATTCCCATTTAATTTTATCAAATTATTCTTTTAAACTACTTTATTAAAAGAGGACGGAGAATTAAATACAAAAAATTAAACATTCGACAAATTTGAGAAGCATGTATATTTAAAAATATGAATTGAGAACATTCCAAAAAATTGTCAAACCTAGAAAATACTTTAAATTAATGATTTTAATTTAATAATAACAAAAAGATCAATTAGATTTCTTAAATTATAATCTTTAGTAAGCATAGCCTAATAAATTGATGCATTTCTAAATTTGAAAGTTTTTTGTTGATTGTCTTATTAATAATCATCTTATTAAATATTTTCATTAATTTTATAGTCTTTACAATCCTCTATTGCGTTCCCCAATTATTCTAACTTATAATCTGAAATCACTATAATATAATGATTCTTTTTATAAATTTAATATTTATTCTTAAAATTCTTGATTAATATCATTGTTTATCTGATATTTTTTAATATTATTCATTGTAATTGATATTTTTTAAATAGAAATAGAATGTTAGTATTATAACTAAATAAATTATTAAATTAAATTAACAAAATACTTAAATAATTTTGATATCAATTGCAAAATAATATCTTAAATAGTTATTTACTTAGGATATAATGGTATGTCATAAAATTTTTAAATTAACAATGTATAAAATAGTAGATCTGTTGAAAAAAGATAAGTTTATTTATAGTTTTTTAATTGAAAGAAGTAATTCTTTGAATTGTTCTTTTGGAATTAATTTTAACATACACATTAATTATAAAACATAAAATTAATGAGATCAAATTCTCATTAGGTAATAGGAGAATTGCCATAAGTGAATGCTGATCCTACTCCAGATATGTAAACAATTGAAATTAAGAAAGAAGAATCAAGTAATTGTTTCTTATTTATTTTAGCATATCGATTTTCGAATACTAATATTTGCAATATTGAATAACTCATTTTGCATTCTATCTATGAGGGTAACATTGATTAATTAAAATCAATGAAAATCCATCTTAGAGATTTAAATTATTTAGAAGAATTTAGTGAAGATTTTATAGATAAATAAATATTCCCTTTAGCGTTGGCAGTTGCAACAGGCTAACTAGAAATAGTTAAGTTACTCTTACAAAATGAGGCCATAGAAGTGAATATGGTTACTAAACCATAAGAATTGTCAGCATTAAAATTGGCTTGTAGCAATGGATATTATGAGATAGCCGAACTTCTAGTTTAACAAGATGCAAATGTAAATTAAGCTGATTCAAAGGGATCTGTGCCTTTATTTTATTGTTTCAGCAGATTAGAAGAGGAAACTAATTATTTTGAGAATAAGCAATTATGTTTTAAATTGGCTGAATTATTAATTGAAAATGGAGCAAATATTGATGCAGTAGTAAATGCTGATAAAGGATATACATTATTGATGCTTTTTTGTGCAGTCAAAGATAAATTAAATCCAAGAGATTTAAGAGTAAATTTGGATGTTATTCGATTCTTGCTCTCAAGAGGAGCATCAAAAGATAAATTAAGTACTAAAGGCAAGACAGCCCTTTAGTTATCAAAGCATCATTGTGCAAAAGAGGAAGTTTAAAAGATGCTCAAAGATGTCAAACCAACTTAATATAAAATATTCTCTCATAGACCTCAAATCATTTAATAATAAGTTATTAAATAAGAAGGAGTAAAAGGATCTGGAAATAATAATGGATTATGTTGTGGTCTATTATCATCTAGTAGAAATAGACCTTAATAAGAAAGGCCATGGTGGCAATTTTTTTGAATAATAATTGAATTTTATATATTATTGTAACTTTTACAAATACTGTAATACTACTTTTCTCTTATAATTCTTTGTTTTATATTCTTTTAAAACCAAAGAATTATTATTAATTAATTTTTTTTTTTATCATAAATATTATTTTTAAGCCTAATTCATAAACTTTTTATCATAACTTTCTTTGATTCCTTCTAATTTTTCTAATTATTCAAGAATAAATAATATATTTTATAATAAAAATAATTATTTTTGGTATAATTTATTAATATAAGAATTATGATCTCATCTTGATGATTAATTATAATATGCTTTTATGAATTAATAATTTCATTATTTATATATAGATCTACTAACTTAATATTAGTATATTCAAATTTTCAGAATCTCAATAATTAACTAATATATTATTATAAATTAATACCTATTTACAACACTTGATTTTAAGTATCGTAATTTTAATTGCTTATTAATATCACTTATAGTTCATATGTTATTATTTGAACATGCATTTAAAAAAATAAATTAGATTAATTTAATTTGATAATTGAAAAAATTTAATTTTCATCTAAAATTACTAAAACTGCCTACTAAAATAAATTATAGGAATATTCTGTTAAGTCTATAAATATGATTAGAAGTTATTAAGAATAATCAAAAGATTTAATTAATTTAAGAAAATTTATACAAATTTTACTTAGTAATATAACTGACAATGTATTCTATAAAAAATCACTTTTAAGAAAATTATTACTGATATACTTCTTTAACTCAGTTATGAGATTAAAGATACATGTATACCATAAAGAAGGTCCTTCTGATTAGTTTGCACTAGAGTAGGCTTTTCAGTTGTGATCACTTTAATAAAATACTACAGTTTTATTAAATTCAATTATTTTTTTTAAAAGGAAATAAACCGAAAAATTCGCTTTATAAAGTAAAACGAAATCGCTTTAATAATAATTAAAAACTAATGTGGAATTAACCATTTCCAACTGCATACATTCAAACCTAATAGCCAATCATCTATCCAATTTATTACATGCCTATCGTTTAAGGTTATTTAGGATAATAGGAACTTTACTTCCATAATTAAAAAAACACCTAGGGATCTTACTAAGAGGAAAAGAATACAGTTTTGGAGATGTCTAAATCACCTACAGAGACCTCCTAAGTGAAAAAATAAGTGAAATAATAAGAGGAAAGCAATGGTTAAATTGTTGTCGCAAATAAACTGAAATAAAAAAAATGTATATCTGCATTAAATATGTCGCAAAAGTCGACTAACATATAAAAGAATTATGCAAAAGCAATTGTTTAATACATAATAAGATAGAGAATAGAGATATTAAAATACTTAGGTGAAAAATAAGGGATAGAATTTTTAAAAATCTTAACGTAATTGAAAAATAATATAAAAAATATCAACCATATTAAGAAACACTTAATAGATAATGATCAATAAAAGTTATTTAGAATTATAGCTTATAGATTTTTAAGAAAAGAAGCTATTGGATATGTGTATAATTCAAATGTAAAATCAACTAGCCATCATATTTTATATAGAAATCATATAATACTTAATTTATAGAAATATTGAATAAAGAAGATTGAACCAAATGAATTCTTTATATTCATTTATTTATACACATAATAATGAAAAACAATTTTTTATTCAAACAAATATAGATTTCTATAAACTATTCTTTTTTTTTATACTTTTATCTAAATAGTTGGTTTTGATGTCTTAAAATTAATTATCTATAATAATCAAGGTTGAAGAAATCATCATACAACTATATGAAATTATTTGTATTAATAATCCAAATCCTTCATTTTTTAATTTATTTGGGTAAATTCTAATTAAGTTGTTTTTATTATATCTTTTTATCTCAATTGATAATTGAAAATATCACAAGCTTATCCTAATATGGAGGAAGAAAAAAATAGTCTCAAAATTAAATTTTTTACTCAAATATATTAATTAATTGTTAATATTTAAATAATAAAATTATTATTATTATTCTAATAATTATAATTTTATTATATAAATTATGTTTTAGTAAAACATTAATAATTTTGAGATATATAAAATGTTTAAATAGAAATAAAATAATTTTTATATGATATTTCTATTTGCTTATATATTTTATATAATTAGTTCTTAATTTTGTATTGTTAATATTTTAGAAAAATATTTATTCATTTATCTATTAAATTAATATTCATTTATAATTCTAATTATAATATTTTTGATTTCTTTTGACGAATTCCATAAATTCTAACTATACCAAATAATATTATTTAAAATTATTATTAATATATAGACTACAAAAACAGTTTGTAATTATTTTATAACATAAAATAAATTAAGAATACTTTTTTGTATAAATAATTAATTAATCTAATAATGTGTGGAATATTTGCATTAATTATTATAAACAAACCTCATAAATTCAATTTCAACTTATATTAGGAGTATTTGAATTCTCCATATATTACTAAAAGACCAGAAGTAATTGAGGAGTTATTAACTCAAAATTAAAGGCCTAATAATATTGATCTTGACTTAGAAAAGTTGTAATTGCTTAATGCAAGAGGGCCAGATTATTAAGGGAAAATCGAACTTCATTAACCTTATTATTAACTTTTATATCATAGTTTACTTCATATGAGAGGAGATTAAGATACTTTAATTAAATAACCTTTAATAAAAGAATAATTTATATTATAATATAATGGAGAAATCTATAATATAAATCCTGATGAATCAGATACTATATTTCTCATGAATAGATTACAATAGGCTAATTCAATTCATGATATAAAAAACTTATTATAATAATTAAATGGAGATTATAGTTTAATTTTTCAAGACTTATCACAACAAAAAATCTATATTGCCAAAGATCCATTTGGTAAAAGATCAATGTTATTAAGTTTCATTAATGAAGGATTTATTTTATCTTCTTAAGCTTTATAAAAGAATATTCCATTAGAAATTGAGGAAGAAGAAGATGATGAAGATGATGGAAAAACAGTTGATGAAAAATATTTAATGAAAAAGTACTTGAATGAATTTAATTAAGCTATTAATAAATCTTGTATTGAATTACCTAATAATTCAATAATAGAGATAGATTTAAGTGGACAAGAAATTTAATGGAATAAAATGTAAATTTCTGAATTCTTAAATTTTGATCAAATTTAATAAATTGATCTTTAAAATACTTTTGATTAAAATATTTGTAAAATTTATGATATTTTAATAAAAAGTACTAAAGAAATTATTTAAAATATATTTGGTTTTTAAAATCACTTTATTAATGGTTAAAATATTAAATAGAATTAATAATAAGGAAGAATAGGTATATTATTTAGTGGTGGAATAGATTGTAGTTTAATAACTCATATAGTTTGTAAATTATTACCTGATAATTCATAAATTGATTTAATTAATGTTGCTTTTACAAATGATGCTCCTGATAGAATCACAGCAAGAAATGCTCATTAAGAATTATAAAATCTACATAAAAATTAATTATTGAATCTAATATTAATTGATAAAACACTTGATGATGTATATAAAGAGGAAAAATTATTTTTAGAGATATTATATCCTAAAATTACACATATGGATTTTAATATAGCTATGATATTAAATATAGCTAGTTCATATAATGTAGAAACACGAGTACTTCTTAGTGGATTAGGAGCTGATGAAATCTTTTGTGGATATGCTCGATATAAACATGCTTTAAAAAGAGGATATGCTGAATTAATTGAAGAGATGAATTTTGATTTATTTAGATTATGGAATAGAAATTTAGGTAGAGATGATAGAGCTGTAAGTAAGAATGGTAAAGAACTTAGATTTCCATTCTTAAATATTGAATTAGTTTAATTTATAAGATAAAATATTCATCCATCTTAATATATTATGGGGGATACAAAATCTATTTTAAGAATTATTTGTCAAAAAGAAGGTTTAAAGTAAATAATTATTATAGATATTTAGTGTTATATCTAAACATGGAAAGAAGGCCATACAATTTGGAACTAAAATAGCAAAACTATCAAATAAAAGATTCTTTGGAGGTAACAAAAAAGCTAAGGGGACATTAAATTATAATATAAAATGAAATTATTTGGGATGATTATAAATATCTTATAAAAATTAATTATTATTACAAAAACATATTATAATATTAAGATATTATAATGTTTTATAAATATTATTAAAAAGCTGGATAAATTTTAAATTTATATTGATAATTATTTGTATTTAATTAATAATAATTATAAAAAGTATTGTTATTCTTTTTCTTTTTGATTAAAATATTAAAGTTGATATTTATATAATAGATATTATATGTCAATCAATAATTATATGATATTATTATAATGAAATAGTAAAAAATATACTATCATAAAATGTTTAAATAAATTTAAGAAATGAGAAAATCTATAAAGATGATATCATTTTTCATGAAAATTAATTTACAAAAAATTAGGACATTATTAAAAACTTATTATCTCACAAAGGTTATTAAATATTCATAAAAGTTTATTGATTTTAAATATATTAATTTAGATACATTTGTGCAAATAAATGAAGAACAAATAAAATATTGTTGACACCTAAATCTTAGGTTTAATGAGATGTTCGAAAATAAACAAATAAAAGTTTAAAGAATAAAAGGAATATAGTACAATAAAAAAGGAATTTTAAATTATCATTAATATTCCAAAGGAATTAGGAATAAGGGAATATTTAAGAACAGAAATAGATATAATTTTCAGCACTGACTATTAAATAAATTCTAATTTAGGAGAACTATGCACAAATATCTTTACAGTAGGCTATAAAGTTTTATAAACTGATTATTTTTAAGATAAATAAGTATTCACATTGTTCCCAAGAAATTTGTAGTGTGTAAGCATAGATGTTATTTATAATTTATTAGAGAAAATGAATTTATAAAAAAGCAAAGAAGACATTCAAAATTTTATGTTAGATCATAAAAAGAGAAATATTTAAATAAGTTAATGTAATGATGTACACTAAGTTGACATGTATGCTTCTTAATTTCCATACGAATCTTATCTAATAAGATATGATTCAACAGGTTCTAAAGTTTTAAAATATATAAACAATGTGAAATATATTCAATTAATGGGTATAACAAGAGAAATGATGGAATATAACTTAATGTAAACTCAAATTTTACCTTGTGCCATAAGAGTTGAATCATATTTAGATATTTGGAGTAAGATGTTCGAAGCAATATCCAGAAAATCAAATTTTTTCACAGCTGAATTATAAAATTATAATGGTTAAAGAACATTTGTAAAAATGGAATAAAGATTGTTATACTTAGTTCAAGAGAATGACAATAGTATATATTGTTATCTATATTGGATATATCATACAAATCCAGATCCAGCAATAGCAGAAGAAAACTATTAGAAAGAATTAGATTCTTAAAATCCTAAACCAAAATAGTGTACATATAAATAAATTTGCAATTGATTAACTTAATTTTGTAATAATCTAACATAACAATATCATTCTTTCATTATTGAGCACCTCCTGCTTATTTACCTGCTCTCATAATCTAAATTTATAATATAAATATATACTTCATCAACTAATAATAATTATTAAGCCAATGTTGGAGCAATGTTCAACCATGATCTTTTACAACAATAATTATCAAAAATGCCATTAGCAATAGGAGCAATGAAACCTTATTCATTAATACTCACACCAACTGGAATATTATTTTTTATATATTCATCAGTAACTTAAATGAGTGTTTCTTAAACGTCATATCCACAATTTTCTGCTAATGCTTTTGGAATAACTAATAATGATTCAGCAAATGCTTAGACTCCTAATTTAGCTTTTCCAGCAACAGAATCTTTGAACTTTTAAAGATGAACACTAGTGGCAATTTCAAAGGCACCAGCACCAGGAATAACACATTTATCTTCAATAGCATTTTTAACAGCTCTTAATCCATCTCTAATAGCATCTTTAATTTAAGCAATAGTATGTTCATTTGGTCCCCTAATTAAAATTGTACATGAAGCAGGATTTTATACTCCTTCAATAAATGTATACTTCTCTTCTCCTAAAGTATATTCTCTTAACTATTTATAAATTAAAATTAATTACCACTTCACAATATCCAAGATCACTTTCTGTCAAATCTTCAACTGCATTAACTGAATTACCACCACATGCCTTTGCAATTCTTTCCATATTTCTTTTTTTAGCTCTTCTAATACCAACAATTCCTTCTTTAGCAAACATTTCTAAACAAACTGGATCAATTCCTTTTTAATTAATAACTGCAAATCCATAACCATTCTTCTCACAAACCTTTCTTTTGAAATCAATAATTTATTAGCATTTATCATCTGTTAATTTTCTTTCAGATCTAGCTAATTTCTCTCTGTCTTCAGCTGAATTATAAAAGAATCCACTATGAACCTATTTATGTATATCTATTTTACTTCAGTCTTTTCATATTCTAATGAAACATTCAAATTTAAGATATAACATTTCTTAACAAATTTTGGCATATCTGGATGTCTTGCACCATGATCCAATACTAATCCTCTAATCAATTCTGTTTCTGCTCCCATCTTATGTTACATATGCATAATTTCAACCATAAATAAATCTATTGGTTTCTCAGGTACATGAACTATTTAAACTGCATCAACAACAATTTCAATTATTCTAAATTATATTTTATTATATTAGTTACTGATTAGCAACATCTGGAGTTAATTTACTAATTAATGAAGTTCTAGCCACATTTATTAATACAGCCTTATCAATTTATTAATACTTGAAAGTGTCCAAAAATGATAAAGCTTCTTTTCTAGCCAATTCAAATCCTTCTGTAATTACTCTAGGATGAATTCCTTCAGCTAATAATCTTTCGGCTTATTTCATTAATGCGCCAATCAAAAGAACATTACTTGTTGTACCATCACCAATTATATCATCCTAAGCTGTAGCACTTCTGGCAATCATAGCTGCTGTGGGATGTTGAATTTACATTTCTGATAATAAAACAGCTCCATCTTTTGTAAGTTTTATCTATCCAGCACCTCCCACTAACATTTTAAGGGTTCCTTTTGGTCCAAGATTTGATTTCATCACTTCCATTAAGCCAGCTGCAGCATTTATATTCATTGCCAAGGCTTAATATTTACGAAGAACTTCAGCTTTAGAATTGACAAATTGAACACTGCTCATTTTTATTTATTTAAAAAAGAAATTTATTTAATTTTTGTATTTTCATAAGATTTGTAATTAGAAATCATTTCTCTTAAAAACTAACTCCATTTCCTATTTGTTTCAATGCATCTTAAATAGCTGAAGCTTTGCTAATTAAAGATTTATCAACTGAATTTGTAATTCCCTCATTCAAACCCCAAATATTCTTAAAGAAATCTTAAGAATTTGCACTATCATCTAAGTCTTTCTATCTATTTTCAATGTAAGTTTAGATATTTTATATCTCATCAAAGACAGTATTATATTCTTCAATTTTTGAATTGTATAGTTCAATTGTTGTGTCTTTATCTTATAATATAGCTTATCTTCTATCTTCATAAAGTTATTGATTTCTATTTGCTTGACTTATCAATTCTATTCTATAATCAATAGTATTCATCCAAAATTAATCTAATAATTATTCAAGATCTTTTAAAACTTTTCTGTCTTTAAAATCAAGTTGTAAAAGTTCCTAAAGTGAACTTGCTAATGTTAAAAGAGGAGAATCTGATTTAGCTAATGAAGTAATTTTTGTATGGAACTCTTATAAAGAAGTTTTAATCTCTACAAATGAGTTTCCTCCAGATCCTCCTTATAATAATTCTTTCACAGTTTTTCTCATCTAAATTATATTAAATATATATACTGAATCCACTGATTATAAAGCTATGCTAACATCATCCATTTCTTATTTTGCTGATTCTTTCATCTTTGTAAAATCTGCATCATTTATTTTCAAATCCTATTTTTGTTGATCTAAAATTCCTGCTCTGTATCTTAAAGCCTCATCCAATTCATTTTTATAAGGAGTTAATTAATCATTAAGTTTTGTTTTGTGCTTTGCTAAATCTACTTTTATTTAGCTCATAGTTCTATCATGCAAAATAATTAACTATGCTTATATATATAACTATTACTTTTTAAAGTAATGCTGATTTCTATTGATTTGTGTCACTCTCTATTTATCTTACATGTTGAACATCGCACAATAAATCTGAAATGGCTTGAGATAAATTGGGCCAATTAAGTTTTGTTCTATCAGGATCACTTGAGGATAGTTATGTGAATGCTTCTGCTAAATCTTATTAACCACACACAATCACTATAAAAACGGTGAATATAATTAGTTTTTTCATTAATTTTAAATATTCTTAATAGTAATAATTCTTTGGTTCGAATTTCTTCTATTTAGTAATTAATTTATTAATATATACATGAGTATTAATAATGGAAGTAAAGTATAATCTATAATAATCAAGAAATAGGAAAACTTAGTAGAAGATTATCATTGAATTCTGATCTTATATAAATAAACATGTCTTAATAAGTACATTTTATTCATTATTTAAGAATAATAAAACATTAAATAATTCATATTCTGTTTCACTTCATTAATCTAAATAAACTTTTAACAAAAAGAATATTTCAAAAGTAGATATGTAAAAATTTCTAAATCAATAATAGAGAAACTCCACTTGAAGATCCAAAAAGCTAATTGATTAGTTCCAAACCTAGGAGTGAATATCAAATAAAGAAATTTTCAATTGATGACAGAAATAAAATTACAAATTTTCTTAATGCCATAGATGATTATATAAAATAGTTAAATGAGAATTCAGATTGTCATACAGTAACATCAGATTCTTAAAGTAAATTAGAGAATATGTTGATCCTTAAATATAATATTATCCAAAAATAATAAGAATAATTAAAAATTAAATACAAAAAATTACAATAAAATTATGCAGTTGAAAATTAAGAAAATTAGACTCTTAAAAATAAATTATTTGATTTGCATAATCAATTGTAAGAATTAAAGAAGAAAAATTATATATAACAATTAATTTTAGATAAGTAGAAATAATAAAATAAAGAATTGAAATTGAAATATCAATATTTATAAAATTCTTATATAAAAGAAAAACTGAAGTATGAAAATCAAAAGNTTGCTAAATCTACTTTTATTTAGCTCATAGTTCTATCATGCAAAATAATTAACTATGCTTATATATATAACTATTACTTTTTAAAGTAATGCTGATTTCTATTGATTTGTGTCACTCTCTATTTATCTTACATGTTGAACATCGCACAATAAATCTGAAATGGCTTGAGATAAATTGGGCCAATTAAGTTTTGTTCTATCAGGATCACTTGAGGATAGTTATGTGAATGCTTCTGCTAAATCTTATTAACCACACACAATCACTATAAAAACGGTGAATATAATTAGTTTTTTCATTAATTTTAAATATTCTTAATAGTAATAATTCTTTGGTTCGAATTTCTTCTATTTAGTAATTAATTTATTAATATATACATGAGTATTAATAATGGAAGTAAAGTATAATCTATAATAATCAAGAAATAGGAAAACTTAGTAGAAGATTATCATTGAATTCTGATCTTATATAAATAAACATGTCTTAATAAGTACATTTTATTCATTATTTAAGAATAATAAAACATTAAATAATTCATATTCTGTTTCACTTCATTAATCTAAATAAACTTTTAACAAAAAGAATATTTCAAAAGTAGATATGTAAAAATTTCTAAATCAATAATAGAGAAACTCCACTTGAAGATCCAAAAAGCTAATTGATTAGTTCCAAACCTAGGAGTGAATATCAAATAAAGAAATTTTCAATTGATGACAGAAATAAAATTACAAATTTTCTTAATGCCATAGATGATTATATAAAATAGTTAAATGAGAATTCAGATTGTCATACAGTAACATCAGATTCTTAAAGTAAATTAGAGAATATGTTGATCCTTAAATATAATATTATCCAAAAATAATAAGAATAATTAAAAATTAAATACAAAAAATTACAATAAAATTATGCAGTTGAAAATTAAGAAAATTAGACTCTTAAAAATAAATTATTTGATTTGCATAATCAATTGTAAGAATTAAAGAAGAAAAATTATATATAACAATTAATTTTAGATAAGTAGAAATAATAAAATAAAGAATTGAAATTGAAATATCAATATTTATAAAATTCTTATATAAAAGAAAAACTGAAGTATGAAAATCAAAAGTAAAAAATACTGTAGAATAGTATTTCAATTTAAGAAAACAATATTGTATAAATATTTAACAATAATATTTAGATCTTAGATACAAATTAATCAATTTAGATAATGGATTATAACTATGTTAAAAAATTTCTTTAGTTATAAATTAAAAAGTTAAAATATAATAATAGATAAATTGATGATTATTCTAATCTTTATAAAAAATATAGTGATCATAACATTGAAAACATTTGATTAATTAATTTATGATATAAAAAGTTGTATAATTAGTTCAGAGAAGATCAATTCAAAGATTTTCTAATGTGTTTGTTGCACATAGAAATAGAGATGATAATAGTGATTCAGTACCATTTGATTTTACAGATGAAAATTATAAAAAAATTGAAGAAATCTTGGCAAAATTTCCAACAAATGAAAAAAAATCAGGGACTATTCCATTATTAATGCTTGCTCAAAAATAAAATAATAACTTTTTGAGTCTATCTGCAATGAAGAAGGTTATTCTAATTATTTATTAGATAGATTGCAAAGTTATTAGAAATCCCAGAAATGGATGTTTTTGAAACAGCTTCATTTTATTCAATGTTTAATAGAGAAAGAGTTGGTAAATTCCATCTTCAAGTTTGTGGTACAACACCATGTTAATTATGTGGATCTAGAGATATTATTAAAACTATTGAATAGAAATTAAATATTAAAAATGGAGAGACTTCAGCAGATGGATTATTTACTTTATAAGAGGTTGAATGTTTAGGAGCATGTGCTAATGCACCAATGATGTAAGTGAATAATGAATGGGTATATGAGGATTTAACACCTGAAAATACAGTATTATAAATGATATAATAATAATAGTTAAAATTATTAGAAGATTTAAAGAATGGGACAGATAAAAAAGGACCTTAGAATGGCAGAAAGAATGCTGAAGGTCCATAAGGTAGAACTACTTTATAAAATATTGCAAATTAATAGGATATTAAATATGATAGAAATTTTGAGGCAGCAAAAAAGGAATGGTTAGATTAAAAAGAGAAGGAGAGACTTGAAGCTGAAAAAAAGAAGTAAGCAGCATAACAAGCTAAAAAATGAAACCATTTTTAATATTAAATATAAAATAATAAGATATTAATTTACATAATAATTTTATCATGTTAATTTTTGGTTTCTACATCTATCTTAATAAATTTACTAATGATTAGGAAATGGTTTGATTGTAGGTATCATAGGTATTGGTAATCGTTATCCCTATTCTTATTCCATTAATTATTTCACTTTTTCAATATCTTCAGGAGGATATTAACATGTGGTTGGAAATTAAATTTAAGGGATCTCAAATGATTCTTTAATTTTACTTTTAATTTCTTAATGTTATTCTCTTTCATCTAAAGTTAAATCAACTAATGACATTATTTCAATGATTTTCAAAGTTGCCTATTCGATTTCTTTTTAGAATACTAATAATTTTGCTATTTCAAGCATATCTTATATATCATTATTATTTTTGTGTATTAATTCCATTTTTCTTATTTAATCAAATATGGTTTTGGCACGTTCCAAGAGATTCCTTTAAAATTAAGCATTATAATTTAGTAATTATAATCTATAAACAGGATCTTATAGTTTAAGTATGTTTTAAATTGATTAACATGCTTAACTAGTAGTATCTCTAAGTTCATCTTCAACATGAGCATAATTGCAATCAATAATATTTCTACATTTTCCTTGAAGATAGAAATTACAAATTTTAGTTTTCCAAAAAGGATTTAAAAGTTATCCTTATATTGAATTTTATTGAATCACAGCCATATTAGTTTGTCCTTCATTATTAATAGAAAAAGAACTAGAATTATTAGGTTGAGGATGAGTCAAATATTCTTGTGGTATATGACGTAATTCAGTTTCTCCATGAGCATAATTACATTTTTCTTATTTAGCACAATGTCCTTCTAAAATATATATAATATATAAAATTACTTGTTGACCAATGAGTACAAAGTTTTGATTTGTAAAAAATACTTGTTTCTTTATTTTATTCTTAACTAAAATTCATTTAATATATTATAAAAAAATTAAAAAACGGCATGAAGACCCTATTGTTATTGCTAGTTGTTGGTGTAATGTGCCAAAATGAAGTTGACACAGTCGAAAAATTATTGGCTGACTTAAAAGGAGCATCAGCTGTTGAACTTACAGCACTTAATACAGATTATACAGTTTCTAAAAATGTACAATTCTAATAAGCATTTTAGCTCAAAGAGAATATAATATTCAATTTAGGTAAAGCTTATTAAGAATAAAACTTTTTATGCGCAAGTCGAGATAAATCTGTCTCTGATAGAGAATCAGATATTGATAAAACAAATAAATACATTGCTTATTTATAAAAGAGACTTGTTGATAATTCAAACAGAATTCATACTCTTGATGCCAATAGGTAAAATATCCCATTTAAAATAGATGTACACATTCCTCAAATTATATTGAAAGAGTCAAAAATGATAATATGACTTTAAGATTAATAATATTTTTGAGAAACTCACTTTAAAATTTAGACAATAATCAATTAAATAGATATGGTGCTTATGTTGAAAAGTTTTTAACAATGTACAAATAAGCCAAAATATCAGAATTGGTTGAATTAGCACATGAATTTGCTGATACAATGTTTATTGATTGGAATTAAGTTACACCTTCTTCATAAGGAAATATCAATACTGTTAAAGGATAATTAATTGAAATGCTTAATGATATGGAAAGGTATATAAGAGAACAAATAAAAAATGTATAAAATCTAGAGATTGCCACAGGTGTTACTTTGGCTGATTTCAAGGGAGCTATAGATATAGAAAATGAATAAATTAATTATGATCTTTCATCTGAATAAAAGAATCTCATAAAATTAGAAGAACAATTAGTTTAGGCAAGATTAGCTGCTGTTAATTGCAGAGAAAAAGGAGTTGCCTTACAATAATAATAATAAAGAGCTATTGAAGTATACTTTAATTAAAATATTGATAGGACTTAAAAAATGAAGAAATTTAATATAATAAAAATAAAGCAAGATTATAAGAAGAACTTAATTTATTTACTGATGTTTACAGAATTTATTCTACTTAAGTAGGAACTTCTGAAGATAAATTCAAATAAAGAGTTGATGACTATGTTAATGATAGGGTATTTATTAATAATCTATAAAAATATTAGAAAGTTGATTCATATGAGAGATCTTAATATTCTTTAAGTGATGCAGTTAGAAAATAGGTTTAAAATGAATGAAATATCAATCCAATTTAATAATATATAGATTATTTACATTCTCTCTAATAATTATTTTTTATATAATAATGAGCTTAATCCGTTTTAATATATTGGCATTGACAATAGGAGTTTGCTTATCAGCCATGACTCCTTAAGCCTCATTATTGATGAAGTCTTTTCATTAAGTATATGCAAGTATTAAACTTTTTAGTTTAGCCAAAGCCCATATAGTGATTAATTGAAGGAATTAGTATAAATTAAATTAGAAACAGGAGGATAAGTAGATGAAGTCTTAAAACTTATTTAAGAATTATTGGATTCATTAAAATAAGATCAAGTAGATGATGATGTTGCACATTCAAGATAGATGGCAGTTTTTGATTAGAATATTAATGAATTAGAAGATGATCTCTCAAGATTAAATACAGATTTAGCTAATGCTAATGTATTAATTTAGACCTTAGCTGAATTATTGGTCATTCTTAGAGAAACTATCTTAACCTATGAAAAACAATTAGCAATTCTTAATGAATAAGAACAATTCATCAGGAATGCTAGAGCTGCTGATATCAAAGCTTATAATAGAAGAGTTGAATAAGCAAATAAAGTTATTAATGCATTAACTCTAATCATTGACAAATTGAGTAGAGCAGTTGATCAATAAACTTCAGAATAAGATAGATAAGCTATTTTGACATAAATACATGCTGAATGCCATGAATAATTTGGTCCAAATCACCCTGTCACTATACTTATAAAATTAACTACCAGATTTGATGTTCCCACTGTCTAAAGAATATTAGAGAAACTTGTATAAATTAGGGATGGTGCCAGTAAGAGTTTGAGTGAAGATATTGCAGCTGAAGAAGTAGCTTCTTAAAATTTCGATACTTCTATGAGTGAAATTGAAACTTTAAGAAAGAGATTGTCAACAGATCTTGAAAACTTAAATTAATAATTTAATGACAAGTTGAATCAATAGGTAGAAACAATAAAAAATTATTATTTTAGAAAATTGTCTTGGCTTAAAAGGAACAATTACTTATTGATATTCCAATCACTGAAGAACTTTTGTAATTAACTAAGGAATAATAAGAATAATATCATTAAGCTTATATAAGTAGATAAACTTAAAGGTATTTCATAATTTATATTATAGATAATCGGAAATTGAAGTAGTCTAAAAGGCTTACAATTTAGTCTTTGATCATGTGGATTCTGTCAAAAAATCAGAAGATCTAACGGCTAAACTTTCCAATTGATTAATATGAAAGTAATAAATAATAAGAAGAAATTTTATATAAATATTATAATTATAAATTCATTTTTTAGTTTATCTACTTATCTTAGAATATTATTACTAATATTATTAAGAAGTTCTTGAAGTATTATTATTAAAAAATTGATCATTCTTTTTCTATGTTCTTGGATTTCTAGCTATCATATCATATTTTCTTAGATATATATATTTTTCTAATAACAAAATTTCTTTATCTGTTAAGTTTTTTAAAAAATGTTCAATTCCTGCTTTTCTTTATGAATTTTCACTTTCACTTTCATCTTCTGATTGGAAAGTTAGAAACTCTCCTTTTCTGTATCCTTCGAATTCAGTTCTATTTATGAAATTTAGTATTTTTACTCTGAATCATAAGGTATAACTCTTTAAGGTAAGATTGGTTCTGGGATTTTCATTGTTTATTATAATTCAATAGCAGTAGTTTTATATTCATCAATTACAGATTATGCTCTATTAGATTTTGCAATCATATTAAATTATGTATTAACATCTTAATTAGTTGTAAATATTCTTTTTTTAAGTTCAAAACTACCATTTAAACTTTAGGTTTATTTTTCTTAACAATTTGTTTAATATGATTTATGATGCCTTTATATATGTTATGGGTTTTTATTTTATTAAGAGTGAAACTTCATTTGATTTACATTATTACCCATTCGGTTAGAATCAGCCATTATTGTTTTCTATAACTCAAATATTTGTTATTATTAATGAGGCTTAACATATGGAGAATGATTATAACGATGAGTTGTTTATAAACTCTAAGGTTATTAAAATTAAAATCGCGTTTATGTTGGTTTCATTTTGTTCTTTACTTATTATTTACTAGACACTTTGCTTTTCAATATTGTGGATTAGTTTGATTTTTCACAAGAATATGATTACTATTTAAGTGAAGACTTAACATCTATATACTCCCTAAGTTATCTTAAAAGATACTTTTATTAACTATATGGTCTTGTTATCTTCTACCCTGTGCTGCTTTTTACTTCTGTGGGGTTTCCTTTGTACATTAAATTTATTATATATTATTATTTATTTAATATAGAAATATACAATTATGATCACTGTTTGTCACAAAATCATTCAAAAAGTATAAGTTATATAAACAAATATGACATTTGAATAAAATTCAAAAAAAAATACTTTCTGTTATATAATGTAATATAATTATATAAACTTTTATCATTTCATTTATATAAATTATAATTTATTCTATACATAAATAATTTATAAAAATCCAATTTTTATTGTAATCAATATTTCTTTAGATAAATAAACTTATTTATTAAAGATAAATTTTTAACTATTAAGTGATTGAATACTTTAGATTATGTAAAATTATTTATTACTTATAGAATTTCTCAAAATTATTTATATCTAAAAATCAAAATGAAAATAACTGATTTCTAGCATTCATAAAATAATATTTAAAGTTAAAATATTAGCCTCTTAATCTAATAAAACAATTACTCCATAATCAATAAGGTTGCTCATTAATATCTTATAATTTTTATATTTTATCTATCAAATTCTTCACAAATAAAGGCTTTCTTTTAGAAATTACTTATTTTAGTTATGTTTTTGTAATATTAGAGCTTAACTTTTAATAACCAACTTGTATTAGACAAAGATTACATTTTTGTATAAAAATAAGAATTTTAATGAAATTAAGAATTTAACAATATATGTAATTATTAATTATTTTAGTTTTCTTATAAAAAACTTTGTTTTGATATTTCTTCTATATTTATATTAGCATTAAAAAGAACGCTTATAAAATATAATTTATCATAATATAGAAACTAACCTAAATTTATCTAAAAAATCACTTAATTATCCAAGGAATTCATTCAGTTCATCTTAATATATTGGACTTAAGATTTTACTTACTTGCTCAACATTTTAGATTGGCCTGTTTATATTTCTAAACATTTAAATATAAGTATCATGAAATTGATTAATATCTATTTTTATACTTTTTTTTATTTCTGATAATTATTTATTTTGAATCAGATTGTTATATTGATTTAACCTTTCACAAAGCTAATATAATTATTAAATAGTTACTTCTTATTTTAACGTTTCCATTTATCTTCTTAATTCAATAGCTTAACTTGAATTAATTATTATTAATTCTTTGCCTTTTGGTTCAGGATTTTCATGCAAACGCTCTAATAATAGTTTATTCTATTCTATAAGAGGAGATATTAAATCAACTTATATTTCTTTATCAATCTATTCAATTTTCAATTTTTAAGTAAGATTTTTTTGTGTATTATTTAAATTATGAGTTTAGTGTTCTTATTTTTGTATTTGATTCTCTAAATTTGCAATAGTATTATTAGCTATTATAATTTCTTCATTTAATTGATCATTCATTTATTATAAGAGTTACAATTGCATTTTTTAATCATTAAAACGCTCTTAAAGCTTTTAATACTCATTATTATCTTAACTTTGCTCATAATATTTGATCTTCTCTTTTAATTAATTTATTATCTTTAAATAATTTTCATCATCTCCTTTGTTTCCTTTAAATGATTCCATTTTTTGAACATTCATTTTAATAGAATCTCTATTTATACTATTTCTCTATGGGGGAACACTCGTACTGTTCTATTTGATTATTAAATAATTATCATTCTATTATTTTAGATTTTCAGCAATCCCTTAAAAGTAATCCCTTAAACCTTTTACTGAAGATTGTCTTTCTTCCATTTTTTATAAAATTACTAAATAATTGTAATTATTTGATATAAAATAAGTAAATAATGAAAAAATAAAGAAGAATATGCTAAAAATGTTTTACAATAATATTAATTATCAATACATTCATTTTTTCTATGCAAACTCTACTCTAAATTAATTTATGAAGATTGGATTGATTAATAATGTAAGTCAAATTTCTTTTAAATTAATGGGAAATCTAAAATTATAAAAAGAGGTTCTTAGTGTTTAAGTAAAATATTATTAATAGTAAGAATGAATTATTAGAATAGTATTTCATTCAAAAGCATTAAAATCCTAAAATATTTTCTAATGTTGTTATTTTTTGGTCATTAAAAGCAAAAAGATTTATTATTATTAAAGAAATTGAAATATTTTAAATCCACCGTAACATATGAAAATACTCTCTTGGAACTATTGATTTTATTAAATTTATAAATTGAATAAATTGAATAAATTTAAAGAATCAGAAAGAAAGTATTGATTTGTAATTTCAACAATATTAAGAGATAATTCATTTAAAAAAAGCTAAAAGTTTCATCATAATAATAAAGATTTGTTTTCAACTTCAATATTAGATGGTATTATAAACCAAATTAAATTTGCAAACATGAAGACTTATGTAAATATTTAAACATTATAATAGTAAAATGAAAAAGGTTTATAATTTTATATAGATGAAAACAATGAAAATATTAAATAGTATAATAGCAAAAAAATGTGTATTTATAATTTCGATATACATTTCATATACTTAAATCATTTTTTATCATTCTCATATAACTGGATATGTAATCTTTTTTATTTTATCAATACAATTAGCATCTCCATTCTTTTATACTTAAAAGTAACCATTCATTCCCCATTTTGCTCCCCAAGAATTTTTTGCAAACCAAGTTTAAGTATCATATGCTATAAATGAAACAACATGTTAGTAATTAGAAACTTTTGGATATCCACATGTATTAATAATACCAGATGTATATCTGAGCCAGGATTCATCTGCATACATGAGAGCTGTAACTGGACCTGTTTACATAGCAGTTTCAATATCATTATTAGTGAATTTGGTTAATCCTTAAACAGATTTGAATTGCTTATATCCAATCGATCCTTTTGGTTTTGAACATTCATCTTCTTTCTAATCATATTCTCTATAATCTTTTTCATAAACAGTTCCATATTGATTGATAAAATCAAATGCATCACTAACAGATCCTCCATCACATCCTGCAGTATTTCCATCAGCACAATCAATTAAATGAGTCTTTGATAATTAATCAAGCTTATTTTTATTAGCAATAGCTAATCTACTGATTACAACATCTTAGACTGCAAATGCCCAACAACTACCACATCTTCCTTATTATTAAACTTCTGTAACCTAAGTATTAATATATTAGTAATTACTTATTTTAACCAATCTAAACTTGGTGGATTCTTTGGAGTAGCTTTAGCAGGTGCAGATGCTTTTTTGACTACCTTTTTAACTACAACAACAGTTTTATCAGCTTATAAAAACGAATTATGTGATAATGTATCTCTTTTAATTGCATTGATATCATCTTCATTGAATGTCTCATAATGTTCTTCAAAGTCTTTCTTCATAAATAGTTTATCCATTAACTCTTCAGATGTCTCATCAGAAAAGACATTTAATCCCCATACATCTTTTGGTAATTGTTCATTATGATGCTAAAAGTATGTTTAACCATTTATATACTTTCATAGCTCTATAGTTCTTCACAAATACTTCCATTCTATAAATCATTTCGAATTCATTGTTATATTCTTTTTGATTTTCCTAGACCCAATTCTTAAATTATTTTTATTCTTCTTCTCTCCATCCATAAACTGATCCATTTTCATGTAATTTATCACTTAAACTTGCACTTGAGTAGGTTAAACCTAATACATATGACACTAATCCCAATAACTAAATTATTTTCATTTATATTAATTATTTATAATGCCTTTACCTTCAAATATAACTTGTCCTTTTCATTCAAATTAATAGTATTATATTTCAGCAGTTTGTCTATATGCAAATTGTGAACATCAACCAGCTCTATGTTTAGCATGTCAAAAAGACTTTCATTCAGATCATTAATAATTTTGTTATACTTTTTAAGAAATAGAAGAAAAAACTAAGAATTTAGATTCAGTTATGGATATTAAATAATCATATATGATATTTAAAAAGGAAATCATTGATTTGCTAAATTTTATAGGATTAACAATTCAGTAATCAACTTTTTCATTTTAATCTCGATTTCTATCATCTGAATATAAATAAGTTAACTAATAAACAATTAATGAACTTGGAAATGCATTAAGAAATACTTAAGAATAAATATCTAAAAGACATTAAATCATATCTTATTTCAATGAATTTTTAGCTGAATTTGAAAAAAGAACTAAATAATTTACAGGATAGATTAAATATTAATATCCAAAATAATAATAATAGAATGTAAAAAATATATAAAGAGATTAAACAAAAACAAGATTAGTTAAAAGAAATTCTGAAATTATTAGTAATTCTAGATCTAATAATACATCTAAAATTGAATTAAGTAAAATTTCAAGAGCACAATCAGATTTCTCTATTGATAATAACTCTAAATTAATACAATAATTAGATTTCAATAAAATTTTATTTAGATTAGATTTTAATCATATTTAAGGAGAAGCTAATATTATTAATGATTATACTTTAAAATCTAAAAATGGCTGTATTGCATTATTATATCCTCCTTTAAATGATATAATCAATAATTATATTAAATTATCATTTAAAATCTAAAGATGTTAAGGATTAGTTTGTATAGGTGTTGCTACAAATACTTAGAAATGTAGCTTTGCTAATTTAGATTCTAGAGGAAGTATAAAAATAACATAAATTATATATAGAAGTTTACACTAGTTGGAATTTCTCAGAACATAATAAATAAACTAATATTAAATTTGGAACATCTGATACAATTATTTGTTATGTGAATAAACATTAGAAAACTGTTGAATTTTAGAAAAACGATGTATTGATTTGAATATTTAGAGAAACATTGAAGCCAAATTAACCAAAGTAAACATGAATGATATGAAATTTTATATCTATTTACATTATGCTGAGATAAGTATCTTGAATAATAAAGAGATATTAAACTTTTGAATAAAATGTTTTGTGTCATTATAAATAAATAATATAGTGTTATATTTTAATAATATTTAATTAAATAATTCAATTCAAATATAATATTTTTAAATAATGAATCTTAAACAAAATATGATTGAATTATCAGAAAAAAGAGATAGTATTAATATGAAATATTAAATCTTAAATTTTCAATCAAATTGTAATTATTAAAAATTCCTAAAAATTATCAAAATAAATATAATACAAGTAAAAAATACAATTTTATTTAGATGTAGAATTCATAATTTATATAGATTTTAGAAGTGTTTAAAATTATATATTATTTTTAGGTTAAAAATATAGAATTCTACATATAAATAATTAATTCTACGTTATTTAGTATTATTAAAATATAAAAATAAAGATTTAATTAATAAATTAATCGGTAATTTAGAAAGTGTTTATTAAAATATAAAAAAATGATTAGAAGAATCTTAAGATGCTTTAATTGGTTTTTAATTTTAATTCTTAAATATATATTTTAGTATTATATTGCTGGATGAGGTATATAATACATCATTGTTTTTGCAATAACTCATAATCTAGATCAAAACTAATCGGTTTTGCTTCTGGATTATATTCATGTTATTCAATTTCTTCTTTTTCATTCTATTTATTTAATATATATCTTACATCTATTTTAACATCTTATTAATTTTCTTTTTTGCTTATTTCCCTATTTTATTTCATTCTTTATTTATTCTCTTTTCTTCTTTATTAATATTAAGCACTTAGTATTTTGGTCCAATATTCTTCAGCTCCTTTTCTTATTCTCTTTTCAATTTCTACTCTTGGCACTCCTTACATTCCAAAAATCTTATTTTTAATATCACTTCTATCACCAGTGGCATTTGGAATTCTAAAAATAAGATTAATAAATAAATACTTAGTTAAAACCTCATGATGAGCAGATTCTACATGATTTTTTAATGAATCACAAGATGAAAACTTCTTAAAACATCTTTAACAAGTAAAATGCTTTGCTTTTTAATGTTAATGCAAGTAAACTTCATTTTTAAATGTTTTATCACAGTAAAAACAAAAAGGTTTTAAATAAGATAAGTCTCTATTTTTCCTTCCCATTGATATATATAACTAAATATATTAAAATTAATTTTATTAATATTCATTTAAGTTTAGGTAATTATTCAAATGGAGATACACTTTATTTAGACATATTTAAGATTTTTCTTTTACTAATAAATCCAAATCCAATTCTAGCTAAAAACCTTTTAATGTGTATGCATTCATCACCACATCTTTTATGTACCTTAAATATATAATTAGATATTATTACTCTCATATAATTTTCATAATATTTTTTGAAATCAAAATAAGTGATAGTTTGAACACTCTTATTACAATAATTTGATATAATTAAAAATACTTTATCTTTCCATTCATTTTTTTCCTTTTAAGCCAATTATGTAAATATCTTTTTTATAGATTCTTCTTTCATATGATCCTAAATTACTTCCAATGGCTTTCCCATATTTTATCTAATTACTTCTAAATCAAATTCTTCATCATTTTATAGTTCATCACCAAATACAGAAAAGAATAATTGCTATTCTTTTTATTCTCTTTATTATTATTCTGGTGATTTTAGAATTTAAGTTTTAGATTTCAACATATCATCTAAAAGTTTCTAACTTGAAGATGTTGTTCGATGTTTATTTTTATTAATTTAATCAGATGGAGATACAGTACCATAAGTAATTATATGAACATTATCTCCAGTATTTATAAGTTGACTAACACTTCTCATACCTTAACTTGAATTTGGATTCATAGGACTATTTGATCTTAATCCATTTCCTATTCCATTTGGACTCCAAGGTTAATTTATTTATCCAAAATTATTATTTAAATTTTAAATACCTGAAAATACTATTTAACTTTATTGTCTACTTACAACTGGTGAATGCCATGAAGTTGGTTATGTATTTTAATTTTTTTATTAATCATCTTCTCCTATTTCATTTTTTTAATAAGCAAAATTATCTAATATTTCATTATTTGTATAAATATTCTATTAACTACTTGTTCTAAGTTTAATAGAATTTCTAATTCCTATACTTTTATCAAGATTCTTTAAACTATCTCTTTTATAATCTCCTAAAGTATCAACTTATAATGTAGAATTTCTAGATATCTATTTTTAAGATTATGTTTTTTCATAAAAATGAATAAATTATTATTCATTTAAAAATACAGTTTCTAATTTTTTTAATTAATCTTCTGTAAAATTAAGATCACCTGCCATTTTCTAAAAAAGATTCCATAAAAAGAAATCATCTGTTTAAGTAATCTTTTGTGAAATAGATTCTGCTTTTGCTCTATAAATTTATGATTCATTAAGTTTTTTTGTTTATTCTTCTATTTTTTCCTTTTATTCTTATTATTATGGTTATTAAATAGGTAATTAAATAGGTTTTTATTATTATTATTAAATAGGTATCTAAGTCTCTTATTTAAATGATACTTATATACCAATATCTTTAGTTTTATTTTACTTATAAAAATCACATTAAATATCACTTTAATCCATAATAGATGGTTTTTTATGTTGTTTTTCTCCTTTTTAATTAGTCAATTCTTTAGCAGAGAAATTAGTAAAAGATTATTTATTACTTTTTGTTTCCAATTAAGTAAGTGTTTATCTACTATTTTAAATTCCAAATTATCCAGATGAAGAATTTTAATCCTTTTTTGAACTATCATTATTTATAGCACTATTATTTCTATTAGTTTTTAAATATCCCTACTTCTATCTAAATGTTATATTAGATCTATTTGTAGATTTAGGACTACTAACTTATTCAATTAATTTATTAACATTAGTTTTTTTAGTTATATCATCTATCTGATTTAATTAAATTATTTATTTTTTCTATATTTTACTAGATTCATCATCTGTTTCTGATTAAGCTAATCTTCTTTATGTAGCAATTTTATCAAGATCTATTTATTCTTGTATCTAAGCATCAAATGGTTTTTCAATATGACTTATTCTTTTCTTTTTATTTCTTCCTCTTTTCTTTGTAATTGATTATTATTCATAACTATCATCTTCATCTCCAGATAATTCATCAAGTTTCTCTAAAGGAGATTCACAATTAAATTTTAATTTTGATCTCACTATACGATATAATTCATTTGGTGCCAATCTTGCAATATCTTCAGCTGAATTATCTTTTATATATTATAATAAAGTATTAAGTGATATTATTTTATTATCAGGTGATAAATCACTTTATAATAATAATAATAAGACTTCTTCTATTTATTTTGGTCCATTTAAACTTTACATCTTATCTTCTAAAGCTTTTTCATGTAATAATTTTAATTCATCTTTCATTTCATCATTTTCCTCCATCATTTCTTATAATCTCAATTCAAATAATTCTACTCTTGGATCCATCATAGAAACCTATACTTCAACATCTGATTTCTTTCCATTTTTAGATACTATTGTATTACATACTTCTATCTTTTAAGTTACTTTATAATTATCAATCTATTTTAATAAACTTGCAAATTTCTTTTCTTATTCTTCAAATTTTTAAAATAATTAATTAATTTTTGCTTCCTTTTCAACTATTTATTCATTCTTATCTTTTATTAATCTCTCTAATTCTTCAATTCTTTAAAAATTTTACGTTTTACTCTTTTTTACTAAAATACCTGCTGTTTTTTTCATTACAAATGAATCATATTCAAGTCTAATTTTTCTTTCTGCTGCTCTCATTATTCTTTCTGCTGTTTTTCTTTAAACTAACAATATCTTATCTTTAACTTCTTTTTTTATATCAAATTCTTCATCATCTTTAATTTCATTGGCTTATTTAATTTAATCAGTTATGTATAAATCATTTTTAAAAGTTTCTCTCTCCATATGTCTATTAAGATCATTCAATTTTTAAGTAGCATGACTACTAGTAATTTCTGACCACATTCCTTTTAACTTTAATTATTTTCTTAAATCAATCAAATTAGCTTCATTTTCTTCTTGAATTCTCAACAACTCTTTTTCTGTCTCATTTTATATGTTCCCTTAAAACAATTTAATCATGGCATCATCACTAGTACTTGTACTTTTATTTTCCATTTTTCTAAAAACCTTTTGTTTATTCATCTTAAATGTTTATTCAGCTTCTATAAAATCTGACTGTTTCTAAGAATATATCTCTAAATTATATTAACAATGAATTACTAAAATTCTACACTTCTGTTCCACCTAAAACAGTTCTTGTAGAATTAGGTTATCTTTAACAATATTCAATAGGTAATTCAGGAGCATTCACTATTTTTCTTGAATTAATCTCAAGCACCTTATCAAAAACAATAGAATAATTTGTTGATAATTTTTATAATAATGATGCTTCAGAGTTGAGATCCTTACTCATCAAATTAAAACTCACTTCTTCAACACATGATTTTAATTTATCTAATATCTGTTAGAGCAATTTAATACATATTTAAAAGTATTTAAGCAACTAGGATTCCATGTTATAAGTGGCTACTTCTATAATTCCAACATTGCTTTTTCAGCCATATTATTTATTTTACTTAAAGTTGAATCCATTTATCAGAAAAATAATTATTATATTATATTTTAATTGAATTATAGAATAAATTAGTTAAACCTTATGAAAATTATTTAAATATTGACTTAATTAATCTTAAACTTTAATAAATATATAATACTTCTCATATAACTCAACCATTTTATTAATAAAATAGCTTATTAATAGATGTTATTGTTAAAATCATTCATTTTCAATTAAAATATGATATCAATAACAATGAGTTTATGAAGATTTCTATTAATTAAACTAATGATGTTAACATGGATTAATATAAATTGGATATGTCTATTATAAAAAGAGGTTAAATTTATTAATTTATAATTAAAGTATGAAGTTAAGACTAGATTGTAGTGAAAAAGATGTTTGATAAAATAGGATATTATGTATTTATATTTGAAGGATCCTAGACCACTTATAAAAATACCTTATTTCAATTTTTGATTAAAATTAACACAAATTAATGAATATGAATTAATAATAATCATTTTAATACTAAATATATTGATCAGTATGTGTAATAGAGTTTAGAGATTATGTAGTATTTTACAATTAATTTGATAATAAATAAATCAATTACTACAATGGATTTTAAAGATTAAAGTGTGGGTATATGTTATTGCTGCATTTTCTTAACTTTTAAACATTACTTTTACTTAATGATGATAACAAATGCCATATAAGGACTTATTTTAATGATAATAGGATTTTTAGGGGTTTTGAACTTAATTGAATTGTTTAATTTTTCATTACCCATTACAATTACGTTATTAAGTTTAGGTATTTACATAAAGAGAATTTAGGTAGTTTTCTAATCTTAGGACTGATAGCAGAAATATTTTTTTTTTTTCGACATTCAGTCATAAAAATAGGACGATTTATGGTTGTTTTAAACATTTTGACTTCTTTATTTGATCTTATATTAGGAGTGATCTTATTGTTAATATGTTTTTTCGGTGTTGTTTTAATTGAATTGAATGATACATAGTTATATTTTAGTTAAAAAAGAAGAGACATATTAAAAGTTATTTCAATAGTAATTATATTTATATCTTTTTTTGGATTCTGGATGACTTATCTTTAATATCAATTACTTTTACCTTTACATGAATAAATACAATAAGATATTAAAATTGTTCCTGTTGTCTCTTTGAGATAAGCAGTGACTCGAAAGTTTTCTAAAAATTTTATTGCGGAACTTACTCCAAATAATAAACAATAAAAGAGAATAGCTAGAGCAGATACAATATCGGAACAATCATAACCTTTGCAAAGTATATAAGTATTAAATATCTTGATTAAAGCTTAAATCATAAAAGAATGATGAAATGCCAGAACTTTATTTAAATTAAAAAAGTGAAAAACTGATTAAAATTCCTGATAGCGTTAGTCCCTATAATGAATACTTTGCTCCATCTACTAATACAATAAGATATTCTAATTAAATAGAAGATATATAAAATTTGAGAAAATAAAGAACACCAAGATCAACGTATTTAAAATAATAAAGTTGATTAATATTTTTCATATTTTTATTATAATATAAGAAGTGATGTAGATTAAAAATCTATTAATATTTGCAATTTGTTACAGTGTTTTTAGTAATGAGAATCTGAAATTTAATTGCTCTAATATAACAGACATAACTTAATGTTAAAAAGATTCAAACTTTTGTAATTATTTACATCAAATATTTTAGGCTATATAGTTGAAGCAAATGTACCTTATTTATCAGCTGAAAATAAAGTTGAAGGTGTAATTCTTGATAAAGTAAATGATAAATGCATGGTAATAAATGATAATATTAGAGAACTTGAATTTTTTCACAGTTTGTGATTAATTATATACTGAAAAATCATGTAAATTAGGAACTTGTTTATGGGATCCAATTGAAGAGAGATGCTATGTATAAAATTATTATTCTATATATAAGCCATGGATTTCAGCTCCTTGTTAGAGTTATCCAAAAGAATTTTGTTAATGGAATCCCTAATGTGAATTATTAAATCATACTCAAATTCTATATCTGAATTAGAATTATACTTTAATGAATAATGTTGATAGTTATTAATAAGATGGAAGAAAAATAGGTACATGGTTATATGAATTTGGATAAATAATAAATGTTATTAAGAGTGAAGTAGATAAAGAGGAATATATATTTACAAAATGTACATAGAAAATTAGATGTGAATTTATTTAGATTAATAATTTTAATAATGCTGATTATGAATGCAGTATATCAGAATTAAATTGTTATTATGATGAGTAGGAAGGTAAATGCAAAAAAATAAGTGCATTAACATAATGTGAATTAATTAAATGGGAATCTAAATGTAATAGTGGAACTGCACCATGTATATGGATTAATAGAAAATGTTAAATGTACGATAATACTATGGTTTCTTGTAGTTAACTTGATTAAAATAGATGTTTAAATAATGAAAATTGTTATCTTGAAGAATCTACATGTAAATCTTATTTAAGTTGTGCTGATTTAAAAATTAAAAGTTCATGTGATACTTCAAATTTCTTTTGTTATTTTGATGAATATGAATAATAATGTAAATAATTAACAAAACATATTTAATGTAAAAAGATTGGTAAATAGAATTGTGAAATATTTAAAAATTGTGTATTTAATGAAGATGCATAATTATGTGAAGAACTTCTTGAAGATTTTTATTGTTAATAATTTGTATAATCAGATTGTATAAATACTAATGCTTTAAGTAAAGATTGTATTTGGAATAATAATTTATAAATTTGTAATTGGAATTATGCAACTTAAAATTGTTATGGTAAAACAGCAGATAATTGTGATACTTTAGATTGTTATTATGATGAAGTAATGACATAATGTTCTATTATATAAAGAAATACAAATTGTGAATTTTTAGGTTAAAATGCTTGTAATAATGAAAAGATTAAAAAATAAAATATGTGTTAATGGTCTAATATTAGAAATTTATGTTTATCTATTTTTGATTTTGGTTGTGAAGATTTAGATTAAGATTTTTGTAAACTTAATCATAAATGTTATATTGTTTAAAATAAATGTAATACAAGAAAATAATGCAAAGATAATACATCAATTATAGAATGCTAACAAGATACATAACAATATTGTTATTTTGATTATGATTAATAAGCATGCAGAAGAGTTACAACCTAAACTCTTTGTAATCTCATATTTAGAGAAGATTCTTGTAAATAAGCCATTTGTTCATGGTAAAAGGGTAAATGTGAAAGTGTTGAAAATGTAAGCTGTTCACAATTAGAAATTAAAAATTGCAAGTTTTCTAGCAAATGTTTACTATAAAATAATTAATGTATTCCATTAGATATTTGTGAAACAAATAATGGAAATAAATCAACTTGTAATTCAGATCCTAATCATTGCTTTTATAATACAGATACATAAAAATGTAAATCCATTGATGGAAATAGTAATTGTAGTTCCTTATATGGAGCAGATAATTGCATTTATGGTCCATGTATATATTATTTATATATTAGGTACTTTATTGCGTTTGTCAAATAACAAATTATAGTGTATCAAATATGAATATGCTGATTGTGTTTTATTGAAAAAAGAGTAATGTAATTTTGGATAATGTGCTTGGAATGTGACTTAATGTGTTCCATATCCTGTTATTATAGAAGATTAACCTAAAGATAATCCTGATGCTAAACCAGACGAAGATGTTAAAGTCAATGTAGAAGACTATTCAAAATACTTACATATTCTATTAAATCTATTGATAATCATTTTAGATTGATAAAATAATATCTGATTATTCTATATAATAATAAAAGTAGCATAATTGTTAGATTTATTTTATAAAAATTTAAGTTTTTATAAATATCTTTCTTTATATCCAAAATTTTGAGATATTTTCCTTATTTCTTGATCTCTTAAAAATATCTAAGTAATATTAATTCATTAATGATATTAGACTTTTTTGTATATCTTGCCTAATTGTTTTTAAAAAAAAATATAACTGCTTCTTTAAAGTCAAGTCAATACAAATATTGAAAGGAAATTTAAACAATAATCCAACTAACTAAGTTAATAATTAATTTAAATAGATTATTCAATGAAGATAAACTTAAAGTAATGATTCAAGAATTTAATAATTTCCATTGATTATATATATTTGGTATAAATAAATATAAATTATTAATACAAAGCAATTTCTTCATATTAGTTTAATCTATATTCCATTAATAAAACCTTTGTTACATTAAAAAGTGAATTTATATAAAAAAAAAGTTGTTTTATTTTATAATTGCTTATTAGTAATCTAATGTTTCCTAATTTATTTATTTTTGTAAAATACAACATATTATTCATCTTGCTATTTAAACCTTTTTTGAAAAATATTTATTATAGGTCAATTAATTAAAGAGAGTAAATAATTAAATGTTTAATAAATACTCTTTAACTTTTTAATCAGCAAATCTAGAATTAGAATACAGAGAAAGTCAAATACCAGTTGTAAAAAAGGAATATACAGCATTTTCTTTACAAGCATGTGTAATTTTATATTGAAAATATTAGTTATACATGATATTTTAATCAATTTATTACTTGAGAAGTCAGCCTTAGTTTTTAGCCGTATTGCTTAGTTGCTGTTTTGTCGTTATTTTTATAATCTTCTCTAAGTTTTTAATAGATAAATACCCGAGTGTCATTAACATAATTTTACCTATACTGCAAATAATTATGGTTTTGATTTAAAGTGTTGATTATGTTTTTAGAGAAAGCAATCCAAATAATATATATAATTCAAGTTATGACTGGTATTATGGCTTTTGTGCTTGTTATTTTCATATGGGTATATTTGTCATTGTTAATTAGCTATATTTATTCAAGGGTATTTATTATTGTCACAAGCTTTTATTGTTATAGGATTATTGCTTGTCTACATTTTATGGGCTTACAATTCCTCTAAAGTTTATATAAGTCTATTGTTAAGTTTTCTCTCCATTATTGTTGGAATAATTGCAATCAAATATAGCATAGAGAATAATAAAAGGCAATAATTTTTACATAATAGAGAGAGGAAAAAATGGTTTGCAGTAATATAATTAAGAATTTTTAGATAATTGATACAGTCTTAGAACAATCCATTATAGTTATTAAATTAGATAAACAACAAGATTAATTAAGAATACATTAAATGAATAATATTACCAAGGAAATTTTATAAGTTAATAATGATAATGATTTAAGAACAGTTTTAAGAAATGTAATTTATAATAATAATTCTTATAGCTAACTTATTCAAGAGGATCAAAACTTTCTGGTGAAGATAACAAATGTTCACTAGAAAAACATATTAGAATGATGTTATAAAGTAATACATCCTCTGGTTCTGCATTTGAATTAAGAAAAAAAGGATCATAAGATAAATTAATTAATTCATTAATTTGTCAATCTAACATATTAGAATATTAATTCAAAGTTTAAATTGTTAATTACTGGACTGATGAATAATAAATGGTCATCATGGCTACTGAATGCTTAAATAATAATTAATAAAATCATGATAAATTAGAATTAAATCTAAAAAACAGACTTATTACTTCTTTGGCAAAACATTGTCTAAATGTGTAATTTAAAGAAAAAAATGATAGATTTTCTTAATTGTAATGTATGAATTACTTTGTATGTCTAAATATTCTATAGAATCCTAATATTTTAAATGGAATTCATATAAAAAAATACAGTTCAGAATAGGTGATAAAATTGTTAAAATCTGTCTTTGGAAATCATTTGGAAATTATTAACAAATTAAAAATATAATATATAAACCTAGATTTAAATTCAGTATTACTTATCTTTATAACATTACTATAATTTAGAGAAAAAAAAAATGGATATATAAAGATATCATCCAAAATTAATGAAGATAATATTGAATCTATACATTTTACCTTGATGTAATCTACTAAATAGATTATTCCTTAAATTAGAGTTTATTTTACCAAACCTTTATTTTTTTTTTAAAAATAGGACAAATCCACAAACTTATCCCATCTATAATAAAATTTATTACATTTAGATAAGAAATTAAATTGTTAAGATCCATTAACAGCCACAACTTTAATCATTATGAAATTTTTATTATGGCATTTTGGTTGTAATACATAAATTAAAACTAAATAAAAAAATAACCTTACTTATTTTTCATTTTCTTTGCTTAATTAATGATTATAATAAATTTGTTTATTAATAATTTTACTGTTTTAATTTATTTGATATAGTAAACAAAAATTTAAAGTAAAAGATAAATCTTAAATGATGAAATAATCAATAAAAATTCTAAAAAAATTTTATTCTTTAAAATAAAAATGAAAATATATTATTTAAATTTCTAATGAACTGATGAATGAATAACCCATAATCAATAATGTTGTTAATTGAGAAATTTTATTAAATATATATTACTATAATTGTTTAGCTTACTGTAATGGGTTTTTGAACAATTCAATATACCATCTTATGATAGTGTAGATCCTGTATAAAGTTATTAAAATGTACTTTAATATATCTGCTATATATTTGTTTTACTTTTAATAAGTTTTATAGGGGCAGAAATAAATTAAATTTTAAGAAAAAATGTAGTAAATTAAAGTAAGTTAAAAATTTATTTAAATTTTAGATGAAAATTATAATAAATTTTTCTCAAAATAAAACAATGTAAAATTTGATTTAATTAATAAATTAATTTTAGTGTTAAAATATTATTACTTGTAATATTAGTTTGTTGTTATTGATTTATTTTAACAGAATAAATATTTTTTATATTTTAAAGTATATAATAAATTTCATTTTCAATTTCTGGCTTTGAAGTATTATGGAATTACATATGTATTAGGTTGGTAGATTTATTATGGTTGAACTTCATGAGCTGAATATCTATTCATCAGATTTTAGTGAACTGGTCTTGCTGCTTTTGCAGATTATTAATATGTTTAAATTTTATCAATTATACTTGTATTAAAATTTCTTTCTTTTGGTGATTAATCAATAATAGGTTATCTATATATTTTAGGTGAGTAATCAATAATTTTTTAGTAATTTATTAATTATTCTTCTCTAGTGACTGGTTATTTTTCTTCACTTTTTAATCTAACTTCCATAGTTGGTTTATAAATAGTAGGTTATTATTATTATAATTATTATTATTATTATTATAATAATTATTATTATTATTGTAAACCAACTTATTTAAAACTAGTTTCTTAATATTTTAAAATTCTATTTTCTAACTCATTAACATAATTATCTTTTTATTTAATTTAATTTTTTAAAATATCTAATTCTTTTTTAAGATTATTTATTTCTTCTTCTTAAAATTTAATATGTTTCTAATAATAATCATTTTTTTAAACAAAATGTTAACAATCATAACATTTTTATGGTTATTATGCTGTATTTCTTTCTTACAAAGGTTTCATATCAGATTTGAAACCAAAAGTAATTTCTCTCAAATTTTCATTTTTTTTATCTAATTATTATTATTAATTAATAATTTCTTATTTGAATTATTCTTATCTTTTTTCTAATTTAAGTAATTCTTATTTTAATTCATGTTTTAATTCATCTTCTTTATATGGTTATTTATTATCAGATTTTTTATCATTTTATTTTTGATCATTTCTATTATCAGGAGTTCTAGATTCTGTTCTTATTTTCTATTCAGATTATCTTAGATCTAATTTAAGTTCTTATCGAATATCTTATTTATGATCAGATCTATAAAGTAGATCACTAAGTTTGTAATCCTTTCCTTACTTTGTAGTTTCAATTTTATTTGATTAATACTCATTTTAAAATTATAAAGAAGAACTAATTTAATTAGAAAATTAAGAGACATTTGTAACTTATTGAGATTATCTCATAGCTGATGGTGGAATTTATGAACTCTTCATTGCACTTGATGGTTAATAGGTAACAGATTATGCTAATTGATAAGATTATCTTAATTCATTATTTTATTTATAACTTGGCCTCTATTTATAATCTTATTCTGATGATTATGATACATATGATCCTTAATCAACAGTCATTTATTAAATTGGTTTTTATACTTCTTAATTATGGGAATAGACAAAAACAACATTAAGACCTGCACAGATTTAACCATCTACTAAATTTACTTTACTTAATTAAATCCTATGTGTTTATTATTATGAATAATTTTCAGGCATTTTATTCATTCCAAAAACATACCATCCATCTAAACATTTCAACATAGCAAAGTTTTCTCCTGAAATTACTTATGATACTCTCTATCCATCCTCTAATTTACATAATTCTTCTAATGGAGTACACTTTCTAGCATAACCCCAACTTCCAGTCCCCCAAAAATAAACTTTTCCTTATTTACTTATTACACAACTAAATGTTCCCATAGATGCTATCACCTATTGTACTTCAAAATTTAATTATAATTTAATAGGCTCTCTAACTACTTATTCAGATACTCCACATTATCCAAATAAATTATTCCCTGTAACAAAAACCTAAATATTGAAACTCAATTTTACTTGTCCTTTATATAAAAATAAAGAATGATCCAATCCTGCAGCCATTTATTCAACAGGAATACTCAATTTCACAGGACTTATATGTTATCCTAATACTCCTAATTATCCATTCTAATTTTCTCCCATTACATAACATGTTTCTCCATTTCTTACAAGAGTATGAAAACTACCACAACATACCTCTTAACCTTAAATATTGAGTTCGGTTGGTTTTTCAACATTTTCTGTGTCTCCCAATCCTAATTAACCTTCTGAACCTCTACCCCAAACATATATTTTATTATCTCTTGTAGCTGCAGCAGAATGATATAAACCTGCTGTAATCTAAACGACATTCTTCATTACTAATTGAAATCCTGGTCCTGTTGAGCCTCTTTAACCAAATTAATTTGATCCATAACTAAATACATTTCCATCTTAAGTTAAGGCTAATATATGAGATTGACCTGCACAAATCTATTTGACGTAACCTGGAATTGATAATTAAGTAGTTTCATTGAAATTAGGTACATTCCTAGGTGTTCTCAATGTTAATGATCCTGCACTTTCAAAAAGATCAGAGTCTTCATGATTTATAATACCATAGATAGTGATTTTTGAAGACATTAACGGAATGTTAAATATTTTATATAATAATTAATTATAATGGAAGATTAAAAGGCTAGAAAAATATAGAAGTAGAACTCTTTTTTTTTTTATTTTAGAGCTTGGAGATCATTTACCAATAGAAAAATATTCCAATATTACAAGGATATTATTTTATTTAAATGCAAGTACTGAATAACTGTTAATATTAGAGGAAACCCTGCTAGATTATTAAAGGCAATTAACCCAAATGAGGCACAATTATTAGATGCTGCTTGCAAATCACACATTAGATTTAGACTTGGTGGAGAAGTACATAATTTTATTACTATTTCCAGCAATTCCCTCCTATAATATATTATAAAATATATAGTCATGGTGGAATTGTAGATTTAAATGCTTTTGCTCCAAGAGATTATTCATCACTTCAAAGAGATCCTGTTCCTCATGAAAAAGTTGCATATTCAGAATATAAAAAAAATCAATAAAAATATGATAATCAAGGATGGTATCTAAGGTTGGATAATAATGGATGGAGACCAGTTTAATATATATTAATAATAATAGATCTCTAACAAATAAATGATCAAAGCAGATTTTGTTGAATTATACACAGCCAACAAAATTAGATATTATCATCATAAAAAAGACAAGAGAGAGGAAAAAGTTAATAAAAAAACAAGACTTAATAAATTGAAATGGGCTTAGAGTATTTAAAAATAAAAAGAGGGAACTCAATAATTCAAACAAGAATAATAACCATAGGATTTCTTTACATAGACTAAATAATATTTAGAAATGGATGATGTATAATATATTATTATACTAAGGATCAATTTGATAAAGAAGTTTAAAATCTTATTGATTGGAGTGAAAATTTAGATTATGATAAATATATGGCAGAATGGTTTTAATTATCAACCTCTAATGCTAGCGAAAATTATGTTGTTTAATAAATTCATGTATTTATAATTTTATTTTTTAGTAAACAAAAATTGATTCAGTCTTTAAAGGAACTTGATAACTTGAAAATATTCTCAGTAAATTAGTTCATAAATTAATTGTTTCTTTGTTCTTGATTTCGATGTTAAAAGCAACTTTAAGGTCTTTTTTAATTATTATCATATTAATTTGCACTCCAAGTTCTCATAGTTTTAAATGTCTCTTTTAATTCCATTTATTCTTTCAGTTAAACTTAACAAGCCTTAAAAATATCATCACAAGTTTTTTATCTTGACTAAGAAGGAGTAGCAGATCTTATTCTTTATGTTCTTTATCCTTAATAAAATGAAGTTTAAGTATATTAGAAACTTGAAGTCTTTTAGGTAGGGGTTTTTGATCTAGTGGAAAGTGGCATTTGCCCCAGTTACATTATGTAATGTTTTCCTTTGATAATATCGTAAACTTTATTCTTTGTATGATTGATAAATCTTCCTTTATTGTTTAAAAAATGTTTGACTGTTATCGGATTTATAGTCTATGCTTTAACTTAAATACTTTTTCTTTATTTTTCATTCTTAAACAATTTGTTATAAAGATGATATTAATTATAATTTTCTAATTTATCAGGAGATAATCTGCTAGTTGTTCCAAATTTATATGAAATCTTGCTATAATCCAGATCTATTTATTTTTTATAACGTGCTAATTCAAAATCCTAGTTATAATTTTGATCAAAACAGAATTCATTATTCATTTTATTTCAAAATTATAATAATCTATGATTCTATAATCATTGAAAATATGATGAATTAATTTTGATGTAACAAATAATTCAACTTTGATTAGAATACAAAGTTATAATTTAAAAACAATGTATAAATTTCATAATCTAACTTTAACTATTAAATTTATCAACTAAAAGTTTAATAATTATAATAAAATTTCTAATATTTCATTTTAAAAAACTGAGATAGATTGACTTAATTTTAAAAGTTAATGAAAAAAGTTTAGATTTACTAAACAAACTTTAAAATATTTATATAGTTTAATAGCAATACTATTAAGAACACAATTAAGATTTAGATAATTTAAAAATTCTTCTAATTTTGTTAATAAATTTGTATAATATTTATTATCATATTTCCAAATATGTAAAATTAGGTAATATAGTATTATAATTAAGTAAAATTTATTTATATATCTTAAAATTTATCTCTAGATATTTATTTATATGATTTTTAGATAGAATTTATGATATATTTATCATTTTACTGTAATTTTTCTTAAAGGAATAGTTAAAATTAGTATAAAATAATATAATAATTTCTAACTAAATAATATAGCAATAATCATAATGTTAATCTGATCATTGTGGGCAAACGATCCCATTTTCTTTCTGAACATACTAAATTTTCATCAAAAATAAATTTAAAGTAAGGAAAATATGAGGTTTCATTAACTCTATGGAAATAAGATTTAATGATACATTTGAATGACATTGAATTATTCTTCTAAATTTTTGTTTATAAACAAATTTTATGGATTAAGCAATTGAACAACTTCATTATAACTAATATTTATTGGTCGAGTTGTCTTTTTGATAATTACATTGGTTTTCTTTTTTTTTCTTTCTTATCCCTCTTAAGAATCATTAGTTGATAGAGATCCCATAGAATCATTCATGTAATTAACAGTTAGATATATAATAAAAATATTAATCAAATTAAAAGTCTCAATGAAAACAAACTATCGTTCAAGTTTAACCAATCGAAATCTTCATCTCCAGTTTTGGATATTTATTTCAATTTCTCTCTTGTTGTTTTACCTCTAAAACATATAAATAATGAAATACGTTATCCTTAAGAATACGTGAAATAAAAAAAATATAAATACTACTAAGGAGGCTATGATGACAGGTACTAAAAATAAAATAACTAATGTCTTTTAATCCTAATAGTCATTTACTGTAGAAAGACATAATAATGATGAGATTACTACTGCTAATGCAAATGCAAAAATTGATATTAGGAAGCTAAAGAAATATCTTTGCATATTTTCTATATGTACCTATAATTTCTTTTTCCTATACAATTATTGACAAAAGGACAATGATGATCAAAAACTAACACACAATTGTTACAATCACTAAATTATAATATATAATATACCTACAATGTGATGCTCTAAGAGGTCTGTATATGTCACATGTATCACAATGTCTGGAATCTTAAAATTCCTCTAAGAAGTAATTGGTTCCAACTCTTAATTGTAATTATTTCTTAGGAATAATGCCTGGTTCGGTTATGGATGTGAGAACAAGGAATGTAATACTTGTAAATTACAGAAATATTGTTAAGAATGGTATAGTTGGAGATATATCCCAAGTCTTAGTCCAAGTAGATAAATAGAAGGGAATTGGAAATATTAAAAGTAATCCCCAAACAAATAAATTAGCCTAATCTTATTTTTCTATTGATATACTAGTATGTCTGTTTTAGGTCCAATCATGATACGACCTTGAAAAAGAATTCTATTATTGCTTTGCCAATATTAGTACAAAAAGTTGCTTTTAAGGGTCTCCATTTCCATATAAAAGAATAACAAAATAATTTACTCTAATTAATTTTATAATGAATAATTTAACAATAATTTGTTCAGGTATTAAAAATTTTATATAAAATAAATTCAAAATGTAAATAGATGAATTGCCGGTTGGGTAATCAAAAAAGAATTTTATGTTAGAGGAGTTTCCACCAGGTAATATAGCTATTAATCAATTAGATTTTGATCCTCAATAGTAAGAGAAAGTAGATTTACCATTAAAGTAACGAATTAAATCTAAAGTTTGGAAAGTAAGGCTTTAAGCTTATGAAGAATTAGTAAATGACGAAGAGGTAGATTGTGAATGTGTCCTATCTATAATATAAGATATACATATTTAATGTTAAGAGAAAGCACTTTAGATAGCATAAAAATATTTTGAAAATCATAACTAAATAGAGTCTTCATAATAAAAAGAAATAATTAAAGTTTTATTAGAAAAAGTGTTAACTCAATAAAAATTAAAATAACTTGGTCATTCTGTTGCAATTTAACTTTTTCCTACTTGTAAGTAAGCTATTTTTGAAATCATAATTTAATAATTGATGCATAAAAATCCAAAAGTTGTTTAAGCTACAATTGCACTATTAATAGAATTGCTTCAATAATTTGGTCTTAAAAAGTTAGATAACTTAAAGCCATTTTTTCCTGTTATGTCTAAATTAACTGAGGCTTAATAAAGCACTGTTAAGGCTGATGCAATTGTATTTTATAAAGAAGTAACAAAATGGTATGGAAAAAATATTGAAGCTTTTTTTGGAGGTTTAAATGAGAAATTGTAATAAGATTTAAAAAAATTGGCTGAGACTATCACTGAAGTATAAAAGGCTCCAAATCAAGAAGGAGAAGCAGATACAAATAATTAAGAATTATATGATTTAGTTGAAGCTGTTGAAGTATTTTCAAAATATACAGATTCTTGGTGTGAGAAAGTATTTTAATTAGAAAAATGGTAAGAAAAGAAAGAATAATTAGATAATCTATAGAAATCATGTTCTGTACCTAAAATATTATAATCTCCAAATATATATCCAGTTGTATAATTATTGAAGAAATTATTAAATGAATAATAAATGATTATAAGTACTTAATGTATAAAGATAATTGGATGTATGGCTAATGGTTTAAGAAAGAATTTTAATTAATATGCTAAAATAATCATGCTTCCAGTTTTGAATAAGTTAAAAGATAAAAAATAAAATATTGTAGATGAAACTATAACAGCAATTAAAAAACTGTTTTATAGTTGTAATCTTGATGAATTGTTTGAAGAATTGAAAGCTCTATTGGATGACAAAGCTCCAGGACCAAAAGTTAATGTTTTTATAATAGTTGATTATTATATAGATGAGACATCTAAAGATAAATTGACCAAAATTTAATGTATTAAATAATTAGTTCCAATATGTAAGAAATTGACAGAAGATGGTAATGCTGATGTGAGAGCAAAATCAATCATGTTATTAGCTAAAATATCTGCTAAATTATATAATGGAGTTATGGTAATTGATTTGAAAGGTGATAAATACACAAAATATTAGAATTAAGTAAATATATATATGGAAGGAATTAAAGCATTATCAGGAAAAGACATTATAGAATAATAATAATAATAATAATTAATACCTAATAAAGAAAATTTATAATTATAACAAACAACTTCAATTGCTAATTCATAAAAATAATCATTATAATAAAATATAAATAAACCACTTCAAATCAATTAATAAAATACATTTGAATCTTAAGATCTATAATATTCTACTACTATGACTCCAAATTAAGTTGATGCCTTCTTAAAATAATATAAATCAGCTAAAAATAAAGACTAAAATGAATTAGGAAATATTTTACTATAAATTACATAATAATCTAAATATATTTTAAGTACAACTATGGAATTTATTATTGATAAAATGGCTGAGTAAAAACCATTATGTCATTAATTATTTGATAAATGTGCTTAAACTTATAAACCTAATCATTTATCATAATTAATTAATACATTTAAAAATGCATCAACTTAGAGTTAACTTATAGAAATACTTAATATTTTATTAAAATATATACCATAAAGTGAAAAAAATATTGATTAATAAATCATATCTGAATTTCTTAAAAACTATTAACATTTATCTAATCTAAAGACAAGATCTTTAGTTTAAGAATGCCAAAATGCATTAAAGTAATTATTTGAACCTAAAAAAATCTAATCAGAAGAAAAACCTATGATACCTTTTCCATTAAATACATTTAGTGATTAACATTTTGAAAGAATAAAAGAATAATTAAAAGTCCCTTAAATTCCTTAAGTTCTCTATGAAAAGATGTTTAGTTATAATATATAATAAAATTAATTAGCAGCTGCTTATATTAAAACTAAAATACCATAGCCTGGAGAATTTAGTGAAATATTTTTTAAATGGGCTTATCTGATTTCTTGGATGAAAGAAAATATTCCTTTACAATAAGAAATTTCATAATTATTCTAGATTTTAATAAATAAACATAAACCTTCATTCTAAGAATAATAGATAATATTTTCATATATTAAAATGATGATCTTAGTATATTTTAGAAATGGTGTTCCAAAATTAGCATAAAGAACATTGCCATTATTAATGAATATATTGAGTGAATATAAAAAATATTGTTTGTAATAGCCTTTATTAATTTCATTTGAAGATTTTGATGAATAATCTAATCAACAAGCTAATCAATTGATACAAATTATGTCAGAGAATGCAAACGATTGGAATATAAGTAACACTATATAATAAAAATAACTTATTGCTTAATTAATATCTTTTATTTGGAAAGAAGAAAGTGTTATCATTAATAAATAAATAGTTTAAGCAACTCCTTAATAATTCTAACACTCTTAAATAATTTAGAAACCTTAAAATAATGATAATAATTAATATGAAGATTAAAATTAAAATTTTTAAAGATTTAATCATTTATCTGTTGTAGAATAGTTAAAACCTGAATAAACCAATTCAGAGAAGAAGAATTTTCAAGCCAAAAGTATACCTTTCATTGGAATCCCAAATATCCCATAAATTAACTCTCAAATTAATAGTGGAAATAAAAATCTAATTCAGTAACAATAAAATATTCCAAATTAAATGGAAATTGAATTTGATTAGAATGCTAGAATATTTTAATAGCTTTATTATAAATATAGAGAAACCAATACTTTTGAAAATCCTCATTAATTAGCAGATTAGATAATATTTTTGTTAAATAATTTCATCAAAGAATAATCATGTGATAATCTTAATTAGTTATTAGAAAAACTGATTCATATATTATCATCAGGATAATTTTTGAAATTTATATCATATGATAAATTTTATATCATATTTGATATATTGATATTTAAAATGGTAGAAGAATCAACAAAAGTAGGCAACAAAGATGGAGCTCAAAAAAGTTGCTATAGTTTTATTAATCAAAATTTAATAAAGATTTTAAATAATTAAGAATTATCTAATTTATATTTAGCTTTTTTAGATATTTTAATAAAAGTGAAAGAATCAGATAAACAATCAAAATAATTTTATACTTTAATTACAAAATGTTTGAGTAAATCAGTTGGATAAGTTAAAAGCTAATTTTAGTGGCAATAATTATAAGCAATTTTAGAAAAGATGAATAAATATTTGATACTATGTTAAAAACCAGAATCTAATTTAGAATTTTAAGAATCTCAAGATTTCTTATTAAAAGCACTTAAATCTACAGTGATTTATTTATTGCATTTTAATGATGGTGTTAGAGTTAGTTAATGTATTATGTAATTAACAAATGAGAAATCAATTTTAAGAAATTGGTTATTAGAATTATAAGAAAATAATTTAGCAAAATAAAGAAGATCAAGGGATACTCACATAAATTAAATTATAGAATTACTTAAAATTGATTTTGATAAAACTGTAGAATAATTTGTTTCAATAGTGAGAAGACAAAATATTCATTGGAAGCCTTTAGTTGAATTTTTAAGTTAATAATAAATAAAATTCATTGAATTAAGATTGGAATAGACTAATCATATGAATTTATTAGAGAAAAAAGTAGGAGAATTAGAGAAAATGTTAAATTAATGAATATTAAAATAATTAATTTATTATTAATACCCGTTTTTATATAATATATTGTTATTAATATTAAGAAATGAATAAATTCATTATTATTGGGCTATTAGCTTTGGTTTGCACACAAGCCTTTGAAATAGATTTCTCTCTATTATTATAGGTAATGGATGTGAATAAAATAATAGACAGGATCAGAATCCAATGATGCAGTCTAAGCAGTATATGATTTATTGAATGATTTGAAAACAAGTAACATTGAAGCTTAAGGTGTTGCTGATGAAAAGAATATTTCAGATGAAGAAATTGGATAAGCTCGAATTGCTGCACTTTCAAAAGTCAACGAATTAAATTAAAAAGCATGGGCAAGTGCAAAAGCTAGAAGAGAATAAATAGGAATTGAATATAGAGTAACTATAATATAAAATATTGTATAGGAAGCAACAGATTATATTGCATGGGCTACTTAAAGATTAGCTGATATTGATAGAAGATCAGTTGAATTATAAGAATTAAGATGTTTTTCAAATGGTTTATTTGTTAGAGCTATTAAATAACATAATGATGCTTTAGGAGTTATTAGAGTTTTAAAGAATGATTTAAGTGGATATTTAACTGGTTAACCATCATCTTTGGTTGAAGTGAATGTACAAAATGTTTCAGATAAATTGAAATAATACAGTCAACTTTTCAATTAAGATGCTATGACTAAATTTGCATAATTAGCTGCTGAATAAGCTTCAGGAAATGCTGAATTACATGCATTAGGATAAGAAGATGGTTCATCATCATCTGATAGATAACCAGGTCTTAATGTTGGTTAATTGGTTTATAATGCTTTATCTGATCTTGAAGATTAATTAAAGTCATCATTAGCTAATTTAGAAGCTAATGAAATTGCTGCTTATTATTAATTAGCAGATTGGTTAGCAGATTCAGAGTCTGAAGTTGCTCATTTAAATGATGAAATCTAAAGAAAAACATAATTATAAGACAAATTAGTAGTGGTAATCTATTTCATTCTATAATATATAGCAAGAATAAGCTGCCTTAGCCGTTTAAGCTAAAGCAAATAGCGTCTTAAAAGATTCCTAGAATGCAATTAATGCAGCAACAGCAACATTATAAGAACTTAGAGAAGTATATGAGACAGAATTAAATAGAAGAAATGGTATTAATTAAATATATAAATTTAGAGGAAAATGCAATAATCGATGAAGTTATTCATATCTTCAAATAATAAGTATTAGAAATGGCCAATTAAACTTCTTATGGAAAGAAATGATTAAGATTTTTATCATTAAAATAAATAGTATTTTATTCTTATTGCTTGTAATCTAAAATAATTCTATATTTCTTTTTGATTCATCAATAATATTTCCAGAATTTTATCAAATTTTTAATATATCTTAAACTAGTCATACTATATACTTTTTGACTTCCAAAAATAATGAAAATATGTTAATCTGAAATCGATTATTAGGAAAAAAGTAAATTAGTAAATAAATCATTATTTGTTTAGGAATTTTGCATTAGAAATTAAAAAATATCAATTTCCAATTAACTAAGAAAAGAAATACTTAATATTATCTAAAAAAACTTAAACTTTTCTTAAATCTAGATCCCGTTTAATTTGCCAAAAATCTATCCTAAGAGTATTCGTATAAAATCAGTTTTTATAGGAGTTGTAAAATCATCAAATAATAATCATTTGATTATAAAAAGAATATTCAAATTTTTAAGAGAGTTTGAGATGAATTAGAAATATTTATAATTCTATTTTTTAAATTTATTTTATTATTTTAAAAATAATTAGAGTTGTTATGATGTTATATCCATAAAAATTTTTAGTTCATATTTCGAAGTGAATTTCGAAGTAAAAAAACACAATTTATTTAATCAATTATGAAAGCATCATGTAATAAAGAAAATATATTGCCTAAATAATATAAGATTCCCTCTTCACAAAACCTTCTATAAACAAACCAAAATAACAATAGCAAAGGAAGTTATAGATAAAACACAACACGTAATAAATATGTATGATATTAGCTTCAAAACTTAAGAGCTATAATAATTAATTCGAAGTGAAAATTTCAAAAAGATCAATTTCTTTCATTGAAGATAATTTATAAAAACAAAATAAAGAACAAACTATAGTGTGTTAGATAAACAATGAAAAGGATTAGAATCAATCAGATAGTGAATTATCATAGGATTCATTTAATATTTGGTAAGATGAATGTAAATATGAGGATTTATTTGATTTATTTTAATTTAGATTCAATAATTCTTATAAAACAACAGATCAATTATAAAACAATGCTTTACATTTAATAAAAAGCTATAAAAAGCTTTTTGGATATAGCATTTTTAAAACTAATATAGGAAAAAATCCATTTTATCATATGCCAAGAAGAATGAATTCATTAAAATACTTTAATGAATAAAAGTAGAATACAAGATATTCAAAAGTATCTGCAAAATTCAAATTGTAAGAAAACAAATTACCATTTGGAAAGAATTCCTACTTAAATAATTAAATTACAATTTATAATATTAAGGAGAAAAAATGATTATTATGTATACAAAAACAATTTTCACTTATGCTAGAATAATAAATATATAAAAATATATTATTAAGTGATTATAACTAATGTGAGAATCCTAATGTTTCCATCTTTTTTTTTATTTTTAAAAACATAATTTATTAAATTCTAAATAGAATATAATAAAAAAGATCTAATTATTTCTAATTATCAATATAATTCCTATTTAAAATTTTGGATTTTATATTAACATATTTGAGTGATAAATGTGGAATTATACTACTTTATAAATTTTATGATGCGATATTAAATTTTTACTAAAATACATATTCATAATAAATAATAAAAAATATTATAAATCAATTTAAATCGTTTTTATATAATTAGTAGGTATTCATATTTCTTCGTCAATTTATTAATAATTGTATTCTAAACTACGAATTATTTGTACTATTTAAGGTTGAGTAAAAAATAGAGGAAGTATATATAATCTTTATTTTGAATAATGTGTGGGATTTTGGCAATTTTAAATATAAGAGGAACAGAAGTTGATGTAAGAGCAAAGGCTTATGAGCTGTCTAGAAGAATAAGACATAGAGGTCCAGATAGATCTAAGATAATTGTTCTTGTAACTATTTTAGAGTAATTTAAAGGAAATCAGTCCTGGTTAGTATCATGTGATTTCCCACGAAAGATTAGGGTTAGTTGATCTAAGTGATAAAGGAAGACAACCTTTTAAAATGGTTGATGATGAAAATATAATCTTTATGTAGAATGGAGAGCTTTATGATTACTGGGATGTAAGATCAGAGTTGGAGAAAAAATATCGATTTAGTAGTAATTCTGATACAGAGATAGTAGGAATGTTATATAAAGAAGTATGAATATTAGAATAAATATAGTATGGTGCAGGAAACTTTTGGAACTATCTTAATGGAATGTTTGCAACTGTTCTAATTGATATGAATAAAAAATCATTTTAAGCAGGTAGGGATCATATTGGGATAGTACCTTTATATTATGGATTTAATGAAGATCGATCTCTATTTCTATCTTCTGAATTGAAAGGAATACATGACTAAGTTATCGAAGTCAAATAGTTTCCTCCAGGTTTTATAAAAATAATAGTATTTAGGCCATTATATTGATGAGACATATGAGATCAAGAGATGGTACAATCCAATATGGCATAACTTTAATCATATTCCAACAGGAGAGATCAATTTTTAAGAGTTGAGGGATAAATTTATAGAAGTGGTCAGAAGAGAAATTTAAGGAGATGCTCCATTTGGATTGTTTATTTCAGGAGGGTATTAAATTTATAATGATTAATATAGTGTTGATTCTTCAATAGTGGCTGGAATTGTTGCTAAATTAATAAAGAAAGGTGAAATAGATTTGAATAAAAGAGGAATGAGGAAAGTTCATTCATTTTGTATTGGATTGGAAGGATCTCCAGATTTACATTTTGCTAAGATGGTTGCAGATTTCCATGGATTTGAACATCATTCATTTACATATACAGTAGATGAAGGATTAGATTACATTCCTGAAGTTATATATCATACAGAGACATTCAATAATACAACCATTAGAGCATCAACACCAATGTATATGATGTGTAGAAGAATCAAAGCTTTAGGAATTAAAATATGTTTAACAGGTGAAGGAAGTGATGAATTATTTGGTGGATATTTGTATTTCCACAAAGCACCTAATAGAGTTGAATTTCATTAAGAATTAATCAGAAAACTACATGATTTACATAAATATGATCTTCTAAGAGCCAATAAAGCTTGTTTAGCTTGGGGTATAGAGACTAGACCTCCATTTATGAATAAATAATGGGTAGAGTATGTTATGTAAATTGATCCAAAATATAAAATGATTAATGCATTTGAACCTCAAATGGAAAAATATATTCTTAGAAAAGCATTTGAAGATTTAGAACATCCTTATGTACCATAGGAAATTTTATGGAGATAAAAGGAATAATTTAGTGATGGTGTTGGTTATAGTTGGAGAGATGGTATTATTAAGAGAGCAAATTATTTAATTTCTGATTAAGAATTTTCTTAAGCATCTATCAAATATCCAATATCTACTCCCAGAAATAAAGAATAATTTTGGTTTAGATAAATATATTCATCCTATTTCCCAAGTGATAGTGCTGTTTTGACAGTTCCATTTGCCCGATCAATTGCTTGTTCAACCGAAAAAGTTATCTTTATTTTATAATCTTTTAGGCTTTAGAATGGGATGAAGCTTTCAAAAAGAATACAGATGAATCTGGAAGAGCTGTGTTAGCTATCCATAATGATGCAATCAAGGAAATCATATAAATAAATGAAGAACCTTCAACTGAGGATATTTCCAAAGTATAGGAGCATTTCTAATTATGATTTCTATTATGTGTAATCAATTATAAATTATTATTTTTATTAAATTTCTGTTACTATCCTAAAATATACATAAATTAAATGAATAATCAATATGAATTCCTCTCTGAAATCTTTTAACAATGGCATAAAATAACTCAAAAATAAATTTAATAGAGGTATTGATTGACAATTATATCAAGATAATCTATAATGTCAATGATGTATTCAAAAGACCAAAATTTATTGAAAAATGCATTTAAAGGATGGATGAAGTGTTGGAATGGTTAGAAAAACTATAAATACAAAAGAGACTTATTCTATAAAAAACTATTGATTTTCAATTATAAATTCCTCCTTAGAAAATACTTTAATGGATTTATTTAAAATAGTAAAAGATTAGTAACATTGCATTATAAAAAAGAAATGGCAAATAACTTTAGATCTTAATAAATTTAAAAACTTAAACGCAAAATCCTATAAGCTTTTTTAGCAAATATCATTACTAGTTAGAATATTAAATAAATTCAATAAAAAAGTCTTCATTTTTATTTCAAACTTTGGAATTCAGAAACTAGAAAAATTCAATTAAAAAACAAACTTAATAAAGAAAATGGAAATCTAAATAATGTAGAATAGTGGATTTAATAAAAAAGATAAAATCGAATATAACCTAAGATTTACTAAGAAACTATTGATTAATAAAACTCTTTCACTTAATAATAAAGTAAAAATTAAACAAATGAATAAAAAGTACAAAAATAGATAACTCCAAAAAAAGAAAAAATAAATGAAGATTATAAATCTTTTGTTCCAGATTAAATAAATTAAACATAATCAATTAATGAATTAAATCAATATTTATAATTAAAAATGATGGAGTATGAATATTATACAAGTTTACCTGATAAGAATGTTAATGTTATTAAATAAATAAAATCAGAAATTAAGTTAACATTAGAGAAAATACAAGAATTCAGAGGATAATAATGATTAATTAAACTATTTATAAATAAAAATTTTAATTTGCAAATGTTTGTGAAAGAATTATTACAAATTTAAGAATATGTAGAATAAAAAAAGTCTAGTGGAAAACATGTATCTTTGAAACCCTTGATTGATATTTGTGTTCATAAATATTAAAAAGATGAAGTTTAAGAAGCATTAAATTAAGCATTGATAAATGAACTTAAGTCTGAATGGACATCTTAATAAAATATAGATATCTTGATTTTATGTTATAAAAGATTGAAATGTGAACTTTAAATGGAATTAATTGAAAGAACCTTTGAAATTTCAATTGATAATCTACAAAGTAATTACATCATTGATTAATAGCCACAAAAAGAATACTGTCTATTTGCACAGATGAACAATTAAGAAATCTATGTTCTAAATATATTTCAACTTAAGGATATATAGATAAAATAATTAAGCCTATTTATGAGAGTCTTTTGAATGTAAATGATCAAACAATGATCATAGTTGATAAAGTGAAAAAATTATATAAGAATTTGTTTTCTTTATTAAAAATGCAAAAATAATGGGTTTTAGATAGAGCTATGGAATTTGTTTTGTTTTCTGAAGATATTTATGCAGAAAAAAGTTAAAAATTTGTTGCTTAATAATTCTAAGAAATTAGATCAATAATATATGCTTTTATTATAAATGATGATGAAATTAGATTGAATTTTATAAAGTATTTACCTTAGATCTTCTAATAATATAATCCAAAGAATATAGATTTTAAATTACATTGTAGTGAATTAATAAAAATAGCTTTATTTAGTAAAAGTGTTAAATAATTAATGGTATATGAATAATTTTGGTAAGCTTTACATGATTCATATTAAGAATATTCTGATTTAACTAATAATAAAATATGTGTTGCTGTATTAAATGAAGTATTAATTAATATTGATGATGAAAAGATATAATAACATTTTAAATTATTTACAGACTTATTTATTACATTAGATAGTTTTGGTACACATTTAACAAAAGATGTTTGGATTAAAATGGATCCATTTACACAATAATAGTAATTCAAAATAGACAATGAATTAAAAAGATAATTATTCTAAAATATCAAACCTTTATTTATCCTAATTAATAAAGCCTCATAACATACAAATGAAAAAACAATCAAAAATTGTATTAAATCTTTATTCAAAAAATAAATTGATGTTAATTATTTAAAACCATTAATTATTGAGATAATAATACCAGTTTTGAATAAACCAGTATTTTATCTTGATACTCCTTTAGAAGGAGACTCTAAATTTTTTGAACTTCTTAAACAATTTTTATCAAAAATTCCTTATATTGATGATGTTATTATATAAATGGTTTAAAATATATAATATCCATTGGCTGTTGGAGCTTTTAGTGTAGCTTTAAAAGATATTAAAGTTGAAATTACATAATTTTCATTATTAATTTAATTTATTGAATAAAATTTAATGAGATTAAATTTAAGAAAAAGAATATAATTATTGTAAGCCATACTTCATTTATTTAAATAGAATACAAATCCTGAATATTTATTTTAACTTATCAAAGTGATTCCTTTTGATTGTCTTTTCTTAAATAACATAGGAGAACTTTTAAAATCATTAATAACTGAAGATTTTTTATAATATGCATAAGAATAACAATAAACATTTGATCTAAATTCAAATTACCATTAATTTGCTGTAATTTACCATTTAACTTAAGATTATAAACTATTTTTGACCTTTTATCAACCCATAATATCTCAATTATAATAAATATATACAAGTACTTATACCCAAAAAGAAATAAAACACAAAATATTAGAATAATTAAATTACATCTTAAAAACATCTAATCAAGTCTAATTTTTAGAACAAATAAGTTCTGGATTATTTGCTTATTTAACTTTGGATTTAGAAGGAGCTATGATTGTTACTGAAGAGCTTTGGATAACTTCATTATAACATTTTGAATTAGTTCCATTATTAACTTAATAAATGAGTAAATTTGTTGGATTTTTGTTTTAGTAATAATTTGATAACTTCAATATAATACATTTAGAATTATTAATTAAAACTTTAAAAGCCACAAATATTGCATTGTAATAAGCAAAGAGAAATAAATCTGGATTATTTGTTGAAGAACTATTTTTAAAATATGGATTATAATTATTAAATAAATTACAAAGTATTGAATAAGATAGATAATTAAAAAACTTGAATTTACATTATTTAAGTCACATTTTAACATTATTCAGAGAAGTAAATCATAAACCATAAGAGTATCATATTTAAGTATAAAATTTAATCAATAATATAATTGACATTACTGATTAATTCAATGCGTATGATTCAATAACTTTATATTAATTATTAAGATCAGTATATGGACCTGAAATAGCATTCAATAAAGAATAAAGTGAATAATTTAAGTAAGTTGCAATAAATTCTTTTCAATAAATGATGCATGTATTTGGAACTCATACTAATTTAGATGAAATATTAGCATATATAGATTTTATTATTGATCCTTGTTATTTTGAAGGAGAATTATATGAGGCAGTTGAATAGATTATTAGAGTAATAATGAAATAGCACTAAAAGTAATGGGTTATATAAAGGAAAATAGTAAATAATTTAATTATATGTTTAAATAAACATCCTAATAGATTACCCACATTTTACTATATATTATTTAAGTTAATAAAAGGAAGTGAATTGAGAGGATATGATTCTTCTGAAATTTTATAATCATCAGAGTAATATGTTCCATTAGCAAATAATGTCAAGCATTTAATTTCATGTAAAGGAGAATTTTATGGGGCATATCCAAGATTTTTGGTCTTTAATTTCTTATTTGAATTGGGAAAATAAGGAGGATATGAAAAAGAATTACTATATTATATTAAATTCTTAATAGAAGTATCAATTAAGGATAGATATAAGAATGCATATATGCAATACACAAAATAATTTAGAATGAAATTACATGTATGGTAAAACATTTGCTGTTTAAAATATTTATTAAAACAAGAAAATTATTAGAAAGTATTTGGTGATGATAAGAAATATTTAATAGAATTAGAATAATTAATATGGAAGGCATTTGATACTTTAAATAATCCTTAATATAGATAATATATTGAATTGATGATGAGTTTTTTGATAAGTAATTATCCTGATATTTGGGCTCCTAGAATTCTCTAATCATTAAGTGATCCAAAATTAAAAGTAAATATTTAAATCCCAACTACATTTATATCTTGTATTTTCTTATTACATAATTAATAAACTAAGTTTTCATAGAAATTCTTTGATAAATTATTTCCTTTAGTTAGTTCAAATGTAGCTTATATTAGATCTCTTTGTCAAACTACATGTTTATAATATATAAAGAAATAGAAATTGGAATATAAAGACTTTATTGAATATTTTGAAAGTAATAGAGAATGTTAGAAAATCATAAAGAATATAAGTGCTTTAATTGAAAGATATGAAAAATTGATGTAAACATTTGATTTAGATGGTATATTAACAATATAATTTGATACATTTGGTGAGATTATTCATCCATCTATAATTGAAATACTTAAGAATACATGCACTCAAACTATTGCTGAACTTAAAAGTGAAGACAATATGAGTGAGAATCCTCCACCTCCTTGGTTTTAATATGTCTAAAGATAATAATTGAGTACATAATATTCTTAATAGTTAAATTTCTAAAGGAAAATTAATTTAATAATGGATTAATTTGATTTATTTAAGGCACATTAACCAAGATAAATTGTAGGTGATATTATTGTTGTAGCAACTTTATTAGAAAAAATACCTAATTTTGGTCATCTTACTAGAACTTGTGAAATATTTGGATGCAGAGAATTAGTGTTACCTAACAAAAAAATCTTATAAGATGAATAATATTAAGCAGTAAGTGTTAGTGCTGAATAACATTTACCCATTTTAGAAATTAAAGAAGATCATTTAATGAATTATTTATAATTAAAAAGATTATAAGGTTATTAATTAGTAGCATTAGAATAAACAAGTTAAAGTAAATCAATTGTGAATTTTAAATTTGACAAGAAGACTGTTTTAGTTTTGGGTAGAGAAAAGACAGGATTACCTATTGAATATATAGAATTAATGGATAATTGTGTTGAGATTCCATAATATGGTGTTATTCGATCTTTAAATGTACATATATCAGCTGTAATTTGTGTTTGGCAATATGTCTAATAATGGTGTTGATATTAAATTAAAATTATTAAAATTGTTTATATATATCATGCATTCTTATAATATCTATTAAATGCTGGTGAATAAATTAATTTAAAGAATATTACAGCAAATATGGCTCCAGCAAAAGGTCCTGCTATAAATACCCACATAGAATCTAATCTTTCAATTTCATTAGTCTTTAATACTTAAAATAATTCCAAGGCTACTGCCATTCCAGGATTTAGACAACCTATTATATTAAGCTTTATTATACCTCCAGAATGGAAAGTGTAACATCTTGATAAATGTAATGACAAAGTAATTAGAGTAATACTTGCTATTGGTTTATCAGAGAAAGTCGTTTTAGGATTGCCTTTCAATTATTTACAGATTTTACATTAAATTAATATCATTAGAATGAAAGAAAAGGATCCAAGAGCTTCACCACATAAGTCAGCAATTATCCAATGAAAATTTAAATCAGTCACCATAGGACTATTGATTTATCCCAAAACCATATAACAAAAGAATCCACCACCAAATGCACCAATCAGTTAAGCAATCCAATATAATAGACAAGTACCAGTTGATATTTATCTAGTCAGCCACATTGCTAATGTCACCTATTTATTACATCTAAATTACAGCTGGATTTATATGTCCACCACTAATTGGTGCACATAAGGCTAAAGATCCAAAAAATGCTAACGCTATCTTACCATCACTTCCATTTGAACATACAATCCTAAATTCTCACATTTTTATACCCATAAGCAAATAAAGCCATCGATATCATCTCTATTAATGCTCCATTAAACTTCTAAGCGTGTCTTTAAGAAAATGTCAAATGTTATTCTTCCATTTAGTCTTTTAATTTTCTAATAAATTTATTTATATAAAAATTAAGGATTTGTATTATCAAATAATTATTATTCCCATACCTATTATTATCCCTTAAATTAGTGCTTACTTAGATCCAACTCTATAATTTTTATCTGTTTCTCTCCTTTTTCTTTAAAATTATGTAAATCCCCATTTGATTGATACAATATAATTACTTAAACTGCTCTTTTAATATAAAATATCTTCATTATCCACTCTTCCCTTATATTTATTTAATTTTTTACAATCATAATTCGAAGTTATTTATTCTACATTCAGTTCTAATTATCTCACTCACTCAATCAAATATTCATTTATTTTTATTTATCAATTATAAAATTTACATACAAATTCTTTCAAATTAGACAAACTCATTTTTTTTGTTCTAAAACTAAAATCAGTTCTATATAATTATTCAGACTTAAGTATTATTTATATTAATAGAAGGAATGTTATTGGAATATAATAATATTATTTTAAATTAAAGATTCAACTTTTAATTTAGTTTATATAATATTTTTATTATAAATAAACCAACTCTATTATTCATTCAGATTAAATATACTTATATTCTATTTTATATTGCTAAAATTTTAAATCTTCATTGCAATTTTGATTAAAGTTTTGAATTCAAATTGATCAAACTTTATTATTTATTAATGAGATGAAACTAAAATTTATTTAATCTAATTATAAATTTGTTGTCTATCTATCTAATTTTACAACAAATATATATTATAAAATATTATAGACTGCTATCTGATCATTAATCAAAATTTTTTAAATCTTTTTATTAAGAAAAATTATTATGGGAAAACTTCACAGAACATTGGCCAAAGCTAGTAAAGTCAGAAAACATACACCAAAAATTGAGAAGTAGGTTAGAAGACAAAAATTCCAAAAGGTAGAGCTTATAAAAGAATTTGTTTCAACAGAAGATTTTTGATATTTGTAACAATATATTAGAATTGGAGCAATTATTTCTGGAGCAGGACCTTAATAAAGAAAAGAACCAAATTGGCATGCAGGAAGAAAGGATTTAATTGAAAAAGAAAGAAAAAAGTAAGTTGAATAAAGAAGATAAAGAAAAAAAAGGTCGTACCTTAATGATTAATACAATGAAGTAAATTAATCAAACGAATAAAATAATTTTAAATAGCAATTTGGTTTTATCGTATTCTAAGAATTTATTTTCTATTTACTTTAAAAATTAATTTCTTTGGCTAAGAAATTTGATATAATTAAATTTTATTTATTATATAAAAATGAAATGATTTACTAAATAAAGTTTCAATTTTAAGGATCTAAGTATATTTAGCTCTTAAAAATCATTTAGAATTCAGTAAACTAATAAAAAGATAAATGATTTATAATTAAAATTACAAAAGAATTTGTTTAAATAAGAGGAAGGAAATGAATCAAACAATTAAAACCTTAAAAAGAAAAAAGAATATATACAAATCAAATAAAACTGTCAGAAGACTTTCTTGACCAACTAGATATATTTTAGAATATATTTTATTCCACTTTTGTTTACTAATCAATTTTTATTTGCTATAGTTTTAAAGCTATTGTATCTTTTAAAATTAATGTTTATATTGAAGCTTTATTCTTATTATAAAATCTTAAAGGACTTGATGAAAGCCTAATATTTGAATTTAAACTTGCTTGAGAATTATTTTTTTATTAATTTATTTTATTAGTCCCATCAATAATTAAGTTGCTTTATCTTGAAGTTGAACGGATTGTATTTAACTTTAAATTTATAAGTTCTATGTTTTAAGGTCTGGAATTTGGATTCAATCTTTACATTTATGGAAACTTATTTTCGTATTCACTTTAGCAGCGACTTCTCTCATTTTAAGCAATTTGAATATGCTTTATCATATTTTATACTCTAATTTGGAAGCTCATATTATTTAATGGTGCCTTCTTTTTTTAAGTGTAAACTTTATGTAACAACTTACATCTGTTATTTATACCTTTTTCCATACTTTTTAATTAGACATTCATTTTATTAAATAAATTTATAAATAATGAATTTCATAATAATTATACAATTAATTTGATTTTATAAAGAATAGATTACTAAATTGAAAATAAAAGATTAACTTTTTAAAATCAAGGATTCTTAAATCTTCAAGAATTATTTCAATTAGATTTAATTTATTGTTTTTATTTCAGACCCTTATTTAATTTAATAAAATTAAGAAAGTTTAGATAATCTACAGAAAAGTAAATTTATAAGAATAATAATGAAGATTCAAATTCACAGAGTTAAAATTGATCATTTATTTAATAATTACAAATTAAATCTTTTGATCATATGTAATATTTTTGAATTCAACAATGATTTAAGTATAATTTTATCAAATTTTAATATTATAGATATTCACTAAAATAGAATATTTCAATATGATTTTTTGGTTATTTTTTAAGAAACCAGAGATAGATATTTAATATAAGTAGAAACCTTAAATGGTTAGATGAAAAAGAATTTATAATAAATAAAAATAAAAGATGTATATAAATATATTAAAATGAAATAATTGATTAATGTATTATTTTCAAAGAAATATAATTAAGAAACCGAAATTTCTTTTTTTGAAGATCTAATATAATTATTGTAATTAATTCAATTATTTAATTTATTATCATCTATAAATTATATTGTAAGGGAATAAGCATCATATTTTAAGATGAAAATATTGAAACCATTTATAATTATATCATTTTATAATTAAATGTATCTAAATTATTATAAATTAGTATGTGTTAATAATGCCATTCATTTTATTATATTTAATTTATGCAATTATTTATCTTCATTTAGAATTCAATTAAGAGAATTTAAATTAATTGAGTAGATATTAATGATAAAACTCATTAGACTTTTAATCTAATATAAATGTAAAAGTTTATGAAATTAATTTGAGAATTTTGAGCAATAATAATAAAGAGAAATCATCATAAGTTTGTTTTTGTTACTAATAATGTAAAACCTCTTTTTGTTGATAAATACTTTGTATTCTGGTTTGTCTTTGCACATTTAAAGATATTAAAGGAAGTTTTTCTTGGAGTAATGTGTGGAATTGGACTAGCTAATCGTTCAACTGATTTAGGAAATTTAGTATTAGAACTTGATCTAAATAAATTATTGAAACTTAATAATACTTCATTGTTGCGGGTTCTCCTGAATATTAAAACATAATAGAAAGATGTTGACAGTTTGGTGATTAATATAGAGTCATAGCTTCGTTGTTTATTTCTTCTATAAAATCCTAGAAAAATAAAATAAAAAATCTAATACAGATAGTATTTTGTTTCTCTTTTTAGTTATTTCTAAAGTTTGCTATTTATTCTTTTTGCTACTGCAACAGATCATTTTTAATATATCTTCAAAAATATATTAATATAAATAATTATCTTTTAATTCATTGAAAATTACTGTTGAGCTCTTTATTTTCAGTAAATTCTAATAATATATTTATCATTTAAGGATGTTAAACTTTTATATATTTAAGAGAAAATTTAAACTAAATATTATTTATACTATTCAATTTGATAGGAAAATTAAAGAAATTAATATAATTTCTGGATTCCATAAAATAAATTTATTGATATAATTCGTAATAAAAAAAATTCAACAACAAAATAATATCATTAAATTTTCGAACAAATTACTTCAATTATGGTTTTTATATAAATAAAATGATTATTGATTTTTATCTAATTAATTATAATTGCTTAAAATATTGGGACTAAAAATCAACTGTTGTAATATTATTAATGATATTTTATACATTCAAATAATAAATTATAGAAATAGTAAAAGATTATTAGAACTTTTAGATTTCTAAATTAATTTTTATTAATTTTAATAAAGAACAGTTAATGTAATTATTAGATTTATGATTGTTGATATATTATGTAAATTTAGCAGTATTTTTAATGGAACACAGAAACAAAATTATATTGAAACTCTTAAGGTAGAAAAGAAATAAATGGAATAGATGGGATTGAATGGAATGATATATTTTAACCCTGTTAAATTCATACTTATAGAGGATTTAGACAAAAAGTTAGAAAGTTATTCAATATGCAAAGTTTAATTATGATAATATATATATATATATTTATTATTAATATAATTTAAAATGGAAGAAAAGAAAGAAACTTAAGACCTTGCTTAATTAAAAAAGGAAATGCTTGGAACAGCTATTATCAAAGTAATAATTAATGTTAATTAAAGGATACAGATATGAGTCCAGATATGCTTTCAGAGGTTTAAGACTCGATAGTTTCAGGAATTGAAAACAACTCATCTCCAGTTTTATCGATTGAAGTATTATAATTATCCATTTTTATTAAAGAATGCTTGTAAAACAATTAAAGAAGCACTTGAAAAGAAGTATGGTCCAACATGGCAAGTTATTATAGGTAATTCATTATATTAATGAAAATAAAGGTGAAGGATATGCTTATGATGTAACAGTATAAAACAATACAAGATTATTTATGTTTTATAATGGTAATTTGGCTTGTCTAGTGTTCAAATCATGATGCATATTTTAAATATCAATCTTATTAAAATAACTTATAAGAAAAATAAAATTATTAATATACTTATTTCTTCTCTAAAAAGGAATAGCATAAACTAAGTAAAACATAATGTTTTGCTTTGAACCATTAAATTTACTTAAAAAGTTGCAAATTTTTATTAGAAAATATATCTACACTTTTGAAATTTAATAATAAATCTAATTCTAAGTAGAAAGTTAATTATATCTTTTCTTATAATAATCTTTACAAAGATAGTGAATCAATATAGTAAATAGTTATAGATTCTATAAATTAGTTTAATATAAATCAATTACAATGAGTATTTTTTTTCAATTATTCTTACATTTATTTATGTCCTTCCTATATTTACATTATCCTTTCTTTGAAAAGATTGGTTATATTAAAAATAGTTTAATAAATGTATTTTTATATATTTATTTCTGATTCAAGTGCTTCTTTTAATTCATTTATATTTTAATTATTTTTCTGATTCTTTAAAAAATTAATTAATTCTTGTATTTCATATTTTAAACATTCATTCATATCAAGTAATCTAATTCTAAATTTCTCTCTTTTGCTAAGAAAAAACAATTTTTAAAAGAGCTCTTAAATAGTATGACCGAATTCAAATCCAAATGTTATTGATTTTTATTATAGCATTATCATATTTTCGAAAATAGGCTATAAAATTTAATGTTTCTAAATGTTTATAATTTCTGGATTTGTTTGTTATTCAGATTTTTGTTAATTTTTCTAATTTTAATTATTATTAATATTTTAATTGAGTTTATCCTTATATTATTCCTAAAATTTTTATTTCATCAAATTAATATATTATTTATTTGAATTCTTATGAGATATCAATTAATATATGTTTCTTTGATAATCATCAATAAATTCACATATATTATGGAAATCAGAATTCCAATCATCTTCATTTGGAATCTGATTTATTCTTTAGCTATAGGATTTAATTTTATCAATTTATTCATTTATTATATCATCTTTAAATTTTAATTGTTCTTCTTTCAGTTTAAGTTCTTGCTCAAGCTCTTTAATTTTCTTTTCATACTCAAAATTTTACAACTTTTTTTCAGATTAAGATTTTTATTCTTATATCTTTAATGCTTACTCATTTTATTTATTTATTTTTGATATATTCTTTTTTCTATAATATTCATAAGTTTTATTTATTGGAGATTTCTATTCAAAAAAAGATGTTTTATTCTATACTGGTTTTTTAAAACTGTTGTATTCCTGTTATTACCCAAAAGAAATAGTATTTTTATGTAATCCACTATCATTGTGTTTTACTACAGGGGAAATTATATTTAATTAAGAAGCAGAACTATCAATTATAATTTATGATGGATTATTCCTAATAAATTTCTTATTTTGAGTATTTTACAAGGGACTGGATGCCTAAGAAAAGTATTTCTAATTATCTTATTTTTAAATTTTGAGACTAGGAATTTGAGTGTTGATTTTAATATCTTTTAAGGATTTCATTTATGGAGTATGGTTAATTGAACTTTTATTGCTATCAAAATAATATCCAAAGCTATTTTCAATACTTTCATATTTCATTTGATCACTATATTCAGATATTTTTGATATTCTTAAACTTTATTTTTCTTCATGTTTAGATTATAAATCTATTTAATCTTAAAATTCTGAAATATTCTTAGAGATTCTAGATTTATTTGATTCACTTGAATCATTGTGATCCTATTCCTCTTTTATTTATCTTTAAAAAATGGTTTAATTATTTTTAATCATATCTTTTTTAGTATTTTTTGAATAAAATTAACATGACAATTAGTCCTACTTCTTTTTTTAAATTTCATTAATATATTAACTTTGATAATTTTATAAGACATTATTTTATTAATGTCCATATTATACATATTTTGATTCTTAATATTCGTATTTATTAATACAATCAATTTAATTATCTTCTTAAAGACTTAATTATCTTTTCTATTCATATTTTAAACTACCTTCTGAATTTGTATATCTTTTACTAAATGATTTATACTAAATTCTACTTCTGTTTTTTTGACTTTATTATAATTTTTCAACATGATTATCTTATTATATAATTTACTTTTTATTTTAAAGTTTATCGTATAAATTTTCAATAATTTCATGATAAGATGAATTTATTGAATTTTAAGTTATATTTAAGCTTTCTAATTATTGAGGTGGTTAAAATATTTACACCCTACAATTTAAATTATTCTTCTTATCATTCTCATTTTTCATCATATATTTATTCTACATCTGCTACTTTTGATTGGGTTATTCATTAATACTAATTTATTGCTGAATCTCATCATAGACTTAACTTTATTTTAAGTCTTATAACATTTTTAATTGTTAATTTAACAAATTTTTATTTTTTTGCAATATAATTGTATTATAAAATAAGCATGATTATATTTTAGATAGCTTTTTATTTCAATTATATCAATTATTTAATTCATTCTATTAGATTAACTATGTCAAAAGCATTCATTATAATATATTAAATATATATTTATTAGGAATAAAATACAGTAATTTATTCAATAATATTTCTACATAGGATTTATTGTATTTTAATATTATTAATATGGTACTTGTTACTGATATCTTTATTGATTATATGGATATTAAGCTTAATATTAAGGTTAATTTGAATAATATTAAGGTTATTATTAAGTAAATTATTATGGATAAATTTGATTCAAAGAATTGAAAGTTGAAGGAGATTAATGTTATTGAATCTAAATTGATTATGGATTAATCTATTGATATCTAATAGTCTATTCAAGTTAATTTTGATTAGGATTATGTTTAATAATCTCTTGATCCTTATTTTCTTAAATTAAATGAGTTTTACTCTAATTAATTTATTTTTGATTTGGAGATTATGTCTTTTTTTATAATTGATTATTTTATGATTTTAATGTTAAAGCTTTGCTCTTAACAATTTCAGGTGGAGCAAGTTTATGCATGTCTAAATATTCTGTAAGGTCTTGATGTATAACACCAACAATTTCTGCTAAGTGGGAACTTAATTAAACTCTAAAAATAATATTAAATAATACGATTTGTATTAATCAAAAGTAATTTCAGATTGAACTTCTTTGAATCTGGTTGTAAATTTATTAGCAACTTAAATATACTATTAATTATCTTCATAGCTTGGAGATGCAAGATATGGCAAGAGAGAATACATGCATTCTGGTTATTAAAGTTTATCTAAAAAATTAATATAAGCTCCTTTTCTTGCATCTAAAGCTCCTATTAGTGCTTCTGCATCTCTTTTGAAGTTTTCATAATTTTTCTTTTATTTATTTTCCAATTCATTTTCTAGAGTATCAAAGTATTATTCTATAATATTGAGAATTCTTTTCTTAGCTTCTTTAAGTTTTTCAACAGTGAAAGCTTTTTAGGAATATGCTTAAGCCATTGATTTTTTAATGTTTTATAATGCATTAGTAATTTAATTTGCTTTAAAATATTATAGATAGTATTACCTTATTAACAAATATCTGAATGAACTTAAGTCAATATATTTTCTAAACATTCTAATTTTGGATATGTTTTAAATTGAGAATGTTCATTCACATGCTCTTTTACACATTCTGGACATAATGGTAATCTGCATTCTTTTGATTTACAAAAGTTAGTGATTGTTTGACCAAGATGATTATAACAATTAATCTATAATTAATATGAAAAGTTGATTTACTTTTGGCATATTATAAGAAGTATAAACATAAGGGTTAAGATTTCCTCCTGATTTTTATTCATCAGTTAAAGACTATTATGGAGGATTTGCCTATTATATGATTATATATCAACATATTATTGATATGTGAATTCTCTTTAAGAATCTGCCTATTATTCTATTTAATTTCTATTAAATCCTGGACTTGCTTCTGGCTATTCGTACATTTCAGTTAAAAATAATAATTAAGTTTTGAATATTGATTGAATTTTTTTTTAAGAAGCTTTATAAATGATAATATTTAAATAAATAGATTTGCATTTTATTTTAACTTAAAAGTTAGAAATTGTAAATTGAATTTTATATTTACTCTAATGATATAAAATAAATATATTTAGAAGAATAAAATTCAATTGAAGAGAGCATTATCAAATTATAAAATTCATTATATTAGATACTTATTATATTATTAAGGATTTGGAAAAATAAAAGAATATATAATTACTTTGTATTACAAATCTTCTTAAATTATGTTATCAAGTAATTATTATTCTGAACTTGTTGATGTATATGTATTAGGTTTGTATATTTACAGAAGAATTTTATTACATGCTCCAACTACCTTAGCTTATTAAACATATTTTTGAAAAAGATGATAAAATTATTTTTACAGAAATAAGGTTTAATATTTATCTTACTATTTATTTTTTTATATTTATTTCATAAATTTTATTTGTATTCAGAATGAGTAAATTCAATGAATAATTAATTTCTTAAGATATTAAAAACAAATTAATATATATTAATACAACTATTTAAATGATCAATCATTTTTATTAATTCATCGTAATCACTAAATTAAGGACATTTATAAGCTCAATTTAATTTTTATATTAATGTATATTAATAGAATTTTATTATATAAATATTTTAGAATAATTTGTTATTTAAATTTTAGATATTTTAATCCATAATTAATGATTCATACTTAATTTACATTTTATGGAAGTATAAATATTATAATTATTTACATAAAATATATACACATCAATAAAAATAACAAAATTTTCAATTAACTTCTATATCTATTTCAAGAAATAAATTATTCTAGATTTAAGTTTTAATAAAACAGAATGAATTTAATATGAAATTACTGTTATAAAAAATTCATTTGATCAAAAATAAGAATCCTAAAGTGAATTAATTTTAGTCTTAGTAATTATATCTATATGGAGATGAAGAATTAGATGTCCTATCACTTAAATTGTATTATAATGATTTAATCATAAATTTTAATTTAGTCTGATATTTTGATGGATTCATCTTTTAAAATATCAAAGATTTAATAAAATTAAGTAATAATGGTTGTTATTGAATTCATAATTAAATAAAAAGTGAGAGAAAATTAATGATAAAGAAAATAAGTGTATTTAAAATTGATTTGAATTAGGATAATATATAAAATTATTAAATAAAAAATAAAATATTTAATTAGGAAGAATAATAAATAATAATTTTATTGATTATCATTATTAATTAATTAAGTAAAATAAAATTAATTTGATTTCAATGATCAAATACATGAATTGCAGAATGTGATAGACATTATTCCTTAAATTTAGCATCAAATCCTTATAATCTTAATAGCTTTTATTCTAAAGTAGGATAATTTTTCATGTTTTCTTCGATATCATCAAAATCAACAGTGTCTATTTGTTTCAACATTTCAATATGAGGTTGACTAGTTATTATTTTTTAAGGTTAAGATTTTATTAGTAAAGCATCTTGATGAGAAGGTATATATTTAACAATATTAGAGGATTGAGAACCTAAAATTATTAGAATCAGTACCCATATAAGATTATTTTTTTGTATTTTATCTATGTTAATCATTTAAACCATTTGGGACAGCTAAAAATGAACTTTATTATTTTATATCTCCAAGTTTTTCTGGTATTTTATCTGTCCATTCGAATTAATTATCATAAGTATTTGCATCTGAACATTATCTCATAATTTTCTTTAATAATTCATAATCAGGTTAATCTTGATAATTAAGCCCTTTTAAATAACTAGTTGAGATTAAGAATATACTTTAGATATTCTGAGAAAGGTGGAGGCAAATCTTTACAGAGTTGCTAAATTGATGTTTGCATCTTCACTTCTCCAACAACAACTGTTCTGTCTTTATCTCCAATATTCTACAGATTTTACCAAGGTAATTTGCTAATGAAATTAAATAACATGTTTACCCCAATATAAGATATATAATAACATACATAAGAGATTCTAAGTCATCTTTTCTACCTATTTCATATCCTTTATGAGCTGCAATTGAAGCATATCTAGTAGTTCCAATAAATGACTTTTTATCTCTAAAAGGTCTATTTTTTAATGTATAATAATATGTACATATGCTTTCCTTAATCAAAAATCTATTTAGAAACTCCAAAGTCAACTAAATATGCTTATGCTAAATCAATTTTGCCCATCATTATATTTTCAGGCTTTAGATCTCTATGAACAATTCCTTTATTGTGTACATTACTAAATATTGTTATAAGCTATTCTAATAATTGTAAACCAGTTTTCAATGATAATTGTTTGTAATTTTTTACATAATAACCTAAGTCTTTACCTAATATATCGATGACCATAACATTGTAATTTTACTCACTTCCAAACCAGTAAAGTTTAGTAATTCCTTAAATACCTTACAATTTAGTTAGCAAGTAAACTTCTCTATCTAATGTTTCTTATTCTCCTTTTTCCAATTTAACAGCCACTTCTTCACGAGTAACTTTATGAATAGCCAGATAAACAACTCCAAAAGACCCAGAACTCAATTTTTATTTGATAATGTATTTGTTATCAAATATTTTAGGCTCCAAATAACTACTAGGTAATTTTTTCATTAATAATTTTATGCATTCTGGATCATTTATTGCAAATACTCCGATTACTGAGTTAGATGACTTTCGTAAAGAAGTACGTGGCAAAATTAACAGTAAATTTGATTAGCCTAAACAAATATTATATTAACCCAAAACATCTAACCTTGGATAACTCTAATAAATCCTGAGATCAAGTATATCTCCTAAATCACCAAAAAATAATGCACTTCATAAATCACAGAACTCATCTCCTCAAATACATAAATCACCAGGTAGATTATCATTTCAGAGATCAAGTCTTGACTTATCTAAACCTACTTAAAAGTAATCTATAACTAATATGAAGTATTTTATATCCAAAAAAACAATTACAAGATATATTACCACTAAATAAGATCATAGAATTACAAAGAGCCATTAAAAATTACAATCATCCTACTAATAGTAGGTAAACACTTAAATTTTATATTAGTTATTTCCTTGAACTCAAAAAACTTGCCAAAGTAGTCTTAAGAGAAACTCAAGGATGAAAATAATTATACAATAACACCTCTTTTTATGTTAATAGTAAATTATTAATTTTAACAGTAAAATGAATACTCATCAAATTTAATATCTCTATAAACCTCCCACTAGTCCATAGTAATTAACATCTAGAATGTATAATTACATTTAATATTATAACAGGACCATTAATGATTAGATTTCTCCAATTAGAGATATTATTATGCCTAAAACTAATCGTGTCAGCCAAAATATCACTAGAAATAGTGCAAGAGGTATTCCCTAATTGATTACAACAAAAACATAGCCATCAGTAGCAAGGGAATCTTGTTAGATAACAAGAGAATCTATTCATATCAAATAACCATCTTCAATGCCAATTGATAATTTTACTAAAGCCATTTACTAATTAAGTTAAATTAAACAAAAATATGATAAATCACTTGAATCATAAATTGATGCTATAATAATCATGCTTAAAACTTCAAATTTTGATAAAGAAAATTGTAATCCTAACTAAGAATTAAAATAATAAATTATTTAACTATAATCAAGCAATGAAAAATTACAAAATGAACTTTTGCATAAAAAATGTGAAAAAACTAATATCTAAAATCTTGAATAAATTATTGTCAATCTTGAATCTTAAAATAAATCAATTACTAATTAAAGAGACATTCTTAAAACAGAAAATGAAAAACTACAACTTAAATTATTAAACAAAGAATAACATTTTGTATCACTTCAATAAGAAATATAATAATAAAGAAATTCATTCTAACCTTATGAATTGTTATACAATTAATAAAGATAAAAAATTATTGAATTAGAAGAATTGATATAATCATTTAAGTAAATTAATTGCACAGAAAATGTAATCAAATAACAAGATTATCAAGATCTCAAATGGAAATTTGAATAATCAAGTACTTTCCCTTTTTATAATTAGTTATTGCTTATTAGAGAAAAGATAAAGATCTATAATCTAAAGTTGAAGAAATCAAAAAATAAAAATATTAAGTTGAATAGTTATTAAAAAGAAATCAAACACTTGAAATTAAATTACTTGAAATAATGGAAACAGAAGTCAAATAAAGAATAATAGTATGAAAAATGTAATATCTTAAAATAAAATACTCCATATATAAAATATCATTCTTATTATTATTCTAATGATATTGAATCCTATTCTATTTATTCTTCATAATTTTAATTTTAATTAATCATCTACTCCTTTTCTTATGATTATTATTAATCAGTTTAGTTATCTTCCAATAATTATTAATTATTCTAATGATTTTTCTCTTAAGATAACTTTTCATCCTCTTATTCTTCTTGATAATCTAATGCTTAATTTTTGCTTTATGATTAAATTGCTTATTTTTATTTTTACTCTTGTTGCATAAACGTTATTATTGTGTTTTTCTTTGATAAACCATTTTACTCCTTAAGTTAAGTTGCTTATTCATTTACTTTAACTTCTTCTGTTTAATTTTTATTAGTATCCATATATTTTGGATTTTATAATAAAATTCTTTTTATTAACTAAGTTCTTTCAATATTATCTTTACCAGGTGCTATAAACTTTATATCTGTGTTCTTCTCATGTCCTAATATACAAATTTCTAAAAAATCCATAAATAACATTGGAGCAACTACTTTGAATTAATCATATTGATAAAAATCAGATATTGGTTAAACTCCATCAGACCTACATTTCCATTTTATTTCAAATAGACAGTCATCTTATGTTAAAATCAAATTAACACTATCAATTTCATCTCCAGATTAAGGATATGCATTACAATATTTTTATGTCATCTCTCTTTGTTTATTATATAATAACTCTTCTGAACAATTAGGATGCTTAAAATTTGATTAAATAATTTTTTATAATTTTTTTTATGGCCCAATTTATTTTACTTATTTATCATCATTTTAGTTGGTTTTTTATTCTTATTAATTTGTTGATAAATTTTAAATTAAATTTCGAATATTTTCTTCAAATTCCCAAGTTGGTTCCTCATGATCCTTCCATTTTATTAAATATTCTAATTAATTATTATTATTTCTCTTTGACAATATCTTTTCTGGAGATCTTTGATTTATTTATTTCTAATTCTTTTCTACAATTGTTTTCATCTCTTGCTTTATAATATTTAATATACAGAGAATTAGAAATTTGAATACAATAAGTCCCAAAAATTTGCATCCAAATTATTAAATAATTAATAGAAATTTATATTATGAATAAAACAAAATAAAAACAAAATTCCTTATTTGATCTCTCAGTCATTATTGAAAAAATCAAAAATTTGGATGAATATCAATCTACAATGTTTCTAATAAACAAGAGACCTAACTATGAATTGCTTAATTAATCAAATACATAATTTATACCTCATATTATTAATGATTTTGAGATTAAAAGAAAGTTTAAAGAAATTTAAAGGGATTCTTTATTATCCTAGAAACCTTTTATGATCCCAAAAACTTTAAATAAATCTTAGATTTATTCAAAATAAATTAATACAACACCTAATCCTTAAGAATTCTCAATAGAAAAGAAAATCCCTTCAACTTCATTTAAAGTATAAAAAAATATAGTAAATAAAAGGACAAAAAGTACTGATTACAGAATTTAGCTAAAGAAAACAGTAATTATTGATAAATTATTTAGGTAACAAAAGATATTGAAGCCTAATTTCTAGAAACCAGAAATTTAATAAAAAGATTCAATAAAATCAAAAGAAAATCAGTAAGATTTAATATTTAAACCTGATATATATTCTAAATAACTTCTTTATATCAATACTTTTCTCAAAAATTAAAACAGATATTTTATAAATCTTCTTAATATATAAGAATATTTTACAAATTATTATAAAAGCGATATGAATATTTTCTTTCATATAAAACATTATAATCTAATCTGTATCATGTTAAGAAATTTAATATTTATTTAACTAAATAATAATAAAGTAAACTTTTACAATTATTTGAAATGTATTTTTATAGATACTATAAACATTCTTCATAAAGCATGATCTACCATTATTCTACTAGAGATTAATATTCTTCTTAGACAGTTTATAGTTCAATAATTGTTGTGATAAATCCAGTTAATTATCATTATTATTCCAAATTTCTAATGTAAATAAAGCTAAGAAATTATCATTATAATGGAAGTATATTTAAGTGCAGAGTCCCTCAATTTAAGATAAGAATATTGAATTTATCATAAAATAAAGTTCAGACATCATCTTAAAAATATTAAAATGAAAAGCCTACGCCATCCTCAATAAGTAAAGTTACTAATTATGAAAAAATCAAAAAAATCAGCATGAGTTTAGAAGTCAGAAATTAAAACTATACTTACAAACAGCCTATTTTATACTATTGTGATATTAATTAGGACTCTATTCCCTGGAATCAAAAATAGGCTAAAATAACTAAAAGGATTATTCCTTAATAGCTAAAAGCTGAAGAAAACAAGTTATAACTCGATAATATTGAAATAGGTTAATAATTCAAAAGGTTTTCCGAAAGATATAATGATTCACAAAGAAGCAAAGACACTACTTAAATAAAATAATAATCATAATCAAAAGCTAAATCAAAAGATCTGGATATTGAACCCAAGGGTTGGACTAACAGAAGCTCTCACAGTCTCTTATGATTATATCAATTTAAATTGTAAAAATTCTTTAAAATCAATAAGTGTTAATCTTATAACTTATCCATTCTATCACTATATTTTATATGAAATGTATAACTGAAAATAAACTTATTTAAGTAGTAACAAAATATGGCATCTTTTTTCTTTTGTAAGAGATCGTAATTAATATAAGATAATTTCATTCGAAAATATACTTTATAAGAATTAAATTTTTAAATATATAACAAGGTATTTAACTAAAAATATATGAAATTCAAGTAAATTGAAAGAAGTCATCAAAATTCTGAGTTTAATTAAATAAAAAAATAATTTTCATGATAATTAAATATTTATTAATAAATTTATTAAAAATGAATAAAAAATATTAAATCTTATTTATTTAATTATAATAGCATTAAATCTATTTTAAGTAAGAAAATATTTAAATGAATTTAATACGCAATAAAAAAAATAAAATACTGTGTCATATAAACATTTTGATTCAAATCATTAATCAAAATAACCCTAATCTATTTTTAATTCTCTATGCTTTTTTAGTTGGCAATTGATTTCGATTCTATTTAAATATAAACTTATACTAAAATCCATGGATGCTCTAAAGCTGATTACAAAGTAATTCTTTCATCAGGTTCTTTCATTAACAGTTTTTTTATTAAATCTTTCGCATCTTCTGAAATCTATTACCAAAACTCTTCTTGGAGATCATATTTACATTCAATAATATTTTTAATAATATCCTCTGGAAATTCTGAATCAAAAGGTAAGTAACCTAAATTTAATATAATAATTGATGTACCAGAAAGTAGAAAATATAAGATAACTCCCAATGCAAAATTATCAACTTTAAAATCAATTTTTTTTTATTCCAAACTCTCAGGTGCTAGATAATTAGTAGTTCCACAAAGTGCTTCCCCTTCTTTTGTTTAAATGTTTGTTAAAAAATTAGCAAAACCAAAATCAATGATTTTTACTTATTTGACATTTTTTTTTGTAGTATCCAAAACAATCATAATATTTTCTGGTTTTAAATCTCTATGAACAATTCCAACACTATGAACATAATTGAGAGTGTCAAAAAGTTAACTCATAATTAAGGATGCCTCTTGTTCATTAATATTTTCATTTTTAATAATGTAATCAAATAAATCTCCATCTCTTACTACTTCAGTGATGATATTTAAATGAGTTTTTGTTTCAATAATTTCATGAAAACGAACAATACAAGAATGATTAAGTAATTTCATGATTTCCACTTCATGACTAAAACTAAATACTAAAATTACGCAAGCATTAATTTTTCAGATTTTGATAATTTAAACTTTTCTATAATTTTTATAGCTAATGTTTATCTATCTTTTTTGCATTCACAAAGATATACAATTGAAAATTTGCCTTCTCCAATTTTCTAAAGAATTGAATAATAATCATTCACAGAAGCTCTAAAAAAAATGAATAATCATATACTTTTAGAACATTTATAAACTGTTGGTCCATCTTTTATAATCTTCGAAATCTTAACACATATATGTTCTGGTTTAATATAGTTTATCTTTATGAGATACTTCAAATCCATATTATTATTCTTAATTATTTACTTTTTCTTATATTGTTAATCCATCAAGACAAAAGATTCCTAAAATCTAATTATAATTTTTTACTGGAAGGTAAAGTTGATTCTTTGGTTTTAAAAGACAAGCAAAATCTTTGCATTAATTTAAAATATCTGGTATTAGTAAGTTTAGGATTTTTTTTGCTGATTTTTTTGAGTTCTCCTTCAAGATCTTTTGGTGTCATCATCAAACGAGGAACTGAAGCATTAGCATCAAAACCCCATACATCAAAATTGAATGCTTTATAAAGACCTTCAAATATTTTTGGATGCAACTTCACAAATGATTTAAAGTCATCAAGTGATAAACTAAATTATAAAATATAAATATACCCTTAATCATTTTTTGCTTTATGTTTATAAATCATATTAACATATTTATGAACTAAATAATTAATATTGACTCTTTTTAATTCAACTAATTTTCCATTAATATTGAAAGTTATGTTTTAACCAAATTGTCCCATTGGAACTCCTGTTGGTCCAATCATGCTCTCATTTGGAAACATCATAACAACACTTTATTCATTAAATGCTGGTAAATTATTTTAAGATCCTAGAGCAGATTCTCCTGATTTAGCCCCTTATATTGATTATATTTCACCACTTAAAGAGCTTTTTCTCTAAATTGCATGAACTATTTTCATTTTAATTATTATTACCTGATTCTGTAAACTCTTATTCATCTGCGCGTTTAGGTTAATTTTTTTTTTGATTGATCATCTCCTTTGTCTCATAATATTTTAGAATTTTTAGATCCTCCAAGAACATAGGGTCATCAAGTAATTTTATCAAATCATCTCGTGGATAATTTTATATCTATTTTATTATTGTTTTTTACCATCTAAAGAAACTCAGCTTTTCGAATCAAACCTTATTTATCTAAATCATATAATTTAAAAAGATGCTAAATTTTTTAGTCTTCATCACATTTGATATAATGGACCACTCCTTTAAGAAATTGCTCAAAATTCAATAGACTATGGTTTTCTTAGTTAAAATAATCAAAAACAAGTTCACCCCACAAACCAATCATTGTAAAGAAATCTGTAAAAGCAGTCTTGTTGACTAAGTTTTCTACATTTCTTGAAGCTAAGTCTTAATATATCAGATAAAGTAAATCGATTTCAATAACATTAACTAAATTTAGTAAAAATCATACATTGCTATTCTAAGGTTTTTGGTAAAATGTAAGGTTTTTTACTTCTTTTTTATGGCTTACCTCCGCACCCACCCATGGAATAATAATTATTTAATTAATTTTATATTGCAATTATGATATTAATTAAAAATAAAGATATAAATAGAATATATACAAATAAAACATAAAATATATAATCAAAATAATTCAAATTCATCATTTTTAAGTTTTACATAGTTAATAAATATTAATCATTTAGTTGAATTATGAAACTATATTAAGTAATCATAAATTAAATAATTATCAAATCAAAAATTAACTAATATATTATTATATATATTATTCCAAATCTGATCATTATAATGTAGTAAAATTTATTTGAATAAATTTAATCTATATTTGTTAATAAATTGAAGTTTCATTTTAATTTAAATCCTCTTTTTAAGTTAAAATTGATTCATTTTGTGACCATTTTAGATTGATTTCAAATAAAATGATTATATTTTATATATTTTGATACCAATGAACTTTTTTATTAAAAAGAAAACCCTAAAATTATAATTAATCATCAAAAAAAGAATAAATTTTATTTTAATTCATAGACAGACTTTCTTTTTTTGAATTTCAATTTTTGTTTCATAAAATTCCTATAGATTTTATTACTTTCCTAATTCAATTTATTCCTATAATTATATTTATTAAGATTACATCATTTTAACAACAAACTTCTGAGTCACTTTCATCAGAGGATATATCAAAATATTGTTTCATTTACTATTAATCTGAATTTGAAACTCTTGGAAATATTGAGTACTTTTCTTAATAAATATTATTTAAATCATTTGAATTGATCTTTAACCAATTTTTATCTATCTAAGAACCAGCTAATACTTGTATTACATTATTTTATAATTGATTTAAATTATTACTAAAGAATCCCATATCAAGTTCACTATAATTAGTATATTTCATTCTTAATAATAAGACTTATTGATTCTAATGTGAATTTAAACTATCAACTAAACATTATTAAATCTTAACAAGTAATTATTCCAAACTTAATTGAGCAGAATAAAGATTAGAATTATAATAAAGATCAAATACTGATCTAAATTTTAATGTTAGAAAATAGGGATGTCTGCATTTATTTCTAATATTCTATGCCATTAAATAATTATTAAGTCCTTCTAAAGTATCTTCTATTTTTAATATTTTAGATTTATCAGATCTAACAATAAGTTATTTCTTGAGAGTGAAAGGATGAAAAGGTTATATAAGCGACATAATTTTCTGATAATCAAATCTCTTGGTATTTCTGGCAGCCTTCCTTGAATCAACAAAAATAGGAGGAGAAATAACTGATTTAATGGTTAATTCACTTTCAAATATATCATCTCTTCTATAGATTTCAATTATGATATGAAAATGGACACCCTAAAATTATGGATAAGTAAAAACCTCCAGCTTATATGAAGTTGAACTGAACTTGATGTTTTCGAATTAAAAACCTTAGATTTCATCGTTATAGAGTTTTTCTGTATTTCCTTCAAGGTCCACTTGTCGAATTGTAGATACATCTTCAACATAGCCACAAATCAATCTACATCTAAGACCTTTTGTATATAATTTATAGTTATTTAGAATGGGTTTAACAGTGATTTCTGGAAGTTTCCAACTTTTGTGCCAATTCCATCCTATTCTTTTGGAGAAATTGAAAGATTTCTACATTTGTATATTGAATTATAGTGATTCTTCAACAACTGTACAGTCTTACATAATTTTATAGTTGGTTTCAAGAAGACGATATGATTCTTGTTAATTGTTTTGAGAATGAAGAGTTACTTGACATTCAATCCACTTCCAATTATTAAGTTTTTATTTAAGTTGTAGGAATCTATTTTTCATACTAAAAATAATGTAATTATTAATTAATCATTTAAAATGCTTTTTTTTACTCCAAGCAGCAAATTCTTTTTTATGGTTCTTTTCAAAATGCTACACTAAGGTTTGTTCTTTCAATATCTAACCATCAAATTTACATTTGAACTTATTACCTAATAATATAAAAAAGAATATATTACTATCAGTATCCTTAATACTATCTTCTATAAACATAGGCATCATAAATAAATTTTCAGTTTATGTAAGATCATCATCACTATCTGATTATAATTCATCATCATTATCATTCTTATCATCTTCATCATCATCATCTACATCTTTCCAATCATCATCTTCATCAACCTCTTCTTCAGTTTCCCATTCATCTTCTTCTTCTTTTTTTTTTTCTGGCTTTTTTTATGTTTAAGCTTATTTGAAAACAAAAGAAGTTGGTATTTTGAATTTATGTTTGCCTCTTCCTGGTCTACCAATATTAGTAAACATTTTCATAAAAGCATCACCCATCATAAAATTCATCATAGACTCAAAATCTTGAGCAAAAAAATCATCAAAATCAAAATTCATTTAGTCCTCACCATCAGCTGTTCCAAATTTGTCATAATTGGCTCTTTTCTGACTATCACAAAGAACTTTTAATCTAAATTAAAATTAAACCTGTATAGGCTTGTAAAATCAATTAAAACTACTTCTTTGCTGTCTCTTAATTATCAGGGTTCTTATCTGGATGCCATTTCTATCTATATAACAATAATAATTCATACCAAAGCTAATTTTCTATAAGCACTTTTAATCTCTTCAGTTGTAGCATTTTTCTCAACTCCCAAGACTTGATAATAATCTTGTTTATCCATTAATTAAATAATTTCAATTAATTAAGTATTTTTTTTTGGAATATACATATGAATATTATATTATATTGTAATATTTCACTCAATTATCTCCATTTCTTATCCAACTTCTGTAAGTTCTTGTTTCTCAAAATTAAATTCATATTTCCTTAAAGCAGCTAAATATCTAATAACCTATTTTACGTGTATTATTGATTGGGAATGGATATGGTATTTATTTCTAATGAGATTTTGCATTATATTATCTGATATTTCTTCTATAATCAACACCTTCTTTTGTAATTGCAACTACATCAACATTACTGCCTGATCTAAAATAATATAATCATAAAAATACCCCATATCATGGAAAATACCAGCCTCAATTGCTTCGATAGCAAGATCAATGGCTTATTATTTAGTAAGACCATCTTAAAATTTAGCTTCTAGAATTCCTAATGCTGCAAGAGATCCACTACCCATTGATTAAAATGGATGATAAACATAACTAATAAATTAATAATAATCATTTACTTTCCATGAGGAGAAACAGAAGCCAATTATGGTCCATTACAATCTACTCCACCAATAATAAGAGCAACACCTATTTGACCTCTATAAGGAAAGAGTTTCGATGTTAATTTAGTAATCACTTCATTGACTCTACTTTATCTATTTAGATTGAGTCTCTAAAGTTTAAGTTTAGCATTAAAATGAGCACATTAATGATGTAAATCTGCAGCAGTACCTGCTCCTGCAGCCCAGATATTTGGAGCTAAGGTATGCAATTTCTCACAATTTTTATCTGCTACTATTGATCCAGCTGTTGCTCTTGTATCTGCAGCCATCACTACTCCCCCATCAAATAAGACACCAACTATTGTTGTTCCTGTTTTTGTAAATGGCATTTCTTTAAATCCTTAAGCTTTCATCAATTCATTTCTTAGATTTCAATTAATCAATTCTGTACCTCTTGGCATTTGTATAGTCATATCCACCTTTGGATTGCAAATAATTGTCGAAGTATTACATTTTTATATTATTTAAATTTAATTATCATTCAGATTGGGATAATGGATGTTCAATTATAAAAAATATTTGATTCTAATTACAAAGGTAAAACACTCTATAATCATTTTTGTGAATTATATTACTAAATGCAAGAGAATAAATACTATAAAGCATAAAGTACATAATCTAACATAATTTTAGGTTTGTCTGATTTTGAAGATTTGAGCAATTTTATAAAAGAAAACAGATTTTATCATCTACCACTTAAAACTGCAGATCAAGTCAATAATCTATAAGATCAAATATTCCCATGGTAAGAGTATTGTAAATAATAAATGTAACTTATGCAAATAAAAGCCAAAGTAATTAATGCTACAGTATAGAACTTTCTTAAATTAAATGCTCTATTAAATAATGTTGGATATGGATTTACTGATGAAGATGCTTATCTTATCTAATAATCACTTAAATCTATTGCCATTAGAGATTCTAATATTATTAATATTAGGTTTTGGGGAAAACTCTTTGCATAAAATAGAGATTATTATGTAATTGAAGTGTAATTGTCTAAATCATATAAAGAACCCTAACCTATAGATTGTGATGAAAAACTTAATGAATATGTTCATTATGTTACACAAGACTGTAATAATTATAATAAAGACATATAGTATTGGAGGATTGGGCATTACTACCTTAAGTAACCCGTAAATAAATGGAAGCTAGTCGATTTATCACATATGTGTTCAGTGGAAATTTAAATAAAGAAATTACTTAATATCCTATATTTAATGGAAAGGAAAAACATTTGTTAAAAGCTTAAATCTTAAGAATTACTCATGCTAATCTATTAGCACCTAGAGGTTTATATAGATTTGATGATGAAACTAAATTAATAACATTTGAAGATGAATTCAAAATGCCAGAATCAGCAGAACTATCTACTATGGATGGTTGGGTTCATTTGCCTCCTAATATTTTAAAATAAGGGAGGATTACATTTTATGAAGATCCTTCTTTAAAAGAAGAAGAACTTAATTAAATGAAAGAGGCTGATCCAGAACTTGAAAGATTGAAATCAATTAAGGATGACAAACGTAATCATATGAATAAGTTGTAGCTTTTGAATAAAATGAAGGAAATTGGAATATAAAGATATTTGGAGAAACACAATAATATACAAATTAAGAAGAATAACCTTTGAGTTATTAAATAGTATAATTAAGAAATTATTTATGGCCAGGTGCAATTACTGTTAGTAATGTATTTATTAGCATGAAATACTATCATAGTCAAATGATTTCATTAGCATTTACTTTGGATACGGAAACAAGAATTAATAAAATTCATTCAATCCTCTTGCTCCAAATGATATTCAAGAAGAACCTGAAGATATAGATGAAATACCTGAACCAAATCCAAGAGAATAACCTGATGAATTAGAACCAGATAGTGATGATGAAAGAAGAAGAGAATAAGAAAGAAGAGAAGCAGAATTATAATAATAATAGGAATGATATATTTATATTCTATCAATTTAAATAAGCTTTATACATATTATAATTGCATTTATTAGCAAATATATATATATATAGAGTGTTTAGTAAATATTTTAAGTTTAATAATTCAAATTCTACTTAATTAATGTATATTAAAATATTATAGCTGACTCCTCTATTAGTAACAAAATAAATGAATGAATATAAATATTAAAATATATCCTATAAAAAAGTAAAGGATATTCATTTCTTTAGAATAATAGATTCCATATAAATTTAATTAATGATCATTGTAATACTCTTATTGACCACAGTTTTTGCATTTCCTAAATACAAGCAAAACTTGTTTGTGACCAAACCTGATTCCCTTAAAAAATTAGCATATTAATTGTCAATGGCTTCTGATTTATAGGTTGACGTGGATCAAGATCAAGTATGGAAATTTAATCTAATAAGGTTTGTACTTGGTTAAAAGAATATACTTTAACAACAGCTTAAGATGCATATTATGCAAAGCTTGCCTCATCATTTTTGGAAGAATGTCAGGTAGACTATAACATTGACTTACCTATGATTGATTAAGATGATTTTGAATCAATTTACTATAATTCACTTCTTAATGGGTAATGTCCAAAATTAGAATATTTCATCACAGCAGGAGGTGCAGCCAAGCCATAACTAAAAAAATAAGATGATTCTTATAAAACAGCAGCTTAAGTATATCATCTTGCCACTATTTGCAATGATAACAAAGTTCATGAGGCAATTTAAGAAGCTATCTTTAACTTCTAAGAATTATATGATGGAGTCTCAGGAGTATTGGATAGAGATAATTCAGCAGCAGTAACTGCATCATTATTGTACTCTTTTTTTACTTTCAGCATTACCAATCTCCATCCCCAACTATAAGAAATCCTCTAAAATTAGATATATCAATAAACAATTATCAATTTTCTATTTTAAAGAACTACAGTCTTAGGATCTATTGATGAATAATATTGGATTACTAAATTATTTTAATTAACTCAAGTTAATTCAATAATCTATCCAATTTTTTAAGATTATTACTTGGTGAATAAGGGAAAAGCTTTAATTAATATAAAGTTTGTAAATTTCAAAGGTGAAAAGGTTTAACCAACAGAAGTCAAAGCTTTCATTAATAATGAAAATTACACTTATACACCAATAAAGTCAAAAGAATTTAGTGGTTATTTTGAAGTTTCATAAGTTGGCTCACTTCCTTTTGAATTACATTTCCCTAATTATGTTGTAAGATTTATTATTAAAGATTTAAGTTTAAATACACAGTTAAAATATTACATGAGATTGAGATTGAGGAAGTTATGTTTGATGTTGTTGATTCCAAGACTTCAAAACCAAATTTCCATCATAGTGTTGAAAATGGAGAAGAATATCCTGCAATTCTAAATGCAAATGAAAAAAGTTTCCTTCATGTCATTATTAAAGTAATTAACTAATTTAAGTAGACTAAAAAATAAGTTAAATCATAAGTTGCCATTAGATTAGTTCATCCTAAACATCCATCTGCTACTACATAAGTTTTTGCAGAGTATGATACAAAAAGAAAGATTTATTATGGTATTATTGATTTTGGAGATCCTGATCATGTTACACCACTTAATGCAATCTATTAAGTTGAATTACTTTTAGCTGATTCAAATGTTCTACCTAAGAGATGGAGTTTCCTTAAAATAGATACTAAATTTTAAGCTTAAACTACCTTCTAAAATGATAACTATTATAAATTGCCTTAGGAAATTGTTCATTAATTCAATTAAGAATAACCTGAAGTTCCATTCCTTGTAAGTTTATTATTATATTCTAGTTTGTTTCATTCTTTGTTGTAATTATTGTTATTGCATTTGTATTTTTCCTCAGAATCCTCTCAAATTTAAACTTAAGCTTTGACAAATTGCCTAAAGACAATTCAACCATTGTTTATTTGTTTCTTGCTTTAATCATTGGATTATTTGTTGTTTTAACACTATTTTGGATTAAATTAAATTTGATTGAGACAGTAACAGTATTAGGAATCTTAAGTGTACCATTAGTAGTTGTTGGAAACTATGCACTTTTAGCATTAAGAAAATCAGAAAAATTAGATTGATAAATAATATATATAATGCAATGTGTATTTTAATTATTTTTTTGTAATAATATAAAATCAATTATATATATATAAAATGAATTATAATTATATCCTATATTATTAATAAGTTTTGTTTCTCTTTAACAATCTAGTAATGTTATCAAAAGAGTTAATCTGTAATTTCTTTAAAAAAAATTAAGGAGTCCATTGTGAATTGGATAAATAATGGTCTTTTTAAATATAATATTTATCTTTTAGATAAAGTTAAATAATATAAAAAATAAATATATAATTAACTCATTATTTATTTAGATGAATATGAAGAATATTCATAAGTTTTTTATTTTCACAAATAGTTTAATTAAATAAAATTTGTAGAATAATAAATAATTAAGATAACTAATAAAACATAATTATATGATAAAAATGATCTTTTTATTCTTTTCATTAAAATAATTAATTATATTGGTATATAGTTTTATAAGAATTAATAAAGTCTTACATATTTGTTGAAGGATTGAATTCATTTTAAATTCTAAAATAAGAGAATGAAATTTATATATTTTTAATTTCAAACTAAAAATGTTGAGACTTATAAATAAAAGGAATATATTATCTATCAAAATTTTGGGAAATAAATAATAATATAAAATATATAATAAGTAAATATGATTCCAAAAAGAGCCAAAATCTCTAGTTTATATGAAGAGAGTAAAACAATATCTCTTGATGATATGGAAACTCCTTAATTTAACAATACAAGAAGAAGAGTACTAACATAAATTGAAGATGATCAACCTAAATTAATTTTACCAAAGATTAAGTTAGGAAATAAGCACTCTAATCCTTAAAATATAAATAATAATGAGAAAAAGTTTAAATTAACTGGAGCTAAAGATGCATTTTTTAGACCAAGATAAATTAATAAGTTACCGTAAATAATCTAAAAATAAGGATTGAAAAAAAATGAAATTAATCTATCTTAACCTGAAATTAGAGAATTATATTCCTACTAACGTAATAAAGCATCTGCCTATACTCTCAGTATTCATGATTGATATTTGTAAAGCATATTTCACAACTAATTATTATATTTATTATTATTGATTATTCAATGTATTATCAGGAGAATTATAGAAAAGCTCATCAATATCTCATCTAAAGACAAAAATAAATTGATTTTCAACCAAATAAATTAAATCAACCATAGATTATTACTATACGTAAAATCTTAGAAGTAATACGTTCAAAAGACAGAAGTAATAGTTACTTAAAATACAAAAAAACTACAGGATAAGAAAAAAAAGAAGAAACTCATTCACCATAGAGGCTTATTACTTCAAACTAAGAACCTAAAAATCATAATCGATCTATTGTATCTAAATTATTAAGATTAAATAAAATCACTCGAAATAAAACTTAAGTTACACCTATTTAATATAATTTTATAGATAGAATTATAGAGCCTACTAAAAAAAAAATAGAAATCTAATCTGAAAGAAATTCGCCTTTAAGAATTCGAAAAAATATACCATGTATTGACTATTAAATGTCTACTTAAGTACTAGTTTCGGATAATCAGAAATAAGTCAATAACAATATGACTGATAGACAATTTTTCATTTAGAAACCTAGACTTATAGAAAATATTAATTAATAACAAGCTTAAAGTAAGAGTATATAGAATTTTCTATCTCATCATTAAAGTATTCGTACAGAATAAGCAAGTCCATCTTTAAGGAGATTAAATAAAACTAGTTATCAATGTGAATAAACAAAAAATAATACTAATTAAATTAAAAATGAAAATATTGATAAATAGATATAATTAATTAGAAAAGTAAGTGGTTGGACTATTTAAAGTTAAGATAGTATTTAAACACCATTCTGAACTTTATGATTTTTTCTATTTGTTACTAAATTTTTTTATAATATTACAATTAATATGTTTAAACATTATGAAACAGGTGTAGATGATTTAATCCTGAAATTGTAGAAACAAATAAGAACTACTAATTTTGAATTAAAAAGGATGAATCGTTTTATTCTTCCTTAAATAATAAACAAGAGCTCTGAAAGTGAACAATGTAAGAAGGTTCTTAAAACTTTGGAGGATCCAATAATGAAGCAATATTCTAATCAAAAGTATTTAGACCATAGTGAAAATTCAATCCGTAATAAATCATATGAAGTAAAAAAAAGTAATTGTATCAAACCTCCAGTTGAATTAGTAAAATTAGATGAATGTTAAGTATTTGTTTGGAGAATTTCAAATAAAAAACCTTACAACACCTTTAGAAACTCCAGATTTTCAAATGCGTAAAAATGATTTGAATTACTAAGCTTATTATATGTTTATATACATGGTATCATTAATATTATTATATAAAATCATTTATATCAAGCTAAGAATACAATGATTAATTATTCTTGTATGTATCAATACAATATTTCTTAATTTATTACATTATTTAGTTTAGTCTTAACATCTTCTATTGTTTATTAGAATTTAAAGATGATATATTTCTAATTAAAATAAATAAAGTAAACAATTTCCATAAATTATTGGTATTATCCTCAATTATTTTTAATTCTAATATTTATTATATAAGAAATGAATACATATGCTTTGAAATTATAAACAAAAGTATATATCATTGGAAGTCTTATTTCAATAGCAGCTGCCTATGATTATCTACTTGATGTTAGATATATAAATAAAGTTTATGATATCAAATAAGAAATTAATAAACCAGTTTTAGCTATTTCCAAAAAAGTACATAAAATTGAACCAAAAAAATTAAAAGATTAGCTGATTGTGATGATGTAAATATATTTTTAATTAAGACATCCATTATCTTAAGAACATATTATAACAAGAGTGGAATTAGTAGAACAAGATAAATTAATTCATTAAGAATAAAATTCATTATTTGAAATGCAACTTCCTTAAGGAACATTTTATGGAAGAATAAATGAGAAAAAATTAATGCAAAATGATTTTGGTAATATTCAATCGCAATCTTAAATTATTGGGATTCCTTTTTTATTAATATGAAAATGATTATAAAGAATCAAATATTGAGTTTAAAATATAAAATCACATACTAAATATTAATGGAAAGTGTGGATCCTCTTTTTATCTGTCTTTAATAGAAGTCAAAGTTTTGATAAGATCATAATTGATTTCATGTGTAACAATTGAATCTTTATTATAATTTGGATGTGATATAACAAAATCTCTCATCCATGTAGCAAGAGTTTTAGTATTTCCATAAACTTTACTTTTTACAAATTCTATGACTTCATCTTAAAGTTTCTTGTTCTTTTAATATATATATTCTTCCTTTTATGCACATTATTATTTACTAACAATATTTCTATTTTAGTAAATTAATCCTATTATTCCAATAAAAGATCCATCTTATTTACCAAAAAATATTTCTTTTAAAGATAATTCTTCTATTACAGCAGGACCATATTCTTAAAAGTTAGTTCTAAAAAAGAATTTTTAATTTAAAATAGCTCCTTTTTCTTTTGATCTTCTCATATTTTCATCAACAAGAGATAAAGGCATATAAAAATTAACTGGAATTAAGTTCTAAAGATAAAATTAATAAATTACTGTAAAGAATAATCGAACAATCATTAGTATCATTATAGACCATGCAGCATTTTCTTCAGCAGTCAATTAAATTTCCATTGTTCTAAATTCTACTCTCCATCCTATTTTTGAATTATATGAAGGAGGTGGTTTAAATCTTACTGAATTCCAATTACTTGATTAGATTGCTTCAAAATGTGCTGTATTATCATCAATATGTATTTTATCTTTAAACATAACCATATTATCTCTTAAAAATAAGATTCCTAAATGTCTAAGTAATTTATCATCTAAAGGAATTTCCATTTCTTTTGCTTTTTATTTAGCAAATTACATAATTTCTTCATTAGCTGGAAAATTAAGATCATTATATTCCTCTAAATTCATTTTATCATTAGAAATGAAATATGAAATAGAAGAATATCTTGATTTAGGTATATAATTTGGATTTTTAGGATTTCTTTCATATTCACTTCTACAATCAACTGACATTTCTAAACAATCCCATTTAGTATCCCAATTAGATAATTTTCCTTTATATATTGGACTACCTGCAGTTAAAGCTGCAAATAAAGGAGCCAATACAGCTAATTAATCATACAATAATCTTGCATGATCTATATCAATACTCAAATAAGTAGTTTAGAGTGCACAATTTCCCATTCCAAAACCCATATGATCCATTGTTATAAATCTAATAATTATAAAATAATAGAAATACCCTGGATTTGGTTCATATTCACTCTATTCTACATTTGTATTTTAATCAATATACAATGGTATTTTGATTTCAACTTTTGATCCTCTTCTTAATCTAATATTTTAAGCTAAAGTTGAATATCTAGGATGTGGATTAATGATTCTATCATCAAAGTATATACTTTAAGAAAAGTAATTACAAATAGGTTCAACTGGTAATTCTTTATATGGTGTTGCTGGTTAAATCAATTTTTCATTTTGGAATTATTTTTCATCTTATTACAAAGTTGGAGTTCCTTCTATATAACTTGTTTGACTTCTGATCTTCTCAATCATAGAAGCTGTTAAATCACTCTCAACAGTTGTTGTAAATCTACCAACTCCCATCATTGGATAGACAGGGATAAGTAAATATTGATTTCCTTATGGTAAATAACTTTAGAGTGTTTGAATTCTTTTTCTCATATTTATTAAGACTTAATCAAAATTGAAACACATGCATTAATATGGTTTATTTGGAGTTAATTCAATCATCCAAGCACCAAATTCTGGTAATATTACAAATGGTAACTTTTTTTATTGTTCTTCACCTAAACTTTAAAATAAACCACCTATATTAATCTATATTTATATTTACTAGTATTAGGATTCAAAAGTGCTAATTTCTAATCATCATACAATTTTATAACATGACCTTCAAATTCATCACCCCAGAATAATTACATTTTAGTCTATACTTATTTCAGATTAGGATCTGAGAGATGTTCAAATTAATGTTCATGTAATTAGAATTTTCCAAAGATTTTTAACAAACTCAAAAATTACACTATTCCTTTTTCTTTAAGCATCTATTAAAATGCTAAAGATTCAAAGTAATCATAAGTTACTCCTTTATCGTTCAAATACCCCATTGAATAAGATTTTTATTTTTTTAATGAATTTCTAAATTCTTAATATTTGTATATATATTAACAATTCATTATTAAAATAACAATTTTTACGGAAGTTATTACATATTATCCCAATTATAATAAACTAATGTCTTATCAAATGTTGGAATACTAAATAAACTTTTCCCTGTATATTATTTCATTTCATTTTCAAATTCCAATTTTTCCTCCATATTCTTAACTATTTATAATTATAATTATATAAATACATTCTTTTTTTCTTATATCTTATTATATTTAAGGTAATTCCCCATCTATTTATTCTTTCATATTATATAATATTCTATGTAAATGAAATTCCTTTTGAGTTTAATCAAATTCATTAAACTATTATAAGTGTTCTCTTATTATATTTATTGAATCATTCAAACTAATTTTATCAATTTTATCATTTTTCTAATATAATACAAATTATCCTCTTGGAAGAATAGCTAAATAAATTTATTCTTTGACTAAATGTTTAAATATGTTGAATTAATCAAAATATTCTTCTGATCTTTCAAAAACATATTTTTTTTATTCTTCATCAGTTAAGTATTCTAGTAATATATTTTTTAATTCTTCATCATTAATATCAACAGATCTCATTAACATTGTGTCTCCATTTTTAAATGATTAAGATAAATTTATTCCAATTTATTTATTTATATCCATTTATTCCACTCCTAATCCAATTACTATTGCAAATGTGCTATTTGGTTGATGGAATTATTCTTAGAAATAATATAATTTGAATTATTTTTAATTTTTTTATTTCATTTATAATTTAAATTAATGTTTTATTTTCATATTATTTTAATCTATAGAAAGTAATAAACTTAATAATTTATTCATATTTATTTGATATTATTTATAAAAATAAAGATTCAATTCACTTGAATGATATATATATATTAATTGTGAAAGAACTACAATAAAAAAATTATTAAAGAATTCTGTTAAGTAATTACTACTTCTATTAAATTATTAAAATACTTTTGTTAATTCTTTCAATTGACTAATAAATTATCTAAATATCTTAATGTATAATTTATTTTATTAAATTATATCAAAATATTATAAATTTGAATAGTAATATGATCATTCTTAAGTTGAATTTGAAATTGAAATATTAAAATAATACTTAGGTTTTAAGAATAATGACATTATCTAAATTTTTTGAATTATTTAATAATAAAAGTTATTACTATATTTTATCTGTTAAATGAATATTGATCTCACAGAATAATTGCAAAAATACAGGCAAGAAATTCATAGTAAATTCAAATAAAAACAAATAATGGCTTAAACTATCTTTAAATTAGTATACATCTATTGATATTTTAATCTAGGCTTCTTAATAAAATAAAAAAGACAATGTCAATTTAGCTACTTTGAAATAAGACTTAGGTAAATAAAAAACTAAATAGAGAACTTCAGTTACAAGTATTTAAAAAATCTATATAATTTAGATTTTTAAGGAAGTCCTTTGAAAAATATGATAAGACAAAATTAATCACCAAATGCTTAAATGAGAAATGAATTTAATTCATCAAAGTTTATTAGTCCTATGAGATCTATGTCTCAATTTAAATAATCACCTTAATAATCAAAGTTTTAAATTCCTACACCAAGAGATGCTAATTAAACTTAAAGTGCTGTTAAATTATATTCATCAAAATATTAAAAAGTATTACCAAGTGAGTAAGGCAATTACTATGGTCAACTTTAAGCCAAATTGGATGGTTTAGCATAATTGATAGGATCTGAAGAAGATTATCATTAAAATGCTAAAGATGTTGAAAATGTAATTGAAGAAACAATTAACAATTTTCATAATTCAAATAAATAGAATAGATTTGATTAAATAAAAAGTTAATAGTAAGTACTTGAATAAGATTTGAAACAATTAAACTTTAAAATATCAAGATTTAATGTATATAAAGATTGATCAAATTATGAAAAGTTACTTTTTTATTTTTTATTTTATATATAATAACTTATAAAAATGTAAAATAATTATACATCAATAAAATGTTTATATATATCTAATTCTAATTAGATTAATAAAGAATTCTTTTATAAATTATTGCTTGATATTTTAATTATATTATTTACATAATTGTTTTTGAATCAAAATTAAAGATAAAAGAAATAAATTTTTATTGATAATAAATTATATCAAAAATGTCTGAATCTAATGTTAAAGGGAGAGTTTAAGCAATATTTGAAAAATTAGACAACATCTCAACTAGTGTCCAAGATGAGTAATCATTTTATGCATTTCTTTTATTCTAGGAAGAACAGTAGATTTCATACTATCTCATAACTCATTATGGCTTTTGAAGCATAATTACAACATAATTCAGAATAAAAAGAAGAAAAATTCAATTACCTTGCATCAAGAATGAGATAACTAAGTGAATATTTAGAATAGGAATAGGAGGAGTATTATATTATAATTATTAATTATAGTCGTATTAGATAAGAAGCTGAAACCTAAAAATTACTAACTGATTTGGAAAGACATGCTCGAAAATTAATAGAATAGAACTCAAATTAACGAGTAGAATAAGAAAGAAAAATTGTTTATTAGATTGGTTAATAGATAGATAATTTATAAGGTGAAGTAGTTAAAGAAGGAATTGTAATAATTTATAACAATATTTTAGTCTTAATCTGAATCATATTAATTTGTTGATGCATATATAAATGAAGATCTTCCAAAATTAGCAGATTAATTATAAAATGAAATTGGAGAGAGAAAAGAAGTAGAGGAAAAAATTTAGGTATAATTCTTCCAATAATTAACAGATTTAAAAGAGGCTTTTGATAGGTAAACAAAAGATTATATATATTATTATAGAGAGAAAAAGGAAAGAGAAGCAAAAGAAGAAGAAATTGTTGAAAGTTTAAGAGAAATATCAGGTAGAATAAGTGAAGCTTTGAAAAAGACAAGAACAGAAAGAGAAAAGACAGAAGAAACTCTTGTATAATTGGTTGAGAAAGTAGTTGAAAAGATTAAACGTGAAATGTTAGAAATGAATTTATGAAAATCATTTCTCATAAATAATTATGAAATAAATTATATTCAATTTAACTGAGAACATAAAACCCTTTATTATAAGAACCAATTAGTAATTGCAAAACTGTTAATTTTTTAACCTCTTTTAAAATTAAGCATTCTTAATAATATTCAGTAATAGGAACTTTAAACATATTTTATTAAAGAAACATAATTAGTTTCAAATCTAAAATTTTTTATCATTCTCTTAACAATTTGATACATCAAGACAATAAATAATATCAAATTACTTTAATTAGTTGAAGAAAATTATTTGAAATCATTAAAAATTAAAAATATAAAAAGATCAATAACAAAGTTAATTTAATAAACTACTTATTAGATATTTCTATAATAACAAAATAAATATTTGTTTTATAAACTTTATTTCTATTGTCTTATTATAAATTTAAATAGATTTTAAAATTTTAAACTGAAATTTAAGTTTAAATGAAGATATTACATGATTATAATAAGTCCAACCATTATTGAGATGAATGAGATATATATTTAAAGAAAAAAAATTATATTATAGTTATTAAAGATTCAAATAGAATTATTTATACAAGTATGAAATTGAATTTTACAAAAAGGTTTAGTATAATCTCATAGTTTGAATTATAAATAAACAAAGTTAACATAGGAAATTAAATAAATTTTGTATATTCTGTTCCATAAAGAAATGTAGAATAATTAATTATTGGTATTATTTACCTGAATTTTTATGTAAAAGCATATTTAATATATTAAATTATAAAAAATAATGGGATAACCCAATCAGAAGGCTGCACCTGTTAAAGCAAGAGATCCTATGGACATTCAATTAGATCTAAGAATGACATAGAAACGTCTAGAATCTGAATCAAAAAGAAGTTTAAAAGAATAAGATAAGAATATTGCAAAGGCAAAAGAGGCTTTAAAAAAAAATAATGAAGAAGGAGCTAAGCTATTTTTATAAACAGCTATGGCAAAGAAATAGGAGAGTGAAAATTTATAAAAAATGGCAACAAGGATTTAATTTGTGGAATCACAAGTAAAAAGTTCATAAGCCAATGCTGATGTATAAATAAAATTTATAAGTAATTTAGATGATGTAATAATTGAATGTTGTTACACCAATTATGTAATAATATGCAAATACTATGTCAGTTGAATAATTATATTAAAATATTAATCAATTTGATAGAGCTTTAGATGACATTATGGTATAAGGTAAAGTAGTTGATTCAATGATGAATAAAAATTCAAATGATTTTTAAACAAACATGGCAGTCGATTAGATGATGTAATAATTAAAGAAAGAAGAAGCATTAAAATTATAAGAGCTTTAACCATCAAGTATAAATTTGTTTAATATAATTATTAGATATGTAATTTCAACAATTACAATAATAGTAATAGTAACCTTAATATCAAAACCAATAGCAATATCAATAATAGAAATATTGATTTAGATAAACAAAATATATCATTAAATTATGAAATTTCTCAAACTTAACCTTAAAGATCAACTAAAATAACTGTGATATCATCATGCAACTTTCTTCTTTTACCTAATGGAATCTTTCTAATATCTTCATCAGACATTTTATTAGATTTGGCTGCATGAGATAAGGATTCTTCAAAAATTTGTTTAATAATTTCGTCTTTGTTATTTTAATTCTTTTAAACAATCTATTAATAGTATGAAATGATACTTTTGAGATTTCAGACTTTGTTAATTCATCCCATAATCCATCAGAACCTAAAACTAAATATCTATCTCCTTTTTAAATTTCAAATACATTTTAATCTGGTGTAGACTAGAAATAAATAAACTAAATACACTAATATAAGGTCCTTTAAAATTCGAGATAGATTTCAAATATCCTTTATCTTCTGATATATTTTTAGGATTGTTAAACTCTTAGAATTTTAATCTAAAGTCACCTAAAGATCTAGTAGGCTATAATCTTCCTTTAACATAACAACTCTTATTTCCATTTTTACAAACAACAATATCATCATCAGAGAATATAGATTTTAATCTTCTTTATTCTTTTTTAGAATTTGCATTTAAAGTATGATTAATTTTCTTATAAGCTTTTTCATTTGCTATTAAAATTAAAAATTATATTTACTTTTATTATTGACATTAACAATAATTCCTTTACTATCTCCTAAATTTGCACTATATACTTTGTTTCCCACAACTATTGCAGTTAGAGCACAACTTCCAACTCTAGCTACTGATGGAAATCCCATATTATATGCTTATAATGCCACTTTATAAAATTCTTCTTCCACATCAGAATAAGCTTATGATATACTTTATTAGATTAAATCATCTTGATTCAATATTTTATCTTGATTTCTTAGAACATATTAATCAATTTTCTCATGCAAGATATTCATAGCTAATTCTGCTAATTACCAACCTCCATGTCCATCAAAAACACTGACTGCATAACCATTAATATTTTTAAGTTAACTTACTTTATATCTATCTTCAATAGGATTGTTTGCTGCATATTAGAGTAATACAACTCGTTAATCTAATTAATTTTTTTTTAAAGATGAAGATCCAAAAAAGCATTTAGTATCATCATTAATATAAAGATGACATCCATATATCATAATCAAGGGTAAAACAATATTCTTATAATTATTTTGATGTTTTTCATTATTTTCACCAGAATATGATTTAGATAGATCACAATAATTAGCATTATTTTCATAAACTATAAATTAAGCATTAAAGCCATATTTTGCATCAAGAAATTATTAATTAGGTTTAGTGTACCTAAATAATAATTCATCAAGAGCAGTAAGACCAGATTATTTCTTACTTTTTCTTTTTGTTTTTTAATCTAATTTAAAAAGTATATCTATAACATACCTGGAAGTACTAATGATTTGATAGTTCTATTAAAAAGAAATGACAGTGGTTTTTAGATCAAGGATGTTAAATTCTTATACATTTTTATGGTTAATTAATATATTTATTAAATTAATAGGGACATTATCATAAATATAATTAAATATATCAAATGCCCATGCTTTTGTACTTATTGCATAATTTAGTACTTGGTTGTATAATACAATAATAAACAATATAAACAATGAATGATCCAATAAGAGGCCCAACAACAAATACCCATACATCATTCCTCAAAATATCACTTCTATTCTCCACATATGCAACTGCAAGATTCATACCGATTGCAATGGTAGGATTCATACATCCACCAGAATGCGGTGATAATTTTCTTGAATAATATATTGCCAATGTTAACAATATAGTATTATATACTGGAGTCTTAAAAACTGCTGTTTTTCTTTCAAATAACAATACATTCATGAACTAGAAGGATGTAGTTGCTAATATCTCTCCACATAAATCAGATAAGATCCAAATCTACTCATGACTTTATAGTCTTGGACTGGAGATTTGACCTGTTAATAAGTAACAAACTATTCAACATATGATACCCGAAATAAGCGCCTGTCATAAACCCCAATATTCCTACAATAATTTGTAAGACTCCTCTAAATCTATTGATTGGATAATGAGGTCTAAACATTAATATCAAAGTCACAGCTATGTGATAATGAGCTCCACTATGTCTTGCAGAAAATAACATTGCTATTTTTCTAATCAATAATAAATATTTACAAAAGAATATCACTAATTATATTTAGAAATCATCTTTAGCTGACTATAATCCAATACCAAATAACGTTGTTCCCAGATACTCTAATATCAAAATACGTTATAATTTTCTATCTGTAAATGGTTAATAAAAGTTTATCACTGTTGAAGCTCTTGAACTATCATATATAACATTAAGAATTATACATATCAGATATTCTTCGATTTTCTGAAATTCTTCTCAAAATACTCATTTTTTAAATATATATCAAATAATTAAAAATTCAATAAAGTTTTTAAGTTTTATTAAGGATTATTTAAAAAATAATAAATAAATATTGGTTTCAGTTGTAATTATTTTCAAGATTGTGATTTAATAATAATATCATTTTAATCTAATTCATTTATATTCAATCATTTGAAATTTATTTAGAATCGTAAATTCCAAATAAATTATATATAATATGAAAATATTTATAAGATAATTGGAAATTGTATATATTTGCAACCTCAATATTTATTGTAGTCTTTTAATATAATATTACTCTATTTTTAATAACTAATTGAATTTAGAAATAATTATATATTGAAAATATTTAATATTAAATTCAAAAATGTACCGTATTGGTGATCAGATGAGTAAAACCAGTTAAAGTAGAGAGAATAGTAATTCAAATTTAGAGGAATGTATGCATAACATATAGAGCAATCTAAAAATGATATATGGAAAGGATGAAGAAGAAGTTCATCTTGGATCTTATAATGTTAATGCAGTTTCAGGATTTCATAGTTAATTCCTTAGTAATAAGGATGATCAATATGATTCTCAAAGAATGCATTATACATCTTAGCAATCTAATGATTTTATGCTTGAAGACAAGAATAAATAAATTCGTTAACTCAATAAAGAATTAGCAGATTTAAGAAAAGGATAATAGATGACTTAATTTGAACAATATGAACATTATTAAAAAATAATTGATAGTTTAAAAAAGGAAAATGTTCTTTTGTAATAAAGAGTACTTAATAATGAAGCTGTTTAATAACTTAATAGTGATAGAGTTATTGAATAACAAGAATAAATAAAAGAATATGAATAGAAATTGGATTAACAAAATTAATAAATATCTAGTTTAAATTTACAATTAAAGGATACAAAAGATTAATTGAAATTATATACAACTAAATCTCAAATTTCAAAATAAGAATAATAATCTTAATCAAAATAATATAATTAATTATAATAAGAATATGATGAACTCTAAAGAAGATATATCAAATAATAATAAGAAAATGAAAATATGAAAGTATTAATTGAATAATTATAAAATGATCTTGATAAAAGATTAGAAACTTAAAATGATACTTAAGTAATTGAAATAATTGAAGAAGTTTTATAAACAATATCTTAATTTGTAAGAGAATATGATTATGAATTATAAAAATCAGAATATTAATACAAATTTTCTAATGAATTAAAAGATATCATTAAAGGATTTATTACATAAAGAGAGTATATATTTATTAATTATTTAATTTAGTTTATCAATTTGGTAGAATATTGATAGATTAAGTAGTTTAATAATATCATTATTTGAATAACTTACATTTGATGTAAAATAGATTCATTCAGATAATATAAAAATAAAAAATATGACATTATAAATAGAATCATTAGAATAGATGACTGTATAATTAGAATAGACTATTAGTTAATATGAAATTATAAGTAATTAACAATAAAACTATTTGAAATTGTAATTATTATATATTAATACTTAATTTTAGTAATGATGATCAAAATAAATAAGAAAAAGAAGAATTAGTAAATGTTCTGATTAATAGAACATTAAATGATTAATAAATAAATTGTTATGATAAAATGATAAAGAATTTAGAAGAAGTTAATTAGGCATAATAAAATGAGATTAAAGAATTAAAAGATAAATTATCCTTTTAAATTGAATAAAATTAGTTATATTAAAAATAATATTAAGAAGAATAACATTAATAGAAAATCTATGAAAGTAAATTTAAAAAATCACATTATGATAGTCTATTTTTGAAAGAAATCATGAATAAGTATATTTATTGATTAATTTCTTTAGATTAGTAATATTGATTGGTAATGAAATGACTACAAAAACTATTGAATAAATTTAAGAGATTTAATAGAAAATAAATGATTAATATTGTGATGAAATAGATATAAAAAGTAAATTAGAAATAAAAGAATAAGATCTTAAAATATAAATTAATGAAAATAAATTAAATATGAATGAAATGATAGAAAAAAGAAGAGAAATTGAAATTCTTAGAAATACATTAAGAAATTGTTAAAAATAAATAGAAATGAATAAAGAAAAAGTTGATATGTTAGTTAGAGATTTAGATCATAATGTTATGTAAGAAAAAAGTCAATAGTTTTCAATTTCATATTTACCAAAAACATTCAAAAAAGAAAATGAAAATTTGGCTTAGAAATTACAAAAAACTATGAGAATGTGATGATCTTGTAATTTACTTACAATTATATTATTTCTTTATTATTTTATTCAATTCACTTATGAGATTTGATTAAAATACTATATTGCCTAATTATAGAGATTTGTATATTTAAGTATTTCCTCATGTGTTCTTTCTGGAGCATGAATAATACTTTTTATACACTCAGAAGCATTTATAAGATTTCCTATTTTTGTTTAATCAAAGGCTATCTTTAATTTTTATATTATTTCCTATATATTATATATATATAACTCACATCTTATAGAAATATCTATTGCATTTCAATTAAAATATGTTAAAATACTATTTATATTGGATCTTCTTATTTTGTTTAAGGAAGTGGCGAATTAATCACTTAAATTTATTATAAATTCATTGTATTTGATTATTAAGAAGTATCAGGATCTAATTTAGATTAAGTTCAATACCATGCATATATTAACAATTTGATCCATTTTTACAATAATTTTAAGCATGGTATTTACAAGGGACTGAATTTAAATTCTTCAATTTATACTTTAAAATACAGATGATAAAGGTTTATTGATAGGTTATTCAATTCCACTAGTCATAGCTGATAAAGCAGATGCAGGTAAAGGATCTGATCTTAATTACTATAAAAATTACCATTCATTTATCTTTGCTCTGACGTACCATGAGCAAATTGACATTTAGCTCCAATAGCACATTATTTAGTAGCTATTTATAATCAAATTTATACCTAAATAATGTCTGCATAACATAGTTTTATATTTTGCATTTGGTACACTTTAAGATTAAAGTTAGCTTCCTCCAAATTAATAAGACATAAATTTAATTATAATTGTATTTATTAAATTTCTTTAACACTTAATCTTATCACAAATAGGCTCTAAATATGATATATGAGTATCTAATTACCATATTAAAAATATATCCTTACATTTTTAATATTTTATAATAATAGATTTCCGTTTTACATAAAATTATATCAATTTTAAATAGAATGATATGAGAATTTCATATTATATTATAGTTAATTATGAAATTTATGACTCTTGATTTTAATAATCAAACTTATTGTGATATAAAGAAAGATAATTTTATTTTTAAAACAAAATTATCTTGTAAATAAATTATTTATTAAAATTAATAATGTATCATAAATAAATGAGACAACTCAACAAGAATAATTAAAAACTTTTTAGGTCAATTTCTTGCATATTGTTGTAGAGAATAGATTAAAAATAGTTATTTTGATTTCAAATTTAATTGTGTATTGCACTTAAACTAGTTGAGACAAGCTTCTATTAAAATATTAATTGAAATATAATTATAAATAAGTATTATAGACATATATATCTTAGTTAATATATACCAATAAAGAAATAAAAAGACTGAGTGATTACAAAAGATATCTGAAATGAGTCTAAAGAATCATATTTGATCCTTATATTAAAATAAATGAGATAAAATAAGCTTAAATTTGATACTGCTTTAAACAGGATTTTAGTACTTCTACTGAAGAAATTTCAATGTAAAAAATTAATTTTAAATATATTAGATTTTATAAATTTCAATTTTTAAGTGTTAGTTTATTCTCAATTTTTAAATGATTAAATATTTTATTCTTTTTTATCATGTTCACTATTACTTTAATCAAAAATTATTATTAGATTAAATTTTTCATTTTCTAGATACTTTTTTAAAGCATTATTGATTTAATTGTAACTTATATCTATTTATTCAAGTTTATTGCCTAAATTAGTAAGTAAACTCAATATATCATCTGCTTATAGCATTAGACAAAATCTAATACTTAGAATTTTTAAATTAGAAGCAATTATATATTATATTGATAATTCAGTGATTTTAGAATTATCAAATCCTAAATTAATTAGTTATTTAAATGTAGATAATATTGTAATTAATGAACTATCACTTAAATTATTCTAACTTAAGTTTAATTACTATAATTAATTTAAATTTAAATTTGAACTTAATATGTTAACATCTTTGTCATCAATTTAACAATTTTGTAATTATAATATAGTTAATTTATTGAATTCTTATGAGAGAAATACTCTTTTCTAACCAATAATTAGGTTGATAAATTTGATTTCTGAAACATCTGAATCTATTTAAATATTTTTGACTTAAAGATTTGTTAATGAGATTGATCTTTATTTGATTTATATATTGTAAATGGATGTATTTTAGCTAGTTGAAATTAATAATTTTGATTTTATTAAACATTCTAAATTTAAGACAAAGATAATATCTTATGATTTCATTTCACATTATTCTAAATTTAAATAATTATATTTATTATCTCTTTTTAAACTATAAAATTAATTTAGTTTAGGATTATTTGATATATCCAAACAATTTAAGAATGTTATTTATTACAAAGCTGTTAATACAGAGTTATTTAAGTCACAACCTGACATATATAATTCTTAAACTTTTTCCTATTTAGCATTAATTTAAGCAATTGTTTATGTTATCAAAGTTAAATTAATGAAAGAACATTCACTAATATTAAAACTAGTTAAAGCAATAAAAGATTTGTTTTTCCATACAGCATCAAAAACTGTTTCATTAGATTTAGTTTTACTTATATCTAAAGTAACAAGATTACAAAATTAAGACTATTTGAAAAATCCACAAAGTCCTTGAGTAGTTAAACATTAACATTTTGATAAGTTAAGGTTTGATAATGAAGAAAATGTTGATATAATTGGTAAGGTTAGATCAGTTATATATGTATTACTCAAAATTAGAACTCTGATTTGATTCAAATTTATTTTATTAAAAATATTTTAAGCAAATTATTCATTCTAATTAAATATAATTTAATCTTATCTAATCTCGAGACGATTTAAGTTGAAATTATTGAATAGATTAAGTAATTCATCCAATAAATTTTGGTTATTTGGATTATCATAAAATATGAAATTATGTATTTCAAATTAGAATTATTTTTATAACTTAAGAATTTTCTTAAAGTTAATATTTTGATATTAAAGAAATAAGAGTAGAGATTCTGTGTCAATAGAATATATTTATAAATCTTAAAATGTCATGATTATCTATATTAATTTTTCATTGGTTAGGTTTGAATCTAGAATTAATTTATTTGTATTATGAAATATCTAAAATTGAGGAATAATTCTTATGATTTAAGAATTAATTAATAATTATCCAAGAGTTAATTGGATTTAATTATGAATAGATAATTAATTTTAATTTAAATCTTCCATAAATTCTAAATTAATCATATGATTATTTATAGATTTTATTTTTAATTTTTTACTTTTTAAATATTATTTCTTTATTGTTTCACAACAGTTAGCCAAATTAGTAAATTCATCAGAACCATCAAGATTAGTTTCACATAATTTTAATAATTTTGAACAATTAATTAATTGTATGAATTAAAATATTGAACATCTATTTGTTTCTTATAGAAGAAAATATAAATCATTTTAATTTTTATAATAAATTCCACCCATTAAAATGTAATCAATTCCACAAACATTTAAGAAATATTTTTCTAATAAATATTTTAAATCAGTAGATGTTTCTTAATTTATTTTCATAAAAGTATTTAGAATTAAAACTCCTAAGTTCCAAGTATCAATCAAAAAAGGATTTAAAATTTTATATTATTTTGCTTAATGATCTAATTATATTAATTCAGGTATAGGAAAATTGTGATCCATGTAAACATTTTGTTAATAATTAAATATGAATTAATCAGATTAAACTCTTAATAAATCAGAACAAAATTTAATTAAAAACTTGTTTGATTCTAAATTTAAATAAACATCATTTAAAGTAAAATTGAATAAGCATATATTTTATTAATGTAAAATAGCTAATTATTCTACTAAATCATAAGCTAATTATTTAATTTTTTCATAATTCATTTGATTAATATTAATCATTTAATTTAATGAAATAAAACTACCTTCTTCAATTATTATTCCTAATGAACCATCTAAAATTGAAACAATAGTTTAACTATATTAGAGATTCAATGTATTAAGATAAGGAATAAGTTCAAATATTTCTTCAGTATTGTTGTTCTTGATAAACAAAAAAGTAATTAAAATTATTTTATGATCAAAAAGCACTTTTAAACTAATAAATTCTTCTTGGTTTCTAATATTTTTAATTGATTCTTTTATTATTAGATTATCTATTTTTTCTAAAAAACAAAAGATTGATTTAATGTTTTTAATATCCTGTCCTTGAAGTGATTGTTTAATATATTGGTTTAATAATTCATGACTTGATTAAAACATATTAATTATATCAAATAAATAACTTAAAAAAAGTAAAAAAAGTGTTTAGAATAATTATAAATCTGTTAACTCCCTGTCAGAATCAAAAAGAATAAAGATATATTATAAATGATCATCCTCTATCAATATTAATTTAAATAGTAATGTGTCACATTGATTAATATAATAAAATAATGATTACAATTAGATTAAGTTTCAAAATTTGTCAAACAACCTTAAATTAATAAAGTGTAAAAATGATTAAAGAATGCTTCTTAATTATTTATCATGAACTTAAGTATTTTGATATTCTTCATTCTAAATCTTAAATAGAATGAAGAATAAAATTGTTAAATAACAATCAAAAGTCTCTTGACTAATTATTTTGAATAGAAATATTTATCTCATCATAAGAGATATGATGTTGGACTTAAATGATTATAATGATTAAACTATATTAGAAAATATGTAACTTCTATATCCAATATTAAACATATAATTACTTATTATAGAATACCAATTAATTACTTATTATAAGTACTTTTATGAATAAAAAGAAAGAGAAGAAGAAATGGATTATAGAAGTTAATAAGAATATATTTATAATTATTTATGTTTCGAAAATAATTAAAATCGGTTGATGATAAAAAGACTAATAATCAATCACCTTATCGTTTAAATTTCTTTAATAACTAAATTAAGAATAAAAGGGATTAAGACTTAGGATAAGCTCAAGACATTCTAAATAGAAGAAGATTAAAGAAAAAGGAATCTCTTTCAATATCAAACACATTTCATTTTGATGACCAACAACCTGCTTCATTCAATAGTTTTTTTGTTCATTCATAGAAAAAGCAATAGATAAAAGATAAACTAGTTACTGAAATAGGGAATTGCGGATCTTATAGAAAAAGAGTAGAAACATTACATACATAATAATTTTCAGATGATGACGCAAGATTACATATTGATCGATAAAATGAAAGATTAAGATTGAAACTTTATTTTAGTTTTCAAAAGATGTAAATAAGATTGGTCAATTTAATCAATCTTATTTAATAAATAGATGTATGTACTTTAAATATTTACATTTCTGAAATTTCTTCTGGGACAATTGAAATTATTGGAGTATAAAAATCAAAATAATTAGGGTTATTATAGATAGTATAAAAGATTTATGATAAATGAATGTATTGGTTTAGTTTTCTATTTAATGATTAAGAGAGGGATACTAACAGGGATTGATATAAATAAATGGGAGAAATTACTCATTTATAGTCATTAAGCAAATACTATTTAAACAATCACCTCTCTTAAATTATAGATTAAAGGTGTTTAATAATATTTACATCAGTTTTAGTAATTTCAAAGTATGAATCCACTAATTCCTAGTCAAATTGAAAAAATGAATTTATTAATTGAATAAAATATAGATAAATTGCTAAAGTACATGTTCAAAAATATGAAGGAATACATAAGATAAATAAGTTCAATAGCATCTTTAAGCTTATCGAGATTCATAAATTGATGCAGCATTTTAATTTTACTAATAAAAGCTTAAAGTGATTATTGTCAATCTTGAAAGATTTTTATTTTTGCTACCTAAAAGTTCAACTGTTTATACATTAGTATTGGATTTAGATGAAACATTAGTTCATTTTATAGAAGAAACTCAAGAAGTATTAATTAGACCATACACAGAGATATTTTTAGAATAAATGGGTAAACATTTTGAAATTGTTATATTTACAGCAGGAATCCAATCATATGCAGATAAGTATTTAATTATTTGATTATTTTAAGGATTATAGATAAAATTGATATTATGAATGTAGTAAAACATAGATTATATAGACATCATACTTTTTCATAAGGAAATGTAATGTTGAAAGATTTAAGTACTTTGGGTAGACCTTTATCAAAAACTATTATTGTAGATAATAATCCATATAATTTTGTTTTATAACCACATAATGGTATTAAAATAAAAGCTTGGATTGGAGATGAAAAAGATAGAGCCTTAGTTGAATTGATGCAATTCTTAATAAAATTGACTAAATATGAGGATATAAGAATTGGTTTAAAAGAATTGAAAGCCAACCCTCATTATTTTACAACTTCTTTCTGAATTCTTTATTTAAAGATTGATATAATTATTGGTTACAAAAATGTTTTTTGAATATTAAAATAACTTAAAGATTGCATATATATATATATATATGATAAGAATGAATGAAAAATCTAAAAATTAAAAAATTATAATTATATCATTATATGGATATATATTCAAAATACAAATTCAAATATCAATCAATTTCATCAAGTTATTCTTAAAGAGTTTTCTAATTTTCTATAATTGATTAATCAATTAAGAAAACAGGATTTTTACAATAATCTTTACATTTATTAACTTTTTTGATGGTTTCCATTTATTCTAGAGTGGCTGGTGCTGATGTAGCTTTCAAAATTTAATTGAAGGGATCAGTATTATTATAATAATTTGATGGAATTCCTATAATTTTTCTCTTTTAAGGAATGGGTTGCAATATATCTATTTTATTATGAATCTGCATAATTTATGTATTCTTAATAAATAATTAATTTAAAAAATGGATGAATTAAAAGAAATAATTTAAAATACATATTTATTTTTCATTTATGTTTAGTAAGCATGATAGGTGTGTTATCATTAAAATAATTAGCAGAATTAATAGTTTTTGATATTCCTTATTATTAATGTGATCTTTATTCTTCATTAGATAAAATTTTCTATTTAACACCACTTATCGATGGTTTCTAAATTGTTTATTTCTTTCCTTCCAAACTTTAATTTCTTCTTAAAATCTTTTACTTTCCTAAATTAATAAGATATTAACGTTCATTTGCCAATACTGTTTTACTATCAATAGTTTCTATTATATTTATAATTTAAAATTTACATATTGTTTTACATAATAAAACAATTCTATCTCTATACTTATATACTTAAGTGATTGGATTTCCTCTCAAATCTATTTCTTTAATATTTGGTAAATTGGATATTGAATCTTCAATGTCCTTTAAATATATAAATAAAATACATCAAATTCTTTAATTTTATTATTTTTTAAATTTAAATATTCTAAATTTTGCAAAGAACCTAATGTCAATATAAATTCAACATTAGAATTTTCACAAGTTAAATTAATTAAAGAGAAAGCTGCTAATTCAAATGATTCATCTGGAAATTGAAATTCTTTTGTATTTTAATTAGAAAGAGAGAGAGTATTCAATCTACTAGGCAATATTGGTACAGTAGTTAAACAATTTTTATCAAAGTATGCTTTCTCTAAACTAGGTAATTATTCAAATTCAACTGATTTTAATTAATTATTTTAAGCATTTAGTATTCTCAAGAATTATAAATCCTATAATACTAATTATTACAAATTATTATCATAAATATGGAGTACCTATAGTCCTTTGGCCATGGAAATACAATCATTTAATGATGTTAATCCTAAACCATTAAGTGAAAGCACACAACAATCAGACAATTAATCTTATTTCTTAAGAGGTGGTCTTTTTGAATAATCTTTTTTTTTATTTAAACCTTTGGTCATTAATTCTAATGTTAAGGGTTTAGAATTAGATTTAGCAGATAATGGTTACTTATAAATTTCATTTATGATTTAAATTATTTAAACAGCTTTGTCTTTTTGCACTCCTAATTCTAATAGTATATCAACTGTAAGTTCTTTAGTCTATTCCCATTAATCAAATCCATTATCAACTAAGTCTTAGATTACTTATTTGGATTATAGCAATTCGTAAACTCGTTACACAAAAATCAAAAATAAGTCATCCTCATATTAATTCATAATATATTAAAACTCAAATTATTATATTAAAAGTTTCTATATAAATGATTTTTTAGTCCTTTACAAACAACTTAAATTATGATAATACACACAATAATATTTCATATTCAATTATATTAATGGAATATATAAAGATAGTTGAAACCATCATACCTTTTTTGATTAACAAAATTATGATTACAATAGAGGATAAGATATTTGCAAATTTAGAATCATAATCAAGTGCCTCTTATACAATAAATATGGCCTTTAATATGATGCATTAGTAATGTTTTGATCCTTATTTTCAAAATTATATTGAATAAGAGGATTTTGATCCCAAGAGTTCTAAAAAGGAAAGATTTAGAGCTTATGATATTAAAGACATAGCAGCTGTCTCATTTAGGTTAATATCTAAAATTGAATTGTATCCTTAAGATTAATTTGTGAAACCAATATAATTATGGGAAGATTATGAACCATAACTGGTTAGATAAAAAACAATTGAATATATTGAAGAATATCCAAATGAAAGAAGAATAATGGAATAAAAATACATAGATAAATCAAATAAGGAATAAATATTAAGATAACGATCTAAAGAGAAACGATTAATGAAAGAATAATTTAATAGATTGATAATGCAAATAGGATCAAAAGAATATACTTATGATTATAATTGTGATCCTATTGCAAGATCTAACAATTAAATTAGAAAAGATGTAATAATTACATTGCCATTTGAAGTACCAAAGACTGATAATAATACTGTGATATCGAAACCAAAATTTGTGGAATAGATACGATAGAAACGTAGATAAGCAGATAATGATGATACAATAGTTGAGTTTATTGAATAATAAAAATAAGATATTAAATTATAACCAGGTGTTAGTTTGAGCTTTTAAACTACTGAATATCAGAATACTATATAAAAATAAATATCACAGGAATCTAAATAGACATTTAAGATATTAAATTAAAATAAATAATCAAAAGGATTCAGAGACATAATAAAATTAAACGATATTAATTTATTAACTTATTTATAATAATATAATAATTTGGATTATAATTAAGACAAACTTATATCTAATAGAAATAAGACATAATAAGTTACTCAAACTTATTAGAGTCTAATAGATTAATAGACTATTAAAAGAGATGTATTAAGATTACCTAAATTAAGATAACATTCAATAAATGTTAGAACAAAGATTAAAAGTAGATAATAATAAACCTACTCAATTGTTACTTATAGAGATTGATTAATATATAAATTAATTACACTCACAATAGATAACCAGTGATTTTATATTATCTCATATATCCTTATTCTGATTACATTATTCCTAATAATTAATTAACTTCTTTCATAATATCTTTTTCATCAGATAATAAAATCATTTATCCTTTATATTCCAATAAATATCCTTTCATACATTTATTGAATTCTCCTTTTATTGTTAAAGGTCGATCAACTGATAATATTTTTTCATATTCTAACAATTCAAAATTAGCAGGACAATCAACTCTAATTTAGATTTTATCAATAATTTCTGTTCCAAGAGTTTTCATTCTATGATATTCACCATGAACAAAAGCAATACTTTTTGGTTATAGATGATTCACTAATTAAATGATTCCTCTACTATCAGCATGAGCACTAAATGACATATTATTAATTTGCATTTTGATATCATAATCTTTATTATCTATTCTAACATTTTTGATTCCAGCAAGTAATTTGTTACCTAATGTTCCAGGTACACAATATCCAGGAATTACTAAACTATTATTTGCACATCCACACCACTCTTTAAAAACCTACATACTTAGACCTCCATGTAACATACCAGGTGTAGCCAATAATACCATTGATAATGAACTTTTAATTAGATTTCTATCAAATGGTTAGATGTATTTAAAATTGAATATATTATCATCTAAAAATGACTATTAAATCTTTTCAGATTCCCATCCAGTAAATATCTTATAATATTAATTTGCTTTTTCAATAAGACCAGCAGCATAATATAGACCTGCTTTGCATTTAGTTCTTTACCAATAAGATTCCAATAACACAGACAATTCTTGGGCTCTCCCTAATGCAAATACAGGAATTAAGACTTTTCCTCCTCTATCAAGAACTTCTTAGACATGCATCAAAAAATTTCTTTCTCTTGTTCTTTTGCTATCTCTGATAATTGTAGCATAAGTGCTTTCTGAAATAACTAAATCTGGTTATAATTGATCAATGTAGGCTCCACCTAGATGTCTATCAGCAATAGAATTGTAATCTCCTGTATATACAACTGAGACATTTTTATATTTCACATGAAACATACAAGCCCCCAATAGATGACCAGCATAATAGGCAGTCACTTCAACTCCATCAAAATGTTAGGTTTCATAAAGACCAATTACTTACACTTTATTTACACATGATTTAATATTTTCATGATCATAAATTAATAATGGATCAGTTTTAATTTATGGATTGATACTAAAATCCTATTAAGATTGCTATTAGAATTGTTAATCCTCCTTTGGCATTGTCCAAATCTATACAGATATAAATAATAGATTACTCTTCTATAATCTTCTAACATATATGGTAACAATGCTTTGGTTGGCATAGACATTACTACAGGTCCATTATAGCCATTACCTAAATATATATATATTAATCAAACCATATAATTCTGTGAAATATGGCAATGCACCACAATGATCAAGATGAAAATGTGTGATTAAAACCAAATCAACATATTTACGTCCCAATTTCTCCTCAATTAACTAAATAAATGAATTTTTTCATACTGAAAAATCTGGAAATCTACGATTGTCTTAATGTGTCATGTGTAAACCACAATCCAACATAATCGTTTTATCATAAATTGTTAAAATTATACAACTACGACCAACTTCTTAACCAGACCCTAAGGGATATACTTTAAACATAAATATTTATTTAATAACAATTTATTCATAATGGAGTATTAATCTAACATAATTATTTCATAGCTAAGCAGGATACAATCATTCTCAAATACAAACACTACTTCATTAATCATCAAATTAAATTAGACCCCCTAGATTAGGTCAATATAATACTTAAGGATCCATTGGTTAATCTGAAATGCTCCTATATAAGTATTATTACTCTCTATAAAGTAGTCCTTAGCAAAAATAAACATTAATCTAACAATATTCATCTTCCAATATGGGAATAGCGTATAACATATATATTAATTGGAAGTCCTTTTTCTGCTAGATAAATTGCTACTACACCTGTTGTTTCCTAAAGCATTACATAATCACAGCCTCTTCTAATCACTCCATCTGTTAGAATTGCATCTACTTAACCAAATAATGCTGAGGTTCATCATTAAGAAAGACCTTTATAAGTTGTTACATTAGATGATATGGATTCAAGATGGAAAACAAAATGCAGTATTCTAATTATATAATTTTAAGTGTAATTGGAAGTTTATCTGTTTGATCTTCAACAAGAAAATCTTAGATTAAGAGGTAATGCTCCATAAATTTCTTATGTTTAAGATGATTCTAAAGTATTTGTACTATAATATTTTAGATTAATGAACTTATTAATACAAACAAAGAATTAAAAATTTAAGAATAAGGTCTTAGATAATCTAATAAATCATTATAAGATGAATTAGACTAATGGAAATTAAGATATAAATAATTATAAGAGTCTAATTCTAAAAATTAAGGAGCAGATGATGAAATTAGACTACTTAAAAAGAAAATTAGTAATTATTTATTATAATTTTTAAGGCAGTTTAACAGATGATCTCAAAAGTTCCCAAGAATAAAATCAATTCAAGGATTAAGAAATTCGTAAACTTAAATTACTGATGAATGATAAAGATAATGAACTTGAATCATTAGACTAAAGAATAAGAGAATTAGAACTTTAATTGGAGAGTTACTCATAATCTGAATAATAAATTATTTCTCTTTAAGGAGAAGTAGAATTATGGAAGAAGAAATTCAAATAACAAAATGAAATCAACTCTGATATTTCTGAAAAACTTACTATGGCTGAAACATAATTAGAAGCATTAAAAAAGAGCAAAGTTACAGTAACTAAAGAGAGTGAAATCAAAAGAACTGGACCATCAGGTACTGGAGTCACTACCTAATTTGAAACAAGTACCATTAAAGGAGCTACTATTGGTCCTGGAGGATATAGCACTTATGGAAGTAACAACAGTGGGAGAAATTCAGTTGTTAGAAATTCAGGATATAATGAAAGAAAATAATTATGATGATGTATTTTTGACATTTATCTAATGCAATTTTATATTGTATTAATCATATTCTGAAAATTTAAATAATTTATTTAAAATCTTTTAATCATGGGAGTTGGTAAACCCAGAGGTATGAGAGCAGGAAGAAAGCTCAAAGATCACAGAAGAGTTAATAGATGGGCTGATAAAGAATATAATAAAGCTATGATTGGATCAAGATATAAGAATCCATTTATGGGTGCATCACATGCTAAAGGTTTAGTTGTTGAAAAAATCGGAGTGTAAATCTAATTTTATAAACTCCATTTAGTGAATCCAAATAACCAAACTCTGCTGTCAGAAAGTGTGTTAGAGTATTATTAAAAAAGAATGGCAAAAAAATTTCAGCTTTCGTTCCCAAAGATGGTTGCTTAAACTTTTTAAATGAAAATGATGAAGTCACAGTAGCTGGATTCGGAAGAAAGGGACATGCAGTCGGTGATATTCCAGGGGTCAGATTTAAGATTATTGCAGTTAAAGGAAAGTCACTTTTGGCTTTATGGCTTGGAAAAGTAGAAAAATGAGCAAACTATTAGCTATTTTTCAGTATATTAAGAATAGATAATTATTTGCGTTTATTTAAATCGATTAATTAATCGTTTAAATCATTTCTATGATCCTCTTTACAAATGGAAATAATATTAATATACATATTCGAAAGAATAAATTAATTATGAAAGAGGAAATCATGCCCTCTTGTCAAAGTTAAAGCTCTGATTTATATTAGCTTTGGCACTACCATTTGATTTTTTTGTCTTTGATCCTCCACTGCTATAATCCCTTGATCCTTTTCTACTATTCATCTTTAGCCATAATTAATATGGCATTGATTATGGCTTGGTACTTGCAGGCATAGAGAGATCCTAAACATAATAAAATTTTATTCTTACTCCTTCTATATGCAAAGATCTTTTCTTATTATCAATATTTGTGGCATCTACTAAATTTATTGGTTTATTTTCTTTCTTTTTTTCCAATAGAGAATTATTATTGTTATTATCAAAATTTGTATATGAAGCTTTTTGGTTTTTAGTAGTTTTACTAGTATAAGGCATTTTTTATTAAGAATTTCCTCTTACTGCTGTTGGAGTAGTAGTTTTTGTTGATGATTCTAAAATAATATAATTGTATACTTAAATATTATAGCAATTTATTTTAATGGCCAGGAGACACAGTTGAGGCATTAGAAGATCTCTTACTTGTATTTATGTAAGTAGTTTTATTCAAAGCATCATTTATTTAAATATCAGTTGGCATTTTCTTATTGTTATTCTATTGGAAAGATTAAGATTTATTTCTTTCAAATTAAAAGGATTGATCCTATTTAATATTAGGTTAAAGTGGATACTTCAATCGATAAAGAAGAATTCTAATAATTTTTGGATCCATTATAAATAGATCTGATATCTTCTACTTAAGGTACAGACATTCCTCTCCCTTATGTATGTGATTTTTAATTAGTTTAATAAGAACCCGATCTGTTATGTTTGAGTGTTTTCATCAATTAACTATCTAATAAATTACTTATAGGAGCTAATCAAATAGAAAATATGTAATACGTTTTGAAGGTCTTGTAGCAGGTTCTAGTAATTTTTCATTAAAATTTTATGAATTAATATCAGCAGTTGATTGACCTCCTTTGATTAAATGTTTTTTTAAAAGGAGAAAATATGCTGTAGTTAAATTATTGTGTTTATTAGCATCAAGACATTTCTTTATATAATCAGCACTATATCCTTTTTGAGCAAGTTGATCAACAATATCTTCATCAATGGGAATTCGACTATATCCGATAATAATCCCTTAAGGAATTGAATGAACTCTCTTATATAACTTAAACCATGGATGAGACTTAATTTAATCGATATCAAATCTCTTTTTTGGATCTGTATTCAATAATCCTTTAATAAAAGATTAACCATCTTATGAAACATGTGATGGTATTGTATATTAACCATTGAGTATCTTCTTGTATAATTCACTTGTATGTTTATCTTCAAATGGCAATTGACCACAAATAGTGGCATATAAAATAACTCCACATGACCAGATATCAACTAAAATACTTTGATATCTATGACCAGCAATCATTTCTGGTGCAGCATAACAAGGACTTCCACATGCTGTTTTAAGTAATTCACCTTCTTTATAAGTATTGGATAGTCCGAAATCTACAATTTTAATTTGGTTTTAATTATCTAATAAGAGATTTTCAGGTTTTAAATCTCTATGGACGATGTTTAGTTTATGAATATACTCAATGCCAGAGATAAGTTCTTAGAATATTCGACAAGCTTCAACTTCTTCTAGTCTTTAATTAAATTCAAAGTGTATTACTTTTCATTTTTTACAATGTAATCAAAAAGTTCTCCATTATCACAAAATTCCATCACTAAAAATATATGCCTTTTAGTTTCTATAATCTATCATATGTTAGGCTTAAATTTACCTCATAGAGTTAGATAACATGTCTATGACGAATCAATTTTAAAATATGTATTTCCCTTGACACTCTTTCTACATCTGCCACTTCTACAATACGCTCTTTCTCCAATATTTTAATGGCTACTTTCTCTCCTGTAATTTAATGCACTCCCAATTTAACTAGACCAAAAGTACCCACTCCAAGAGTTTTAACTCAAATAGTAAAAACTTCAAACCTAATAAGTAATCTCCTATCACTCTTTGTTTTTATGAATCTTTTTCTTTATAAGATGTATTTTCCTTATCAGAGTCCTTCTTTTGCAGCATAATTTCAATATCGTTAAATTATTAATATTCATAAGTAATATATGTTCCAATTTATCAAAGACTCATTTGAATAAGTGGCATCTAAAGTCAAATAAAGTGGAGCTCCTTCCAATTCAATTAAAGTCAACTTAACTCAATTTGAAGATCATTAGTCATCCTTTTAAACTGCCATTTATTAGAAGTATTTGAAACAAAAGTTAATCAATAAATTGAATTAAGTAAGAAATCAAAAGATTATCAAAAAATTAGTTTGTTGGCAAAAAAGTGTTAGTCATAGATCAATTTATTGCAGATATGCTTAATTTGGTTGTTGAATCAATGTAGATTTTGAAAGAAAATGGTGTTGATTAAATATATTATATTGATTCTGATTAATTAGATGTAGAAACTAATTAGATTATATTTTTTGTTAATCCTGATAGATAATATATGAAACGAATAGTAAGAATAATCAGAAATAATTAACTTGCAAATTTTAATAAAAAATATCTACTAATCTTTTGTCCTCGATTGAATATTGTATGCAAAGATTATTTAGAAAAAGAAGCAGTTTTAGGGGATCTAATCATAACTAATTTTAATTTTGATTTAATACCCTTAGCAAATGATTTACTATCATTAGATATGAATAATTGTCTTAGACCATTATATATTGGATAAGATATGTCAATTTTATAAACTGTAGCTGAGTCTATATATAGAATGGAATTAGTGCATGGCAAATTTAAGAATATATATGCTAAAGGAAATTTCTCAAAATTTGTCATTGATATACTAAAATAAAACAAACAATAAGGTGAATTGATTAAGGATGAACTTAGTTTTAAGGAATCTAAAATGCATACACTTTTGATCATTGACAGAAAGATAGACTTTATCACTCCTATGCTTACTCCATTTACATATGAGGCTTTGATTGATGAAGTGTTTTCTATCAAATAAAATTCCATATAATCTAGATATTATTAAAAATGAGATAGACCTAAAACAATGAACTTAATGATTCTTATTACAATAAAATCAAAATTATGAATGTTAAGTAATGTCAAAGGATTCTTGAAGATAAGAGACAAAATAACAAATAAATGATTTAATCTATGAAATAATAAGATAATAAAATGAATATGAGTGATATGAATTAATATCTTACTAAATTAAGATTACTACCAAAAGAAGAAAAAATTATTCTTGACCGTAACAATTTACACTATTACAGATCTTATTATTAGTTAACATTTAAGTAAATAGTTAGAATCCATTTTATTTAATATGTGCGTTAATTAAGAAGTTCATGCAATACTTTACACTAAGTAATCATAAGTTGAATAAATGATTGAAAATCTTATTTCCTTTGGTGCCCCAATAACTAAAGTTATTCGATTGTTAAGTCTTTACAATTAAATCTTTTACATATTTATGGCACAGAACACATTCTGACACTTGAAAATTGTGAAAAAATTGGTTTAATTGGAAAAAAAATAAATGATACTCATATATGGGAAAAAATTGAAAAACCTTTGCGTCTAATTAATGAAGATATTGATCATGCTCCAGAGGATTTTTCTTATGTTTTTTTGGCATATGCACCTATAATGTAATTTTTTACTTATTAATGAGAGTTCGAATTTTCGAAGAACTACTCTTAAAAAATACTTGGGGACCATTGGGTTGACAAGCTTTAAAAGAAATACCTGGTGAAACAGTTATGCAATAAAATTTAAATTAAAATAAAGTTGAAGAATTTAAAGATGATATAAATTAAATTTATGTGATTTACATTGTTGGAGGTATCACATATGGTGAAATTGCAGCAATTCGTTGGCTAGGATTATGATACAGTAATTAAATCTCTTATTTCTTAGAAAAGGATATACAAATATGTACAACACATATTATAAATGGAGATAGATTAGTGTAAGAGATGATATAAAATTAATGAGTTAATAAATTAATTACCTTAGTTTTATTATTTTTTAATAATTTGTAAATAATTATTAAAGTCTAAAAATTACAGATTATCATAACTCTATCTAAATATTTATTAATTAATATTCAAAGCTTAATAACTATAATAAAAGTATTTTTAATCATTATATAACCTAATTTCAATTGAATTAAATTTTAAAAGAAATTTAACAAATCTTTAATTATTAGGATAAATTTCATTAATTTTTAATAATTACATATAATTTATTTGCTTTTAAATTAATAATTAATTTTTTTTTATTCTTTGAATGAAATTTTTCTTAAAACGGACAACTTTTCTGCTCACTTATGTACTAATGATGTCAGTTTATGGTTCAAAAGAACTAATTCAAGAAAACAACATTATCAAATCAAAACTATTTTGCGAAATTTTGAATGGGATAGATGAATTTATATAAATAATAAAATTGGAGAATGACATGTTTGGTATTAAAACATCAGACTCCACCTTTTAAATATCATTCAATTCAACAAATTAAATATAAAATTACAAAGACTTGTTTATAATTTAAACTCAAAAAGAATTCGATGTAAAATGAAAATTATACTTTAGATTAATGTGTATTTTAAATTTGCTGATTATTAGATAAAGAGCAATTATATTGATGGGCTTTTATATAAACAAGTCAAATTTATTATAGATGATGAAAACCAAATTTATTTTAATATAATTACGTTTTCTCAAACTTAATTCAAAGAATTCACGATAAAGGATTCTGATAAAATTAGTTTAAAATAAAAATCTGATAATCCTGAATCTATTTTTCTATAAATGATATTTTTCACTCAATAAAACGTAGAAACATAAATAAATAATATTATTCCAAATTTCAATTAATTGAATAGAATTTGTGAAATTAATAAAGATAGAACTGATTTATAGATACAAAAATTTATCTAATAAATGGATATTCTCTAAATTAATCCAAAAAATATTTTAAAAGGTAAAATTGTTAATAATCTTAGCCTAGTTTTCCAAGAATAAGTTCCTTTAAGATTTTAACTTATTAAATAATATATTTTATACTGTTGTTTTAAGCGAGTATGAAATTCTTTAAAAAATACAAACTAATTCCTGTGATGTAATTATGCAAAATTAAATTCTAATCAATAATTCTACTTATTTATGGCATCAGGAATTTTGTAACAATTCGCAAAGTTACATTTATATTATTCAAACTCAAAAATGTACAATTTCTAATTAAAACTAAGTTAGGTTAAGACATTAGAAAATGGCAAAATTATATTTTCTCTATTGAATCCAAGAAATAATATCAACCTGAGCTGCTTATTAAACAATTTACAGTTATGATTTAAAAATCAAATTGTAAATCCTTGGAGAAGTTCAAAAAGTTATTATAAATCAATGGTATTCTTTTACAATAAGATTCAATTGAATCAGAATCCACTTATTCTAAATATTAAGCTTCTATAAACACTAATCAAGTCTCCGTAGATGAAGATTTGATCATAAAACCAATTTAAAATTTTAACATTAAAGATAATACTGAGGATAGATCTAATTAAACTCCAACTTTTTAATTATATCATAATTTAGATTAAAAACCTATATATAAAACATTAAATGGAGTTTATATTCCTTAAGATCCTGAAATTTTTCTAAGAAGCGAAGATGAATAAAATTCAAAGGAAATAGTGAACGATTAATATGAAGAAACATTAAATTAATAGAATGATTAAAAGAAAGATCAATAATAAAGTTTATTGTAAAGAGAAGATGAGAATTAGTAGAATATTGATTTTATTGTTTATGAAGATCCAATTAGTTGGGTAAATTAAGATAGTTAAGATGTAGAAGTCTTTTAATTTAATGAGGATTAGTAAAATATTAGCAGTAAAACATAAATCTAAAGCAACTAAAATAATGATTAAACTCAATCAATTTTATAAAGCAATAATAGTAATAATTAAGAAAAATAAAATTAAATACTATAACTACAAGATACTTCTAAATTAAACTTAAATAATTAATAAGATGGTATGATCATTGAATAATAGGCAAAAGTTGAAGAGATTATTTTGGACTATCAAGATAATTCACAGACCAAAAACATTTAAAATGATTAAAGTAAATATTAATAAAATACTTAAAGTATGAATAGCCAATAATAATAATAATAATAGTAATAATAATAATAATAATAATAATAATAATAATAATAATAATAATAATAATAATAATAATAATAATAATAATAATAATAATAATAATAATAATAATAATAATAATAATAATAATAATAATAATAATAATAATAATAATAATAATAATAATAATAATAATAATAATAATAATAATAATAATAATAATAATAATAATAATAATAATAATAATAATAATAATAATAATAATAATAATAATAATAATAATAATAATAATAATAATAATAATAATAATAATAATAATAATAATAATAATAATAATAATAATAATAATAATAATAATAATAATAATAATAATAATAATAATAATAATAATAATAATAATAATAATAATAATAATAATAATAATAATAATAATAATAATAATAATAATAATAATAATAATAATAATAATAATAATAATAATAATAATAATAATAATAATAATAATAATAATAATAATAATAATAATAATAATAATAATAATAATAATAATAATAATAATAATAATAATAATAATAATAATAATAATAATAATAATAATAATAATAATAATAATAACAATAACAATAACAATAACAATAATAACAATAACAATAACAATAAGAATAATAAGAATAAGAATAATATTAATAATAATAATAGTAATAATAACAGTAATAATAATAATAATAATAATAATAATAATAATAACAATAATATTAGTATTAATAATAATAATAATAATAAAAATAACAGTATTATTAATAATAATAATAGTAATAATAATAATAAGAGTAATTTTCACCTTAAAATAATCAATAAGATACTAATCTACATTAAGAATCTAAAGTACAAGAGAATATAAAAGATGAAAATTAATTTTATTAAAGTCATAAAAAATAATTTGAATAACCTGATGATTATTATGACTATGATTATTATACATCATTGTATAGTGATTACGATAGTGATTATGATTATCATCCCAGAAGATATTTAAGTCATCATCATAGAGCACCTTAATTAAAACATTTTCATCATCACCATCATTAGATATCTAGAGATGAGAGGGAATACAATGATATAAATAAAAATTTAAATGGATAGGGCTATTCAGGTTAGAAATTTAATTTAAGAGGAAAAAAAAGAAATTAGCAAAGCGATAATACAATCCCAATTATTGCCGAAAGAATCATAATTGAATATAATTTTGTCAATGCAAAAGAAGAAGAAATAAAACTTAATGGAGATGAAGAGGTAGATAAATCTTAAAACGAGAGAGAAGAAGAAGATCAAAAAAAAGATAAGCCTAATTAAGAAAAAAAATAAAAAACTAATAAAAGTAAAAGTACTTAAGAAGTAGAAGATGAACCCAAAGAATAACAATAAGATGAGAATAAGGAAGAAAAGGATAAATAAAAAAAGAATAAATCTTAAAATAATGTTTAGAGTAATTCATAAAATAAAAGTTAAAACAAAAATAAGGTGGATCCGAAAGGCAAGTCTTAAGACAAAACTTAACCAAAGGCTTAAGACAAAGCTTAACCTAAGGCTTAAGACAAAGCCTAACCTCAGGCTTAAGACAAAACTTAACCAAAAGCTTAAGATAAGGAGAAAGAGAAGGAAAAGGAGAAATAGAAAAATAAAGAATAACCTAAAGCTAATGCTAATGCTAAAAAACCAAAGCCAAAAATTGATTAAGAAGGTTAAGATAAAGAGAAAGAATAAGAATAAGAGTAGGAATAAGAGTAAGAGTAGGAATAAGAGTAAGAGTAAGAATAAGAGTAGGAATAAGAATAAGAGTAGGAATAAGAATAAGAATAAGAATAAGAGTAGGAATAGGAATAAGAGTAAGAGTAAGAAAATGAAGATGAAAAAGAACAAGATTAGGATCAAGAAAATGAAGATGAAAAAGAACAAGATTAAGAAAATGAAGATGAAAAAGATTAAGAAAATGAAGATGAAAAAGAAAACGAAGACGAGAAAGGAGAAGAGATGGATGAAGATGATTAATGGAGAGGGTTCAGTTCAAAAGATAAGAAAAAAAAAAAGGGTAAAAGTAAAGGCAATGGAAATAAAGAGGATGAAGAGGAAGATGATGAAGATTTGTATGATGGAGATGGAAGATACATAAAAAATCATCCGTATTATCACCATAGAAAGAATAAAAAATCGCATTACCCTTATAATTATCCAGGTAGATATCCGGGGGATGAAGTATTTGATGAGGATTTAATTTGGAGATATCGATGCATGAATAAACAAAGCAGAAATTAAAATTTTGGAAATCCCTTTAATGGATATCCTAATAGGCATCGTTAAGTTGTCAATAAAAGCCCATTTTATAATGGTAATCCATATTTAAGACTTAATCCATATACTAAATAAAGTTCGAGTTCAAGTTGTGTTCCTTGGATGGTTCGATAAAATTAGCCTCCAAATTCAGGGTATGGGAGATACTCAAATTTATATAGAGGAAAATATTAGGATCCAGATTATGAATTAAGAGAAGTGTGGCTTAGATAGCAATAGTAATAGCATTCAAAGCAATAAGTTTAGAGATATAGAGATTAAGTTGGTTATTTTAATTGCTATGGTTATGATGACATGAGACCAAATTATTATGATGCTATATACGGAATAAATGAAGATGATCCTCGTTATTAAGTATATAATAGGAATATTAATGATCCAAATTTTTATAGTCCTTTTGATGAAACAGTTCATAATGGTCACAATTATGTAAGGGAGAAGCATTTTAATGCTAAATAGGTGTCAAAACCATTGAATCATAGGATGGTTTAAAAGAATGTTGATTTTGAATAGCAAGAGAATAATAGTTGCTTATAAGTGTTTGACTAGTGCTATTTTAAAGGAAGAAGTGTAAACTTATGTGGAGAATACCCAGTAATACCAGAGGGTTTAAATAGATTCAAAATATTTTCCTATATTGTGCCTGAAAACCTTGAAATTAGATTTACATAATCAGATTAGAATGATGGTAAAATCTATTTTATATAAGTAGATAATGTATAAGATATTTCTGGTTCTGTAGAATGCTTGCAAACACCTTATGAATTGATACCATAATTATAATGATGAATATAATATCAATGAAATTATAAAATAACTTATTTTTACAATTATATTATAGGTTTTAGATAATAACTCAGAATATTTAATATTATACAATAAAATAAAATTTTAATTTTAATTTTTTATAAGGACTTTTACAAAACTACCCACAGAAATATGTAGTGCTTAATTTTTGTAGTTTTTTGAAGGATATAAATAAGAGGAAGAATTTTAAGAAATCTTTAATAATAGAGGAAAACATCTATTTTATTAGATGTTTTTATTAATATTGAATATAATGAAATTAATGTTCAAGAACGAACTATTATTTAATAACCAATTATTAATATGAAAATTAATTAATTGCTCTCTCTGTATTACTATTATAATAGAATTAGTATAAAGTATAATTAGATAGTTTATAACAAAAATATCTATAAAATTATAATTATGATTTAAAATTCTATCAAGTAAAATGAAGATGAATATCTAAAGTTTTGTTTAGATTGTTATTATACAAAAGAAGAAGAGTTTGATATAGGGTAAAATGGAATATCATTCAAATAGAGTAAAACCAAAAAGTAAAAGGTTTTCTTCATCTCTAGAAAAATAAAAGTTTATAGAGGAATATACAAAAAAGAAAAAGACAGAATTATGTAAGAACTTTATGCTTAAAGGATCTTGCAAATTTGATACAGAAGTATTATATAAAATTATTGATCAAGTGTTCATATGCTCATGGATATGCTGAGCTTTTACCTAAGGTACATCTTCATTAAAACTACAAGACAAAACTATGTAAAAACTTTATAAATAACGGTTGGTGCAATTATGGACAGAGATGTTAATATATACATCCAGAAAATTCATTAAATAAAATTAAGACTCATAAATTACAATCTTATGATAAATAAGTATCATAACAAAAAATTAATGTAAACAATTAGAATTTAGCCGAATAAATTATTATTTTGTATTCAGAATTATTATAGAAACTTAGCTTTAGTCCATAATTTAGTATCTCAAATTTACCTAGATTAAGTTATTTTATACGATTAGGAGAGCATAAAATTTGATTTTAGTAGGATGATTCTGATCATTGAAAAAAATTATTTATTATATTATATTCTATTTAAATTTAATATTAATAAAAAAGATTGATAAAAAGAATGAAATTTTCACACAAATTTTCTAGGAGAAGATGCCAACTAAGCGTAGTAAAATTTTTAGCTGATATCATGATTACTTAACTTTTTTTTTTGATAAGTTTCTAGGATTGGTTTTTCATGCTAATTTAACTCATATATAAAATCATTTAAATCTTAATATAGAAGAAATTACAATTTTGTATATTGAGTATTTATATTCTATTAAGAAGGAGTTTAAATTAAATTTTAATATCTATTCTTAAACCTTATCTTATTCTATGGTCCTAATTAACTAATCAAATACTAAGCCATAGGATAACCTAAAACATTAAATTAAAATTAGGGTTGGGCATGATTTTATAGGATATATCCTCTTGATTCTTCGCTAAAATTCAAATTTGATTTTTAGTTGTGAAATAAATTATGAATATCATCATCTATTAAACCTGTAGACTTATGTTCTTTTTTGTAATATTCATAAATTTATTAAAAAGTAGAATTAAGTTGATTAATCATTTCAAAATAGTTTTTCGAACTCCAATTTCTTTTTTTATGATCAATTGATGTTTCTATATCTCCGAATAGATCCCTAACAAAAGGCGAAATAAATAATTTAGGGTGTGTAATACTAATTTTTATACAATTCTTCTATTGTTTAGTTTATTTAAGATGTATTTAAATTTGAGATCCTAAAGGTACGGCTTATGATAAAATTTTATCATCTCCATGTATAATTGATAGTAAAATTTTACAAAATTCAACTAGATTAATAATTATAGAAATTAATTTAGCTTTATCTGTTTTGATAACCTCAGTAAATTCAGCTGAAACTACATACTTATTAATCAGTTTTCTGGATAATTATAAATCTTCACATAATTATTCCATAAAATTAGTAGGTTAGATTTAATTAATTTCAAATTTGAGTTATGTATGAGATATTTTAAAGAGATTTAAAACATCAAAATTTAAATTAAACATAATATAACCATATTAAATTTAATTCATTATGCTAGATGTAAGTGAATTTATAAATTATGATTATTTTCCATTAAACCACTAAGGAATCAAAGATTTTAAATATTTTAATAATTAAATTTATTTTGTTAAAATTGTAAGTGATATTCTTGCATTAGTACAAGATGTATAATCTCTTTATTAAACTTAATACAATAATTAATCGTATTTATCCTCTTTAATTTCTTCAAATAGGAGTATAATTGAAGGTTCAAAAGTTTTAAAAAAAACCTATGTAATTTTAAATTTTTATTATTTAATTTTACTATCCTTTTTATCCATAAATGCATGATATCTTTCAACAGTCTAATCATCTTTATTTGTTTAAAGTTATCGAATTAGTGTATGTTCAAGTTTAATAAATTATAAATTCTATCTTTCAAATTCATATGGTAATACTTTTAAATTTCTTAAGAATTCTCTAAAACATTTATCATCCATAATGTTAAATTTATTTTACATATTTTTATTGATTTTGTCTAAACTTAATTACCCTTGCATTTTATCATATTTCACTATAACAACCCAAGAAGGAAGCAAATCTTATATTAAATTTTCATATTAAGATTAGGATTGACTGGCAATAAAATATTTTCGATTTATTAATTCAAGTTAATATCTAAACATAACCAATAGAAAAGTTAATAGATTATGAGCTACTAATTAGTAAACATCTTCTTCTTCCATAAAAATAAATGAGCAACATTGACACATCACCTATACACCTGATTATACAATAAACTTATTGCCTCTAGCAAAAATTACTAAAATAAAATAAAAAATATTTACTTAATTTCATAGAAGCAAGGCTATAACCTAAATACCAGAGATTTGTTTTCTGCGCAAATATTCGATAAAACTCACAAATCACAGATAATAGTATTTGATTCATTGTCATTATTATCTCAACCTTTTCTTTATACTTTCTAATGAAGAATAGAAGAGTAAGTTCTAGAAACAAACTTATACATGAAATAATTAAAGGGAGCAATGTATTTGTGCTATTAAATTTAATGATCATCACAATTAAATATCCTCCTATAAAACTAAAAAATATTTGAAAGCGATGATGGTTATTATTAAATGACCATTCACGATAAGCATATTCCATTTCTAAAGAATTAAAAGTTAAACTCAAATTTTTTATCATTTATAAATTAAATAAATAAAAGCAATATATAAGAAATTTCACATTATTCCACTCTTTAAAGTAAATGCTTTTATAGATTTTTCATTGTATGAAAATCAACATTAGTATTTTTAGAATAAGATATTAAGAAGAGTGTTTCAAAATATAACCATATTGATACTTTTAATAGTTTCAATAGAATATATTAAGATTCCTTATAAAAGTCAATACTTTTCTAAGTANAATTAATCGTATTTATCCTCTTTAATTTCTTCAAATAGGAGTATAATTGAAGGTTCAAAAGTTTTAAAAAAAACCTATGTAATTTTAAATTTTTATTATTTAATTTTACTATCCTTTTTATCCATAAATGCATGATATCTTTCAACAGTCTAATCATCTTTATTTGTTTAAAGTTATCGAATTAGTGTATGTTCAAGTTTAATAAATTATAAATTCTATCTTTCAAATTCATATGGTAATACTTTTAAATTTCTTAAGAATTCTCTAAAACATTTATCATCCATAATGTTAAATTTATTTTACATATTTTTATTGATTTTGTCTAAACTTAATTACCCTTGCATTTTATCATATTTCACTATAACAACCCAAGAAGGAAGCAAATCTTATATTAAATTTTCATATTAAGATTAGGATTGACTGGCAATAAAATATTTTCGATTTATTAATTCAAGTTAATATCTAAACATAACCAATAGAAAAGTTAATAGATTATGAGCTACTAATTAGTAAACATCTTCTTCTTCCATAAAAATAAATGAGCAACATTGACACATCACCTATACACCTGATTATACAATAAACTTATTGCCTCTAGCAAAAATTACTAAAATAAAATAAAAAATATTTACTTAATTTCATAGAAGCAAGGCTATAACCTAAATACCAGAGATTTGTTTTCTGCGCAAATATTCGATAAAACTCACAAATCACAGATAATAGTATTTGATTCATTGTCATTATTATCTCAACCTTTTCTTTATACTTTCTAATGAAGAATAGAAGAGTAAGTTCTAGAAACAAACTTATACATGAAATAATTAAAGGGAGCAATGTATTTGTGCTATTAAATTTAATGATCATCACAATTAAATATCCTCCTATAAAACTAAAAAATATTTGAAAGCGATGATGGTTATTATTAAATGACCATTCACGATAAGCATATTCCATTTCTAAAGAATTAAAAGTTAAACTCAAATTTTTTATCATTTATAAATTAAATAAATAAAAGCAATATATAAGAAATTTCACATTATTCCACTCTTTAAAGTAAATGCTTTTATAGATTTTTCATTGTATGAAAATCAACATTAGTATTTTTAGAATAAGATATTAAGAAGAGTGTTTCAAAATATAACCATATTGATACTTTTAATAGTTTCAATAGAATATATTAAGATTCCTTATAAAAGTCAATACTTTTCTAAGTAGAGTATGATAGTCAGTTGTACTCTCTATAATCATAAATTTTATATTGTACTATGCATATCAATTTATATAAAACCCAAAAAAGTATATTTGTACCTAATACTTGAAAAAATTCCTTCATTCTTCATTTTTGATAAAAACCGTATGAAAATTCTTCATTTCTCTAATATAACAATTTAATAGTAAATAAATTAATAAGAAATTCCTAAGTAAACATTTTTAATATTAAATGATGCTTGCAAAAATATGAGGTACTTTATTGAATTATTCTATGAATAAAAAGATAATAAAGTATTTCAAAGGTTTTCTTTTTTATAGTTATGGGGTTTTTTTAATTTATGAAAAATAATACAAGAATAAAGGTTTATTAATATAAAAGTTTATTTATTTTATTTACTAATAAAGTAAAATTAACATAGTTTAAAATCAAAAGGTTAAACTTTTCATCGTTTTGATCTTTACTCTACATAGTTTCTATTTTGGTTCTTCAAGCTCCCTAATAATTGGGAAACTATATCTGATTATTTATGTTAGACAGAAATAGGTGTTTATAATTAAGTAGTTTTCAAATACAATTAAGATTTAGTTTGATAATTACTATCTAGTTTAGGATGGTTACGCTTAGGAGATGACATTCTTTTACTGCTTAGTTAATGTATTTGACAATTTGATGGTTAAGTTTGTTCATTCCTAAACAAAAGATAATTTTATACATAATTTATATCCATTTCACATTTTTTTGCTCTTAAAAACCCATGCTTTCATAATTATTTATTTTAACTGTCTTTTAATGTGCATCCTTAAATCCTTATCCATTAAGTTAAAGTGGAATTTTAATAGGTGTTTTTATGTCTTCCATTCTTAATTGGTTCTCTAGTCGAGCCAAATCATAAGGCTTGTTGTCTTTGCTGATTTTAAATTCAGGAACAAAAATTTCTTCTTTTCTTCCAATCTATTGACTTGTTCCTTTAGTAACCTTTTCAGATTATCTTCTAATTTCTATTTAATTGTCTTTAAACAATTGTCTAGCCTTATAATCACTTGCTCTTAAATATTAAGAAGCCAACTCTTTTTGATCAGACTTTGCTGTTGATCTCTATCGAACTTTTTCCATGATTCTTTAAGCAATATCAGAGGCTTCCTTATCTAAATTAATTTCCTCCTACTTTGATTAGTACTAAAAACGTTCATTAATTTTCATTTGTGATTATAATAATAAACTAATATTGTAAAAGTTTATTCCTATTCTTTTATTTAAATGACTCTTCTTATAATTTTCATTGACATCTTTATCATGTTTAAAATCCAAAATAGACTATAAACATTTTTAATTATTTCGAATTATTGTCTAACTTAAAATAGAAGGTTTCAAAAATTGATTTGACTTTATTTTCATCCCTTCATATTTGATTAAACTTAATAAACTTAATGTTATAGGTTACTTACCCAATCAACTATTTTCATCAAGTATAACTATATTTGCCAAAAATTATATATTTCTTTATCTAAGTTGTAATTTAATAGTAACAAGAGTTCATTTCAATTTAAATAAAGAAATTCAACATAAATTTTAGAATCAATATATTAAATTAGAGGAAAATAAGATAATTAGAAATTTAATTCAAGTAGTTAAATAGAAATGTATTTCATTTTTATAAAATTATGAATATTGAAATAAATATAAAGTAATGAATACTTGTAAACAGTAATTCATAACAATTTTATGAAGATAAAATTAACTCTTAAATATATAATAGGACATTGATTTGAAAAAAGTTTTAAATGATTATATATATATTTTATTTTATTATTATCAATAGACTCTCTTTTTAGGTGGCACAGTGTCAAATTCATTAGGATCCATAGTTTTTGTAATTACCTATGATTATTTTACTTATAATATATACATCTCTATAAGTTAATTGAACATCACCTGACTTAGTATCTTGTATTCTAGCAAGAGTGTGTTTCATCCAATTTTTATCATCTCTATCAGGGAAATCATCTCTTGCATGAGCACCTCTGGATTCTTTTCTATTGAGAGCCCCTTCAATGGTCATTTTTCCTTATACTAGTATTTGAATTAAATTAATAAGTACATAATAAGTTCTCTAATTCTAATCCTTCAATAAGATCAGAATTCCACACTAATCCCTTATCTTTAATTCTAACATCATCCTTTCTTGTATAGATTTCTTTAACTTTTTCAACACCCTCTTATAGAGTCTTTTCAATTCTGAAAACAGCAGCATGCTTCTACATAGTTCTCTATAAATCTTTTCTAACTTAAGCAATTGTTTAAGATCCTTCATGATGTCTAAGTCTATCAATTCTTGCAATAGCAGCTTCACCTGCATTCTTAGGGAGATCTGGTTATTTTTATCCTGGCTTCCATTTTTCACCAACTAAATTTGCAGCCTATCTTCCAAAAACAACTATATCTAATAATGAATTAGCTCCTAATCTATTTGCACCATGAACTGATGCACAAGCAGCCTCACCTGCAGCTAAAAGTCCTGGAACAATTTAATCTTTTCCATTGACTTAATTTAAAACTTCAGTTTTGTAATTTGTAGGTATTCCACCCATATTATAATGAACAGTTGGTAATACTGGTGCTGGTTCTTTAGTAACATCAACTCCAGCAAAGATTTTAGCTGCTTCGCTGATACCTGGTAATCTTTCATGTAATAATTCAGCAGGTAAATGATTTAAATGTAAATATATATGATCTTTTTCTGGTCCAACTCTAAGAATGATTATTATATAATAATTACCCTCTTCCTTCTAAAATTTCTTTAGTCATAGCTCTAGAAACAACATCTCTACTAGCTAAATCTTTAGCAGTAGGAGCATATCTTTCCATAAATCTTTCACCCAATGAATTTCTCAGAATACCTCCTTCACCTCTACATCCTTCAGTCATAAGACATCCAGATCCATAAATACCAGTAGGATGGAATTATACAAATTCTAAGTCTTCCATAGGTAAACCAGCTCTAATTGTCATACCACCACCATCACCAGTGCATGTATGTGCTGATGTACATGATTAAAATGCTCTTCCATATCCTCCTGTTGCAATAACAGTATATCCAGCTCTAATTCTATGGATTGATCCATCTGCCATTGACATACATACAACTCCTCTGCAAGCTCTATAAATTTATAATAAATA